TTGTTTATAGTCATGCCGCAAACAATTTCGATGATGCTAAAACGGAAAACCGACATATTTACAATATCTTTAACAAGCTAAAGTACTTGGCCAACCAACGCCTATCCGCTTGGTTGCGTCAGCGATAAATTCATGTATTGGCCACCTGTAGTTAAGTGCTGAAGAATAATTATATATTTGTTTGTTGTAAACATCGTCCTCTGAATATGTGAAAAATGGTAATGAGCGACGGTTATTAAGATTAAACGAAATCAATAAATTGTACAAAAAAAAAGTTAATTTCCCAATTGTGAAGCCGCAATCAATCTAAAGGGTGGTAAACATCGCACAGTGAATTGAACAATGCACCGGAACCTTTACCGCTTGATCTGAGCGTGCTTTAAGACTTCCCGGACACGAAAGCAGATTTTAATAATCTCAAAAGGTAAAAGGAAACTTGACGCATTGGTTTGCACTGAAGTGTCGACAAATGCATCATTCCGTTCTTTTGCTTTTGCGAGGGTTCAGAGCCACCTTAAAATTGTCGAAATATCGGTTCATTTTTTCTGATTGCCTGTTCTTTGTAAACGTTTTGTGGCTGAAGCAAGTGCAGTCGACCACCTCTCGCGACCACCTATTCAAAACGCCAAAATTTTCCCAGGCAAAGCCCTATAATTAGAACCCTTCGTAAACGACCACCTCTCCTAAGCGACCGCAATCACTTTTCGGCCTGACGGTTTTATAGTTTTCCATTGTCTTCAACCTGTTATAAGTGACCACTTGACTCATGATGTCCCTTAATTGTTTGCAGTATGTACTACGCCACTTTAGACTTTCAAAACTTTCAGTGACGACATAGACCCACAGTCGACTCTCTCTCTTAACGGACATCTCTTTAAAACGGACATGTATGGTCTCTCAAAGACGAACACCTTAGGCACCGTCACCAAGTGTCCGTCTTAGAGAGATGTCCGTCTTATGGAGTCAGATGAAGGGATCAAAACAAGGTAGGGACCAATTCAAGGTGTCCTTTAAGAGAGAGTCAACTTTATTACATAAAAATGTAAGTTTACACCTCGCAGACACATCTTTACGTAAACTGAAATAATACTTTCCTTCAGTAAATTTTAAAGCATTCTCTCCATGTTTTTAAACATTCAAAATGATTGTTAAAACAATCATTTACAATCATTTTGAATCATCCGCCGTAGCCTAAAACTTTCAAAACCTCTTTTGCGAAATTATCAAACTGTATTGAAGTTCCTTTTTACGCTTTGATTACAGTATTTTGTCCTCCCAAATTGTCGAATTAAATTTTCGTGAAATGGGTCTTCTCCCAATTTTCGCGAAATTAAGTGGGCGCGAAAATTAGTAGAAGTAAATTATCGCATCTCAAGGGGCACTTTCTCATTGCGCTGTTTGCCAATTCAATTTACGGTTTTTTCCATATATAACGGTACGAAAAACTTAAGGAGTTTATACGCGCCTTGCTAATCAAAACTCAACTCATGTCGATTGACAAAAATCGCTCAATCACCTGACCACGATTGCCACGTAATCAATCATTAGATAACTTGCTTCATCATCCACTTGAAAACTCACGTTTGAATTCGTTTTTAAAAAACAATTCGACCAGTATTCTCTCTATTCGACTCTCTCTTAACGGACACCTCCATAAGACGGACACCTCTGTAAAACGGACACCTTCCCTGAATTGGTCCCTGCCTTTCTATAGTCACTTTATCTGACTCTATCTTAGCCGGACACTCCCGCACTTGGTGACGGTGCAAAAGGTGTCCGTCTTAGAGCGAGTTGACTGTAGAGAGTAAAACAGACGTGTATCAAATACAGGCTCAGGAATGAATAAGGCAATAAAGATACGGATAAAGAATGAATAAGTAAAAACGCAGTTGGGTATAAACTGAGATACCTACACCTTTTTGGGGCTTCCAAAATGAAGATTAATGAACTTTCCAGTAGCTCTCCAACAGTCTGCTAGGCACTAAACGTAACTCTCCAACTGTCTGCTAGGCACTAAACTTATTGAATTGAAGTGTTCTATCATTATAGCTGTTCAAATTGTAACAAGTGGGCTCATAACTTTACTGGCGTAAAAACTGAGGTACCACTGAAAGCAACGGTCTACGAATTTATCGCCCGTTAACAATGCCAGGCTCAGAGATAGCTACAGGGCCAGCGGATCAAGAAAACTAGGAAAAACAAAACGCGTGGGGAGCCTTATTCTCTGTAAACCTCCTTGAAATACTAGTCTGGGTGGCAGACGTAAGAGGAAGGGGGCAGGGGAGGAAGGGGGAGGGGGGGTTGAAAAGCACGACAGGGAAGTAGGCGTCCCTTTCCTTCTCTCCCTAATTCCCTTCTCCCCCCCTTCCCCTCATTTCCCTTTTCCTCTCGCTGCCACGCAGACCGGAAGAGCCCAAATAGTCCGAAAAAGTGACCGCAATTATCTCATATTTCTTTCTGTGCTACAAGTCCATTTCTAGGAAATATTAAGCTCTGTCCCGTTGGTTCGCTGTAATAGTGCTGTAGGTGCTTTCATTTTTAAAATATCACAAACTGATCAGGAACTTAGTGGCGACCAGTGACGCCGGCCCAGGTTATGACGTAGTCAAAAGGTAACAAAATCCCTGCTAGCAATTCTCGACCTCGTAATAGATACATTTGGAGCTTTCATGGCTAGTCATGCGCTACAGTTTCTTTTTTTTTATGAAGATGTCATTTCCGTTTATTACAATACACAGGAAATCCCCCATAACTTGATAATAGACGCGCAGTTTTTAATGTATGATGTCCTTAAAATTACAGTTTGCCAATTTAGTAGTGTAGGAACTAGAGCATTAGTGAACATGGACACTGCCCTCTGGACATCGTTCTAAGCAACCTCACACGTATCTTCTGGTTTGTTTCAAGTGGACAAAATGATAAGAAAGACATTTAACTGTATGATTCATGGCCAGTTGCATTTTAATCCTACTTCAGTGTGTGTCGTAGCGTAAACCTCTCCGTGGTTTGGAACGATTCTTGATATATTTTTGTGTCTATAGTATAAAAATTCAAGGGGAAAAAAGTTTTCGCGGCCAAAATCTGTAGTCTGCCAAATAATCTCACCAATGGTTGGTTATTCATGAGTGTTATAAAATTAATATTCCGTCTATTACCTGAGATTCTGTCAAATAGAAAGGTGATACATCCCGTCTCTACCGCATTTGCGACGCAGGCAAAAATGATTCGCTTTAAGTTTAAAACCAAATAAATACGACATAAACTGAAAAGCTTACTGCATTGATGGAGTCTATAAGAAGGGCAGTTACATGGAAGGACTTGACAGAGACCACACGAAGACCTCATCTACCGAAATGGATAGCTGATGACTTTGTTCTCCATTCGCGAACGTGTTATATAGGAATTAGCGTAATTGAGTAAAATATGTGAATCTGAAGGCACCAGTTTATAATTTATGACTAAAGAATGAATATACCCTTTAAGTGCTAATATAAGAATGAAGTATAATTAGCTTGAATGATATTAAAATAAACGTCAACGCAATTTTTCAATCGAGCGAGATTCTCCGGGAGATTCTTCAGTTGTGAAAACGATCTTCGAGGGCCTCCAAAAATATCTTGTTAGATAACCAACACAAGACATTAAAAATACTTGCCTTCTTGAATAATAGTATAGAACTTATCCAATAAAACACTTCACCGGGACCAAAACAGTTGTGACAGGAAGAAGGGACTTGACCAGATTGACGAAGTTCTGGTAATCTTGAACAACAATCAGTCACATGGTATAACACGTCACGCAGTGATTTGCTGCCCTCTGGCTCACCGGTCTGCGGGCAGTGGGGAAGGAAGGACCAAACCAGTTCTCTCCGATCATGTGAGACACACTTTTTCACAGATTATAACAATGTCACGATATCTGCTTTTCAAACGTGTCTTCGCATCAATTGAATTGCAAAACTAATGGTCCAGGGCATAAGAGGAGAGGAAAAAACCGGATTACTTCGCGTACAGGGAGGAAATGCTATCAGACTAAGGAGGAAAAGCAGCAAAATATACAACCCACACGTGATGCGACGCCCTCGCCTTCCTTTCTGAGAGCCTTAGGAAATAGGAAAAGGAGAGAGAAAATCACCCGATATATAGTTACAATCACCAAATAACCGCCTTTCCTAGCAAAGTGCTTAGTTCAAGAACAGGGCGACACACCCTTATGGTGGTAGTTTTGACTCACAGCACAAAGGTTACGAACGTTTTATATTGTTCACAGTATCTCATGCTTCCATGTGTTTATTAGGATCGATTATCGAGTTTAAGGAACCGCCATCTTGATATCTTTTAGCGATCAGGACTCTTTGGAGAATGGGCTACTTTTCTGTCCAGGTTTCGCTTACCATAGTGACACCAAGATGACAGTCCAGGGGAGGGGGGCACTCCTTTGTGTAAGCCACATAGGTATGTACCACCCTATCGGGTAGGGTTTTTGCCCCGTTTTGGTCTGAAAACGGGTATAGACTTTGCCCGTTTTGGTCTGGAATGGGATATCGTTTTCGAGGAAACTACGAGAGTGTATGAGCGTTTTCCTCGTTTCAATTCCTTATGAATAACAAAGAAAGAAGAAATACATGTGAATTGGAAGTGGATTTTAAGAAATCTTTTTTGTCAGCATACTAATCTCAGTAATGATGACATAATTTCTTAGAGGCCAGGTGTGAAAACGTGTATGGATTTTAGAGTCTAGGTCTGAAAAGGGTGTGAAAAATGACATGTTTTGGGACTGAAATAGGGTCAGGGTTTGAAGAACCGGGTGGCACACCTCCACCCGGGTGACAGTCGCTCAAACTCAGTGATCGATCCCAACAATCGCACCGAGAAATTGGGGGCCGTCAAGAGTCTTCAAAAGGTTACCCTTACAGCTATAAAACAATCAAGTAAGGTCAGAAAATGTTTAATAATTTATCATTTCACAAAGTAGGATAAGTTAATTTAGTATCTACATCATCAATGACCGCATTCGCAGCCTACAGTTATTTGATAATCGATGGGTTCCCAAAAGTCTTGCCATCGTGGCCTCCCTGTGCGGGAGTACACCCTTAAACACACACCATCCTTCTTCTTTAACACCTGGATCGTGTAATTCTTCGGTCGACACTGGAAATGTTGATACCAACATTTGCTAGTTGAGCATATGACCGACCTGACGTGACGCGGGAAAAAATTTGCGCCCAAGTCTAACCAGGTTTTTGTTGTCTGGCACGTCCATTCGATGGTGGGATCGGTACTCTGAACAAGCGACCTCTTGCTCACGTTCTTGACATCGTTCGCGTGCTTCTCATCAAAGAATAATGATTGCTTGGTTTTGTGCCGAAGATCATTGTCGTCCATGGCCATGTAGCGTTGATTGTACCCATTTCCAAGTTGAAGTCGGAGTAAGTCGCGTTTGACGGGCTGGCAGTCACGGTCAGGAGTCTTCGATACCAACGAGTACACAGATGCCCCGCCGGCGGATTTTAATGTTAACGCAAACAAGCCAGTGATTAGAAAGAACCATAGCTGTGTAGAGATTAAAAAGTAAATTCAGATTTTTGTCAAGCAAGTATGTTAAGACCTACAGGAAAGGAAACCGCAGCTCGTTCAGATGATCGAGGAAGAGCAAAAGTGGGTGGAGCTGATTAATATGTTCAGCAAGTCTTCATGAAACTAAAACAAACCAAGAACACCAGATGAATCAGTAACAGTCGCCAAGGTCGATATGTAATCTAGATGCGGACGGGATACCCTCTTTTCCGAAAGAGTTTTGCTAGGTAGGAATTCGCCAAATAGGTGAACTTTTACATTAAATATTTCTGCCTAACAACCATCCGAGCGACGAGACACAGAAGACATAGATTAGTTCACTTGAAATCGGTAAAATAAATATTAAAAGTTTTAGGCTATCAAACCTGATTTTAATGCCACTTACACAATATCGCCTACGATCTTTTTAACCATTTTTGAATAAAATATGTATGTTTCTAAAACACTAAAGATGAATAAAGTGAAAACACAGGGAAATAACTGTGTGCTGTTTGTTGCAATGCTCTGTCCGGTAAACTGAAGAATAGTTGAAAAAGCAAAATTTCACCAATACTCCTTTGGACCGCGCTTAAAGACTCTACCAAAGTTATTAACGCAATGATAATAATTATAAAGCTATATTCAGTGCTTAGCTAAGTTTGTGATAAAAGCCATAAAGAGGAAGTTCACCTGATAAACCTCATCTCGCCTTACTGTTTACGGTAATAATAAAAAACGCTGAAGTATACATTACGGGCAACTTTTCAAAATTTGTATAGTTTAGGATTACATTAAGAATGTAAAAAAAAAGAGCGGCTTACTTGACTTAAAGTTTTAATTTAAAAATGGAAAGAACATCGGTCTAAAGATCTTGGTGACACTAAATGGCACTACTTTATAATTGCTAATATAAACTCTCTTATAGAATTATTTATATTACCGTCAAGGACAACAATTTCATTGAGCTTATTGTCTGTGTTGTTCCCCAACTGAACTACCATATCCTGCTATATTTTATCAGCTAGATTAAGATTGCATGTCTTAAAGCGTTTTCCTTTTCTTAGTGCCTAAAATAAGCCCTAATCCCATTACGATTAACTGCGGGTTCATTTCGATATCCTGCGGCGGAATCGCTAGTCTCCTCTCGCAACCGTTTTGGTGAAGCGCGAACTCACTTCGCCCCAATATTTCACCTCACCTAAATAAAACTAGGAAAAACACACTTCCCGAAGAACTATTTTCATCTCGCGTCCCACGTGTTCATATCATAGCATTTCGCACTCCTCACGTTTGTTCTAATTCAGTTCTTTCTTTACTCTTGCACTTTTTTCATAAAAAAGATCTGCAGAGAAGAGAAGAAAAAAGATAGCTACAGAAGTCGCAGAAGCTTAATTGAAGTCGCTATATCGTGATTAGTTCAGTTCGTGATATACCACATATATATCAACACATATAAAGGAAGTTTGCTGATAACCTAATTTGATGATACGAATATGGTTCCGATCTCAATGTGCCTTCTATTTCTAACTCTAAAAACTGAGAATGCCGCAACACACAGCAAAGCCGGGATTATTCATCGGCAAATGAAACAACTTTTACTTGAACTGTCTGAACGTTAGACACTTTGTATACAGGGTTCAGTAAACTGGTAGTAAGTTATTTAAAACTACATTACTACAAATGTAAGCAATTGCGTGCATTAGAACACGCTAAAACGTGGGAAACTGACAGACCAAACCTACGACTGTAATTGCCGAGGATATGTTGATGAAATAAATACACTGTTTTATTATTTGTGGGCTTTAATTTAGCAGTTTTCAAGGCGTCAGTGGGTGACCCTAGGTCCTGATAAGTGACACGAAAGCTTAACCACTGCGTCGTGTGTGAGCAAAATTCTAACATATCACTTATCCCTTTCATTTTGAGTAATGTGGCCTAAGTTACAAGTCAATAAAAAATCATTGTAAAATGCTAGCACCATGTAAAAGTCCATAAAGAGGTCTCGTTTGAAAGGTGAAACAGTGGCATTTTGTCCATAATGGTATTTTTTGCTAAAGTTTGACAGAGTTAGAACTGCATATTATAATAATTATCATCATTATCACGAGATCATCATCATCATCATCACCACCAGACCCTTCCCTGCCCTGTGACACGTAGTGTGCGAGAACACGAGTGAAAATGTAAAAAAGGTTGCCAATTCCCAAGACTGCTGTCCCAAGTCACATACGCAAAATCCGTTATTTCTTTGTGAAAAAAAAAAACAAAAAATACAGTCAACTCTTCTGCGAATACTTCTATCAAGGATGGACACCTCTCTAAAACTCAAACAGCATGATCAGTTTTTTATTCTTTGAGTCTCTGTAAGGCAGGACACCTCTCTAGGACGGACACTAACTGGTCTAAGAGCCAATCCCAAAGACACGGCGGACACCTCTCTTGAACAGAGAGCTTGAGTTGGTCCCTACCGGTTATTTAGTCTTTGATTCTCCGTAAGGCAGGACACCTTGATCTAGGATGGACGCGAAGTGCCAGTCTAAAAGACACGGACACCTCTCTAAAACGGACAGCTCTGAGAGTTGATCCCTAATGCTCTTCAGGGGTTTATTTTTACTCTCTTTATGACAGACACCTCTCTCAAAACGGACACTTCAGGCTGCACGCAGTGATGTTCCTCTGTAGTCAGTAAAAAAGACGCCCCCGGTTTTATCAACCTGCCCCCGGTTCTTCAAACGTTGGATAACGCTATCCAGCGGAAAAAGCACCATCCGGTGGTAAAGTATCCAGTGGAGAGATTTATCCAGTGGTTAACGTTATCTACCCCATGTTTGAACAAACGGGGCCTGGCCCCAGTTGCTGATAACCTTTTAAACCCCAATATGTAAATATAAATTCCCCGCACTGATCTCCATACATTTCCTTGAAGAATTGGTTACGAGAATTTGTTTGTATATCAAAGCTTTTCCCATCAGGTGATTATTTTATTAATTCTTACCACATTTTCCCTTGATTATGTATTGATTTTGTTTGGAGAAAATTGACTTTGGTCACTCTTGGAACTTAAAAGGATAAGGTGGGGGTGGATAGCACTCTCCATTAGATAAATCCGTATTCAGTGGATAACACAATTGAGTAGACACACTGAATGCTGCAAAGCTGATCGTACTACGTGAAAATTAACTGTGCAAGACATCAACCGGACACCGAAAGAGCCAAAAACAGAGCGAGCTCGTAGCAGTGGACAGCTGTTTCACCCTTTTTGGGGCTCGTCAGTACGGCGCAACAAACAGAGAGGCTCTGCCGTAAAATTCCCGTATACTCTGTTTTAAAGCCCTGACATTGAAGTCTCACACGGTTTCCTTAATACTTATCCACTGGATAGTGATTTATCAAGTGGATAGCGCTATCCAGCGTTTAAACAACCTTGACCTGGTGTCTTGATGAAACACTCCTCAAGTACTTGAAAAATATGCTCCCTATTCGTATAAAAATTCGACAAATGATTCTAACAAACAAGAACAAATTTGTTGGAGATAAAGTGCCCGATTATACAAGGATAAAAGTAGATTAGGGTCCATCAGACTTGTTTTCGTGACAGACCGTTAAAACTACACATCACCCCTTGAACTTCACCCTATGTTACGATAATAAAATCAAGCTTTTTGAGGCGTCTGGTAAGCTACGGAATTTCGGAAACATTGCCTTGTTTATCTAAGTGGCTCATTGCCAGTCAGTTATTGAGACATCATAATGTAGGGGGTTAGAACTTTTGAGACTATGGACGAAATCCTAGGGCGAACATTTAAACAAGACCTCTTTTGGCGCTTGGTACCGATTTTGTGCCATTTCTTTTTCGACCTTTTTTCAAAAGCAAACTGTGTGGGATTTTCCGTGAATTTTGGCATCGCATTTTCATTTGTCCGCTTGGTATCTAAGTGTACTAGAAAAGAAAAATAGTGCATGTCGATCTTGGGGTGTGTTGGTAGCGTGCAAACCGATCTACATTACAAATGGCTGGGGCATCAAGATGGTGTTCCTATGACGAATCTCTGAATTCTCATCACCTCTCTTTTTTACATAAATATTTAATAACATGTGAGGAAAGAAAATGAAGTAGATGGTAATTACTGCCACGAAATGAAATGAGTTCTAGATTTCGCAATTTGTACCCCCGTTGAGAGAAATTTGAAAGAAACAGCGTACCATTCGATTGGCCCTAATGTGACAACTGAAAAAGGTCTAAGTAATAGCATTTTCCTTGGCGAGACATAATTTGCCCGGTTTTGGTCTATCATTATATAACGAAAGACTATCTAATCAATTCGTTCTCTGGTTATCTTTTCTCTTGATCTCCAAGGTTTCCTATTTTCTACGCCGGCAAGTTAATATCGGTAATTTCTAATCATTCAATCATTTTTTTTTTTATAAGGTACCATTAAGCTATAAAAGTAATATTGAATTGGTTTGCTATTTTTACCAGTTCATAAAACAACAACTCTTTAGTTTTTCGTGTTTTGTGCTCACGTCGTTCCGCCAGTTTCGATTCTTACATCTCTCAAAATTTTTGTTTTATTACAAGGATTTTAAAAATCAATTTCACACATTCGCATACAGTCCCAGATTTAAGCAGCAATTCAACATTGGTCTCAGTAGGCGCGTTTGAGTTTCATAATCTCACTGGGACGGTTCACTTTGTCAAAGGTCTAAAACAGGAAAAGGAATTTTGATTACTATTGGGCCAGTACTCTACTGAGATAATTATGGGTTAGATAGGGAACGGATGGAAACAGATTGCATCTCAAAGTTAATACAACCCGGAACTGCTAAGAATTTTATGTTTTTTTTAACGTCGCCAATATTCTTTCAGACCTACAGGGTTCGATTTGTTTAAAATATTGCCGGTAAAAACAACAACTCACTTTCTAAACATAAATACGCTCGTCAAAACTACTTAACTAAGGTAAACGATTTGTGTACCGTTATATATTAATGATTAGGCAATGCACAAATTGCATTTGTCCTAAAAAGTAGAGTCGATGGTTATTCCGGCCATTAGCGTCTACTCGCATTGGGTGGTAGCAGGGTCTTTTGGCAAAGTAATTATGCGTTTGCAAGTCCGTTTATAAACTCTTTCTAAAACAAGTTAGCTTAATTTGTTTTACATGCAGAGATCAAGTTCTCTGTGCTCGTGCCCAAGACGAAAGCTTGTTCATAAATTAGGTGTACTTGTAATTAAATTGCACTTAATGGGCTTAAAAAAGGCGACAATTAAAACACTCTTACCTTATAAAAGGCCTTAGTTGCCATAACTTAACGTGTGCACAGTTTCTTTCTTATACAGGCAAAAGAAAATCGTCCTTTTCACCGACTGACTAACGGTGATTGGCTTTTATCTTTTCTAGCTTTCCGTCACTGACCCGCTGTTCCTCTGTGTCAACGATATGCATGCATTCACAATACACACAAAGCGGTAGAATAATTTCTCCGCTTAATATCTATACCCACACACGGAAATAGGGATAGGCTTTTACGTCGCTCTGAGGGAAGTCTGCTTTGCTTAGTTCGTGTCCAGCGTTGCTATATAAGAACGTCCGTAAAGATGTGGGTAGTTAGTTACTTTTGATTTGAACTTTATGTCGTGTTATCATCTGTAGGAGGGAATTGGGCGCGGCAAGGGTTAAATGTCCCCGTTCCTATGTTATCTTTTGTTACCTCCTATGCACACAGCTATTTCAATTACGCCACGAAGGACGGCCCGAGCCGTCATTTTCAGTTATCAGGAATGCAAGAAATCATTTTTCCGGTTTTCTGGTCGTAAAGGTATGCATTTCCACTTAACCATCGCCTCTCTAGTTTAGCGCTTTCCTGCTATCATAGCTGGCAGAGATTGCAAAAATGACAGCAACTTGTAAAACTACACTGAGTAACTGAACAATTTTTCGTGAGGAATGGTAATAAATTTCAGGTTCCCCTACTAGGCAAGCAATGTATTTTTAACCATTGTTTACATAAACAACAGATCTTCTCCACGGGCGCATTTCACATTTGTTTATTCATGACTTCCTTTTCTCAACTCATTGTAGTAACGAACATCCCCCTTGTAAAATCAAAACATTGCGGGAAAAATCGTCCAAAAACCATTTTTTTAAAGCCAAATATCGAAAACTTATTCATCTTGTCACAATACACAGCAATGACGTTTATTCTTTTCCAGGTTGGATATAAGAATTTCGGGCAACATGGCACTTTATAAGTCCAACAGGTTTTCCCATCGTAAACGTAATAAGTGGGTCTGATGAGTTATTATTATATTGCCAAACAGTCAACATCATCACATTAAAATATGTTTGTCATGCTTAAAATTTGTTTCTTTTGCTCTCTGGCATGACATCGTTATACCATAATCGCTGACAAAGTATTCCCTCCCAAATTCAGGAATAGGATTTCTCGTTTTCGTTAAGCAAGAGGACTTTGAAAGTTGTTATACATGTTTCGTGATTTTCTCCAAGATCTGATTCGTCTTATCAAATCAAGCATTGGCAAGTTTGAGACCTACAAAAGATCGCATTTCCGATCAGAGGGGTTTCTCGTGCAATCTTTGGATTATTCAGATAACTCGAAGAAAGTCCTTTTTTGTTCAAATAGAAACACACACCAAAAAATACAAGGATAAACAAGCAATATCTCCAACAAGCCTTACCTTCCCGTCTCGCTGAAATTTTCTGATATAATAAAGACCCGTACATACTGTAAATATTAAACTTTTACAGGATCTATTTCATTTTATTTATTTTTTAATTATTATCAGAGCAATTGACCGTGATATACTAAATCCGCCTGTGATAGAGTCATTGAAATTTTCCATGCATATTACTCAGCAATTTCTTAAGGATGTAAACTCCTTAATAGAGGCATAAGTTGATTAAAATAAAAATACATGTAACTAATTAAAAATCTTTAGGTTCCACTGGAGTTTCGTTATCTTTCTAGCTGATTTTTTTGTTTCCTTTAAAAGTGAGGCTGACATTCATCAAGCCTGACACAAAAACATTAATGCGAACAGCAGCTGGCGATCCTTTCAGTTTTCCACCTTGATGACACAATTGCTCTACTTTCAACAGCACTTGACGAAGAAAAGTATCAACACTAAAGATCTTCTATACAAGCTCTAAATGATACGTGAGTCCTCATTTGACAACAGATTTAACATATCAATCTTTTGATCGATGTTATCCACATGAAGTGGATTCTTGAAAAGTTACACTTGTAGTTTTGACTTGTAGTCAATCATGCAAATTCGAGCGAAACCTAACTTTCCTGCATCCAAAAGAAATCTCAAATGACCTTTTGGAGTGAAATCAATTGTGAAAAGGAATGTAAGAAAACACTGCTGAAGAAGTTTCATTTGGACCGTCATATAATCGGATTTTGTCCACAGATCCCAAAAGTAATAGCTAATTTGCATGTATAACTAACCCGGGGGTACTCCCTTATATTAGCCATATAGGTATGTGCCATCCCCAGAGAGTATGGTTTTTGCGCCGTTTTGGTCTGAAAACGGGTATAGATTTTGCACATTTTTGTCTGGAATCGAGTATGGTTTTCGACGGAACTACGGGAGTGTATGAACGTATTTAAAGTTTCAAATCCAAATCAATGAGATAGAAAGTAGAATTCCTAAAATGGATTGTGAGAAATCTTTATTGTTGGTGTTTTAATCTAAACAATTAACAATGATGACATAATTTCTGAAGACCTGGTCTGAAAACGGTTATGAATTTTAGTGGCCAGGTCTGAAACCAGGTGTGGAAAATGACATCTTTTTGGCCTGAAATAGGGTTAGGATTTGGAGAACCGGGCGGCACACCAGCACCAAGAATTCCCTGCAGTCCCCCCTCCGTGACAACTAACCTCAAGAAGAGAAAAGCTAAAGGTTAAGGAGGTAACATTCAAGGCATTGATTTTTATGCTCGCTTGAGAGGGGGAGATAAGAAAGCTGATAAAAACTCAGGTAGACTAACGCGAAAGTGTGGAATGTGACTAAGCTTTCTTGATCCCTGTCAGAAAAAATGAAGTTGGACCCTTTCGGTTAAAACAAATGAACGAGACACTACCTGTAGCGCTCTCGTGCAAATGGTATGTTCTTGGCCACGTGCACAGTTATTGACATCATGGCACTGAGAACAGATTCAGTAAAAGCTAAGAAGGGTTACTACAAAACAGGCTTCTGGGTAGACACAAGTCGTCAATGAATCAACGAAAGAATGGTCAGTTAATTTGATAGAAGGGTATGCAGAAAATGAGTTAACACAGACTTCCTGTCTGATTCCTGGGGAACCTTGTTGGGCCAGAATCGGGACAGGCAATTTCCAGGGGCAAAGTCTGAAAGACGACCAAGATAGATCATTTACAGAGTTTAAAAATATGTCTTTGCATATATATAATCTAGAGTTGTAAAAGAGTTCAACAATCGCGTGCAGACACTGTTAATTAAGCGAGGCCGGTTAGGGTAAGTCTTGAGAGAAGTTTGGAAAAATTAATGTCATCGGATAGTTGACCTTTGGTTGTTTTGCTGGACAGCGTATGAAGGGAAAACAAAAATTTGATAAAGCTGATGTTAAGTGACTCTTCTCCTATTTAAGGAATTTGTTTAAAGTCAATGCCAAATATGGCAAGAGCATAATGGGAAAGAAAACAGTTGTATTTTGCAGAATTTGAACCCACAACTGAGTAGCTTATTTCTGTTATTTGCAACAAAAACTTGACACACGACAATTAGCAATAACAGCCTTTCCCGAAGCTAATTTCTATCTTGAACTGTTTTCTTGTTTTAATTAAGCAAGTATTAGTAATTCATGTAAGGAGCGCTAAAGAGAGACGCTGAAATTTTTTCAAACAAATGCTATAACAGTCCTTACAACGTCAAAAACAGTGGAATCACGTGACGAAACAGACAATCCTAAAATTTTCGTTTTGAATACTGCCGAAAATTTGATAGCAACGTGACGTGAGATTACTTCCAAGGATTCTGTCGAGAAATTAGATAAGTTACGATATCGACACATTTCAACCTTAAAAAGGGGCGGGGAGTGGAGGGACATAAATCAAAACTGCCACTACAACAAGTCGTCCTTTTTTTTTAAATCTATGGACCTTTTTTATGAGCCTCATTTCTAGATATTTCCTCTAGCATATTTGAAGAAAATAAAGCAAATATCGAGTAACTTAACTCTCAAAGGAAACAACGACTGATGATGACTGCTTCAAATAACAAATGAACATCAACTGCAAAGGACCGCAAAAGAAGATGCCGCAGAACGTAGGATCTATAGAAGACCTGTTCAGCAAAAATATACCAAGTAGACACATGGAGAATTCTGCAATGTTGACCGTGCTTCGTTAACTTTGCAACTAAAGACATCAATCAGACACTTTGATGTCTTATAAAGTTAATCAGCTTGATCCTACATTCTGCAGCGTATTCGTTTGCGGACAGTGAACAGGAAACGGCTCGACTAGCTTCAAAAGGCGTTTTTCGGCCAATTTCCCGAGAGCGAATGGGTTAAGTGTTCACACATGAAATCAGTTACGACGGAATTTTTCCTCCCCGACCGGAATTTAATCCACAATTTCTAAAAGGGACAGACATTGATTGCATCAAAGGAAAAAAATGTAAACGTTTCATGAATGAACAAATTGAGACACAAACGTTAATAAAACTTTGAGGCAAAAGTTTGCGAAAATGTTACTGCAATTTGGTACATTCTTGTCTGTAAAATCTGTCAAATGGCTAACGACCTTTGGAAAAACAATCATGAATGGAAGCGTAGGCTAGGTAATACTGTCCTGTTATCTATCAAATTGGACATCAGATTTTCGGACTTCCCCATACCTTCTATTGACCTGCTGTGGCAAATGGTCGCCTTTCATCTGAAATTCTTTTGTCACATTCCCGATGAATATTCAGTTTGCATACTAATAGAATCACCTGCCGTCAAGAGAGCTGATCTCCTTTAGGGAAGGACCATTAAAAAACTTATGGGGGGGGAAGTACAAAAAAATATTCCCGCAAGGGAAAATTAAATGAAAAAACTTCATGCACGCCAATTAACCCTAAAAATTATTCATACCATGGCCTAAAAAAATTCATACAAAGAATTTGATAACGAAGAAAAATTCCTGCAGCTCGAAAATTCCCCACCCTCCCCCCCATAACTTTTCTAATGGTCCGTCCCTTACTAACAGTTAAGAGAAAACATACCAGTCACTTAAATTTCTTTAATGGAACTAATCAAATATATCACGCCGATGAGAAAAAAAAAAACATCGCATACCGACAAAGATGAAAGTAAATTAATCTCAACACTTAAAAGCAGGCAATTTATCTCCGGTGGTTTGATTTAATGATTCGTCCGATCTAAAATACGTCAATGTCTTATTTACCATTACGGATATTTTTATTCATTTTTCAATTCTGTAACTATTAACTTTGCTCTCTAAGTCCTTCAAAGACAGTGAGGAGAAAAATAACGAATACGAACGTAAAAAAAAAGAAAAATGACCAGATGGCTTGCGTCAAAGAAGTGGAGGCGAAAATCGTTGATGTAATTTTGAGTTATGACGATCTAGTACTTAAAAAGGATATTAAGTCAAGTAGCCATCATAATGAATAGCCATTGAACACTTAGGCTGAAGATCTAAAATGAATGTTAGTTCGGCGTGGGTCAAGGCTTAACTGCTAAGATTGTAGCCACAACAGTCTTAGAAAACTAAAACAAGAGCCTAAGCTAGCGCGTGATTACCCCAGCGACAGCTTGAAAATAAAGTTTGATGTGAAAGAAATAAAGCATGACATTAATTTAATAACTACAACTGTGATCGATGACAGTCTCAAATCTGTCACTGTTGATTCCTTTTGTGGTTTTTGACAAAAAGGTATCATTAGGAGGTTACAAAAAAGTCTTAATCTGAAGTCCCCTCTGCTGATTCGCTTTTTGAATCATAAATACAAAATATGAAAGTTGGCTTTTAGCAGTTAATAAAAGTTTTAAGTGATCGAAGTTGTCGGAAGCAATAACAGTTTACAGTAACGCGTCAAAGGATGTTTAAAAGAGCACCTTTTTTTGGGCGAGGAGATAGCAGTCTGATAAACGTAACAAGTTTTTTGGAGTACACAGGTTAAAAGAGTTGATTTACTTGCTCTTCATCGTCGTATATTACACTTAGTACTGACCACTAATTAATTACCAGTATACAAATAAAAAGTGCCCGAATATATATGCATAACTTTCTATCTTACTTATGAGCCATTGCAGTTAAAAAGGTGATTCCAAAGCGATGTTTGGAAGTACTAATAGACTAAGACGCCATGTTGATCTTTAAGGCGTCTATAAACCCACAGTACAATTGTCATCGTATAAACCTTTTGAAGATAAGGAAGCAATAGTTACTTTATGTACCTTTGTAATCATGTCTTCAGCTACCTTCCTCTGGTTTTCGAACCCTTCTCTGACCTGTTCCTATCGAGGTGATCGTAAATCTCTTTCAGATAATTTCTATTTTCGCAGACCACAAAGAAAAAACAACGGTCTTGAATTTCTAAAAACACTCCAATCTGTACCCTGCCCTGCGAAGATGATGCTTAATTATACAATCCCTTGATTACCCACGATAACAGCTGAAAAAATCTGATTTTTATTTTTGACAATGCGGGGGAGAGGACAGACGTTTGTCCTCAGATGTTTACAACAGAAGTGATCACGAACAAAGAGTCCACTGTGATGATTTGTTCCTAATTTGAATAACCCTGTCGTGGGAGTTAATCGAACAGTTTCTTCATTGTTTTTGAGTGAAAGCACGGAAATTATATGCTATAAACCTCGCTCTTTTCTCACCTTACAGTAGCTTTGTTCTACGTGATAACGTATGTACAGCGTATACTATTCCCAATTTCCATCAAGTCTAATAGTAGCGATTATACTTTCTCACGTACAGATATCATATTTGACAGCAAAAATCTTCCCTCGTTCATTACGTGGACCTGCGCTTCCATTTCTAGTGTTAATAAAATCCACCCAATGTTTAAAATCTAGCCGAGAAATCTATCAACGACCACCAGAAAAGGTTTTTAGCTGTAGCAGATGTTGAAAACGTTTGTTTTTGTCGTTTTTGAATATTATGACTTCGTGCATCCGGATGGACAAACTTCAAAAACGGCGCGGTACCCGAGCTCTGTAGAGAGCATCGACGAAAAATTACCTAACTGCTCAGTCGCCTTATCGCATTATTCAAAGTTTATCTTGAAAATAATTAGTTATTGAGCAATAGACTTTTACTGGCCCTTGGGATCTTAAAAACTCCTATCTGATTTCATTTCCTTTTCTGTCAGTTATCGACGTGATGCCGGCGAGGGAGCTTTGGGCAGGTGTCAACAACTTACACAATATTGGTCGAATCGAACGTGAAAAATAAAAACAAAAAACCCCTGATCATTTCCAGCATAGATAAAAACCGAGGATATAGGTAAACAAACAGGTTATATTGCTTTTTCGATGAAATTCTCAATATCTGCGGCGACTCTCTCATAACGGAAACACACTGAAAAAGCATAAACCCTCTCACTCCCTGAGATAATTATGACAATTGTAATGCATTACAATTGCCTTAACTGTAATAAAAGGCAATTGTGATTCTACGGATCCTATCATATGATGTGACCATTCAAATGAAACATCTTCAGCAGTACTTTCCCATGGTGTCTTGCAGAATTAAACAACGTGGAATTTGGAATTTTCTTGACCCCTTGGGGTAAAGAGAAAGAAGGGCTTCAAGAAATTGGCAAATATGATCGGCCATGTTTATCTTAGCACCAGTAAGGTGCAAGATAAACCTACTAGCCCGTTCGATAGCGTTTCAGGCAATCGAGAACCTTTACTGTAAATTACACAAGACGGCCCTTTTTCAACGCCAAATAGAATTGATCATAATCAACCTAGGCTTCCAAACGACCTTGAAACAAAAAGCGAAAAGTCCTGGTGCGAGGCCAAATTATAAGGAAAAGCGTCAAACACACGGTTTGAAATAGAGTGTAGAAATAATTTTAACACGACTTTTATCACGGTTGAGCATGCGGTGAAATACTCACAAGGTATGCAAACGAGGTTAATGAGTTGAAAGAATTCACAATAACCATTTGAACTCGTTTCCATGAAAAACCGCTGAAACGAGGCCTCTGGTGGAGGTAAAACTAAGGGCTTACTAATGAAACACAGAGGGAATATTAGAGAAACCTCAAGGGTGATTCCACAAACGAAAAGTGTACTATGTAACAGTTTCCGTTTGTTAGATAATCTTAATAGCTTCATTTGCGTACGCTTAATCTTGTACCCAGATTTCTTGTCGTCGAAACCGTAAAGTGATCTGGGTACGACATTAGCGTACACTTTGCAAGTACAGTGGATGCCCGCCATACGACCATTCTGTAATTACAGACGCTTTTTTTCTAGACCAAGTCAAGGTCCATTTATTTCTTTATTCTACCATCCTGTTATAAGACTAAGACGACCTTTGACCATGCCTAGTTGCTATCTTCCTTACATTTTGCCGGATGGCGAGTCGGAAACATTCGATCTGACAACCCGTATGCACTCTTTTATCGAAAGGCGTGGAAAATACGGAATCATCGATCATTCTATATAGAATTAAATGATAAACTGTGAAGACATGTTCTAGAAACGCTTAGTATGGTAATGCTGATTTAGTTATTATGACCAACACGTTAACACGACCAAGTATTCACTGGTCATCGATGGTCCCTGGAAGACGATCAGGCAGGGTTCCACTGTAGGCGTATATACAAATTTCCGGAAAAATCACCAAAACTCTTTGTGCCGTTTCATCGGAAAGAACACAAGAGAAGCGTCAGCCCTCCAACCTGGCCACTGGGAAAATCGCAAAAAGATAACCTTTTTCCTGAGTTAAACTGATTTTTTTTATCGTCACCTGAAGCTTAAAACCTAACAAAATACTCGTCATCGCAAAAAATACCCAAGACTTTGTAAAGTTCTTTTTTTAAAATCTCTTAAATTCTCAAAAAAGAAGATCCGGAATTTTGAATTTTAGCCTACACCTGATGGACTGGAAGGTATTTGTGTGGGCGCAATGTAAGGGTTTTACAACTTTTCATAGCTTACATATCATTCTTATCGTCTCTGTATAGATTTTAAAAACGTTTGTGTTTATCTTAGCTGATTTTGTATATTTCTAGCTATCTTTGCATCCGAGCGTTTGAAAAAACGCCGCCACAAAGCCAAAGATAGCGTTCTTGTATAAACTGGCAAGTTTATACATATTACGTGAAAGCTCGTTAGTTTTTGTCAACCTTCAACTTAAGGCGAAAAACAGACTCTAAATTGACCAATCAGAGCCGTTTGCTTCGTCAATCAATTCACGTGATGGTTGATCTAGAAAAGAGTGTTTCAATTCTTTCAGCCTCACATTTGAAATAGTTTGACGTTTGTTACGAACATGTAGATCCGGCTACAAGAAGTAACAGCTGATTCTTCTTGTGCCGTTCCTTGCATTCACTGAACGCTGCTGAGAATAAAATGCTCACTTATGCACAAGTCTATTGTATTCTATTTTTAAAATTCATGCACCTATTATAGTTACTGAACGTAAAAAAAAGCTTACGCCACCGACCTCACTTACGAAGAGAAGTATGTTTTCAGGGGCACCCAACGACGGTTTCCTCCTACATACATTGAAAACTCTTTCTAGGCTATTCAGAGTGCTACAGAATTTCAAATCTGTTCGGTCATCCTAGGGCAACTTAGTCTTTTCGAAGTTACACGGGCTTCAGTATTACTTTCACGAAATTTTAGATGCAATTTAAAGAAGAATTTATCTGATTCCTCTCTCCATCACATTTTTGAATGCTAAAATTTTAGGTTACTTTTCTTTTTCTACGAAAATAGCTTAACCTGGGGAATAAAATGCACAAAATTATACTTCAGAAAATCGTAGGGAATTTATTAGATAAGCTTCGAAAATTGTACATGAATGGAGTGTTCATCTAGAAATTTTTAGCCTTCCTCAAGCTATAGAAAATTTTAACGCAATTTTGCTTCTCCGAACAGGTATTTTACAGAAAAAAGTCATTGGGTGCCCCTATGTTTTAGATGGTCAAGTTTGGACGGTAAAATTTACGTCAGACCTGAAAGCATCTTTAAAAGACAGCTGCTCTTGAAATGGAGTCCATTTTCTATAATTCACTCTGACGTTTGAAAGACAATGTCCTGGTTGATTCACTGTTGGTGATTCTTATGTCTGGAATGTTCCTCACGGAACCAACCTGATTTGATAAATCTCAACTTTGTATCGCACAGAAAACATGCTGTCTTATTTGATGGACTTAGTGTATTTTGTTTTAAGGAATCTTTTTCATTCAATTAAGCTGTTATTTGGTGCAAAACAAAAACGTATCGATGAAATTAGGTGATTGATATCTCGATATCTGGGCGACTTAATCTTTATAATATTAGGCAAAATTCTAAATTTCTCTTTGCAAAATATTCAAAACGAATAGCACCACTCACAGATACTGCTGAAGAGGTTTTGATTCATTTAAATAATAGCACCATAGGATTTCTCCCTCAGATTCTAAAGTTAGAACTACATCACGTGAAGATTTAAGGAAACAGTTCTTGTTTTCTTACTCGCAGGAGACTTGATTAACTTTCTGTTCAATGTTATCAAAAACAATTCTTTATTGTTTTGACTAAAATGAACCATTCGGAGGAAAAGCTTTTCACTTTGAATTATTAAAAAGATTCATTAAAAATCCTTTGATCTGTTAAGCCCCAATCAAGAAAAACCCCAAAGTCAAACAAACATCTGGTCACGAAACACGCTGTCATTTTTTTTGAAACAGCTTGAACAAAGGAAGCGTAACTAAAACTATGATCGCATAATACGCTTAATGGCGGCAAACGAATTACGGTTATCAGCTCATCTTGCCAGGCCAATAAAACTCTTATAAATCGAGAAAGATTGCCTTACAAAGACACTAATTTAATTTTGAAGGTCATAAAACGTGCAGAAAAACCAACTTCCCCCCACCACCCTCTCACTCAGTAAGAAAAAACAACAACATTAAAACAGACAAAAGTTAGACGTAAGCAAGTATATATTTCCTGTTATTAACAAGAAAGCTGTTGTTTATTACATATGAAACGATGTAATGTTTCTAGATTTCATTTTGTTTCATTGCTATACAACTTCCTTGTTTAAAATTTGATACTTTTCGCGTGGTTTGCAATAAACACTGACCACAAGTCTCGTGGCAAAATGGATAAAATTGTCATTAAAAAGTTAGTGACGTTTACTGAACTCTTATTTTTGTTTAATCTTTGCCGGTGGACAACTTCTCTTAGAGTGTGTACACAAGAAGGACATTTTGGACTTCCTCAAGATAACCTACATTACTGAAAAATCTCTAAAAGTCGTGAACAAGAAAGATGGTAAAGATGAACCGGTTGAAGTAACCACCTTCCGGGAGGCGAAACAGAAATCATCGATGACAAAAAACGCAATAAAATAAACATCTTTAAAACTTAGCTGCGGACAAATATTTCTGGTAAATGACATCGAGACTTATTAAACTTTTTAGCAAAGTCTAGCAACTGAGGATAGGACAAATGTGGCAATGACAGAACGTTGGGGGCACATGAACTTGTACTTACCATATTTTGTTTCGTAGTCCTCTTTTGGGCATCCTTCATTGTAAATTAAAACCTCTGAATGAACCTTGAAGAGAAAGGGCAAAGTTCGTCGATCGACAGTGGATTTCAGGAAAAGAGAAATGACCGGAGGAGACAACCGTGACTGGAGGAGCGGTGAGACCAAGTTTTCTCTATCAGCGAGATGGGAATGTACTGTAGCGTAAGTGAGATCCACGTGTGGTAATACGTTCTCCTGGCAGCTGTGCCCGCGCTTAAAAAGCGACCCAGAACTGAATAAGACGCATGCGTCAATTAACGGGGAAACAAGGAAAGTCTGGCCGAGGACTCAAGAAAAGTGTAAAATTTCTCTTAGCCACAAAACTCCTACTTCCCCAGTTACCCACTTTGGTGGAGCAGTATGACCGGTATATGGACAGCAGTAAATAGGAAAAGTTCTCTTCAACAACGGTAATAGCGTCAGTCACCTAAGAGGCTGCGCGAATTAACGAGATCAAATGATTCGTCAAGTTTATACGAAACAAAATCTACGTAGTAACATACAGGACCCCTGCCCATTGGATATATCCCGAGGAATGTTATGTAATTTATTTAATGAATTCAAGACTTTGTCGAATTGAAGATACCTTATAAATACCTCAATAAGTATTTTTCTGCCCAAGAGATGTAAGAGAAAACGTTATTGTCCGGAATGTGGGACCGATTTCATTTTCGGCATTTTCGACATTTGCCGATGTTGTTGTTGTTGTTGTTGCTGTTAAATATTTACAAACTTGCATAAGAGGGAATAAAAGATTGCCTTGCACATGTGTGTGCACGTGCATGTCAAAAGGGCATGTGCATCGTCTTGTAACTAGTTCCTCTACTTCGGATGGTTCGCACGAGATGTAATGTTACGAGTTGCATCCTTAATTTTTACCGGCTCAAAGTTGCAGTACACTGGGGACAACATTTAATTTACAGTTTGGGGTTACTTATGGTTGAGATGAAGTTACTTGTCGTTGTTCTTGTGTAAAAATATTTCTAAAACACGGCTTTCAAAGTGTTTATTGGGAGCAACTAATGGTGACAGCTTTTGACATTGCACGTTACCATAGCAACACCCTATATTTAAGCTGTAAGTAACCAAAGCATTGTTGTTTTATTTTGAGGCGCAACAGCACTTACTCAAAACAAATATAATTACGAGTGCTGTTAGTAACTTGTATCCTCGCCCTCGATGCTTACTTAACTAGTTCTTTAGGGACTTTTTCTTCAACCGTAATAATGGTCGTCTTTGATTTACGCCATACTTGTACTTCATCAGTCCTTAAAAAAAACCCAGCTTTACAAGTATCATTCTGAAAACTTTATATCTAACTTGGTGTGAAACGGTCCGCTATTGTAGATCTGTAAATCGCTTATTTTATAATTGCTGTTAATTGTTTTATTCGCTGTGTCCTTAAAGTGCTTTTCTTGTCATTTTATTACTTGTCATCATTTTAATGTTTTTTTTTGTCATTCTTCGGGGTCACTATCATCAGGACTTTAAGTTCGTCCATTTACTCCCTTTAAGCCCCCCCCCTCCCCCCATTTATTTGTCAACTTAATGGAAATCTTTGATAAATATACAGTGTATTACTTTTTTATTGCTGTCTTTTGCTTCTTTGATTTTTTCATGTAAGTACTCAATGAACTGGTTTTGAGAATTTTAATATCGTAATCGTTCATGATAGACTTACTGTAAATTTTATGAGTTACTGAAAGAAAACTAGACTAACTCATTCAATTTGTTTGTGTGTATTATGTTACCACGCCTTTGATAAATCTACAGGTTCAAACGGAAATGAACATGACTAAACTTGTGTTCTGATTGGTTCTCTTTACGTAACTTCTGCTTAACCCGTGAATCCTGTTTGGACCCCCTTTTTGTTACTTTCCGTCCTTTTTCAGGATGGCCAAGGAGAAAAATCCCTTGCTGGCTGTCTTTCTTTCGAGTCTATTTTTCTCAAAAGGAGGGACGGTGACATTACCATAATGGTTATAAATTAGAAGAGAATTTTCTTTATCGTTTAAAATGCAATTTTGTTGTCCCAGTCATATGTCGTTGACCTGGTTGAGAAAGCAACGACAAAACTTTTAAAAATGCATTTAAAGAACACACGATAGTGCACGTGCACGTTAGATAATTTGTATATTTCTGCAATTGAGGACTTTTGTTTTTGATAAAAAGTACTTTTCTGATTAAATTATGGTAATTAAAATAGTTGCACGAATTAACAAGTAAGTAATTCCAAGATCTTTAAATAGACATACCATCTAACTCTTTATCAATTCTATTTTCGTCACAATAGTCGTAATAATTGTAACACTGAAAGGTACTCATAATTATTCTAATTTGAAACCTTTTCTTCCCTTTACCTATTTAAACCTGCCCCGCGTAGTTTCAGAGGGGCAGTTGATTGTAAAAACGTTTTTCCCAAGTAGACAAGAAGTTGAAATTGATGACATCTGATCATTAAAATGAAATATTAATAGACATCAGAGTTTATTGTATGCTGAATATTTGGCCCATGTGAGTTTATGAGGTGTGCCTGATACATAACGATGAGTATTCTTGTCAGTTAATGTCATTGTAGAGTTCCAGAAAGATAGTTTTAATTAACTCTACAAGCTATTAGAGGAAAGAAGGTGAATTCAGTACCTCTTAAAGGGCAGTGATAAGAGCACCAACAACTTTACCCAGGTTGAAGGCTAGGCCTCGGCGCCGTATGTGGTTTGAACTTGTTGCTGTTTCTCACCCTTGAGGGTGCTCCGGATTCTCCCTCTTCCCCAAAAGTCAACGTTTCTAAATTTCATTTCTAAAAAGAATGGTACATGAACGCCTCTATTTATTTCGACGTTCAGTGTGTTACAGTCTATCTGATTTGCTCCACCCGGCTAGATTAGCCGTACTGTTTGGGTAAGTTTTCACTCGCATGTTGAAATATACGTTGTAAAATTACTGGAAGAACCACCTTGTAGATGGTATCCAATAAAGAATTTTATTTATTTATTTATTTATTTACTCATTTATTTGATCATCAGCCTTTTATGAGGGGCGCTAGGCAACTACAACGATTACCAAAAGATACAGGGCTTTGCAAGCCTTAAAATTTAAGTGGCTTTTGTCACTTAGTCGATAGTGAATTCTAAGCAAATTCTACCGTTAAAGTTTGATTACCGGCTTTTAACGATCGAAGTTGTATTATGACCTGTTACATTTCTAGAGTCAGTTGTCCTTAGACAGTGACAATTGAGCGTTCCTCTGCTCATTTTAACCCAAAAATGAATTGTAGAGTGCTGGTCAGCTTTTACAATGTAACCAAAGTTTGTGGCTCGAAATTGAATTTAGATCGATTTAAGGCGTTTGTCGCCACTATAGAGTTTGTGTGGCGTTTGCCCCTGAATAGTTTTACCTGGGGTTACCCTCTCTAGAAATAACAGGGCATCGCTTGGAAGTAAATTTGATTGCGACTACCTTTTTCGCTTTACAGAGTCTGGCGTTTCTCCCCCCTTTTCTATGACTGACTGACATTGGTCTTTCATGTAATTTGCTGGGCGTTTTTCATGATGAATTTAACTCATAATAAAAGGCATATTTCTAGCCTTTCAAGCTCCAAAGTAACGTTTGGGCATTGTCACCCACACGTGGATTTGCTATTGTTCTCTTACAGGCATCGGTAGTCCACATGGGAATTTTAGGGCGTTTCATGACAACTTCTGCGGCCTTTCACAGTCCGAGTGGCCTTGTGAACTGCAAGGGAGTTCTACGTGGCTACTGCCCTTTACAGTTTTACTTTAAGCCACTGGAATTTGTTGCCTTGAGTACAGGGCGGTCAAAGGCCTATGCAGCAGGGTTCACTGGCATTTATCGACACCCAACAACGAATTATGAACGTTTGACGTTCATATCTGTTAGAGCGTCTTTTGGTATCATTTTTTTAGTTTGACTCTTCAAAAATCAAACTTTGAGATTTTGACGCCATTGACATTGAAGTAATTTCTCTTTTAACAACGTGAAGGTATTTGCCCCATTGCCCACATGGAATTCCGTGAATTTTGTGTTTTTTAGTACGCCGAAAGGCTATTTTTGGGCCTTCTACACATTTCAAGCTTTTGTGCGGTTGTCGCATATTAGTTTGACTGCACTTTTGTTGTCCAAAAGTGCATTCTGGGCACGTTTCGTCCGTACGTCCAAAAGTTACTTTTTGGGCGTTTTTCGCCCATTATTTTATGCTAGTGATTTGCCACCCTGCCAAGATTACCCGGTGTTTGCACAGGTAGCCCAAGCGCAATAAGAACTGCGCTTTATAGACAGTCACTAACTAACAAGGTGAGTTTACCAACCTCAGTCGGTCGTGTGATAGCGTATCAGCTTTGAGGGACTTGGGAATTCCATTCAGTGGTCATCTTTTAATCTTCTCTTTCATCTTCGTGCCTATGTCGTCTCTCAAGGTATGCCTCTAAACAAGAGATAATTGAGAAGAACAATTACAAATTCGCAGCGGTATGCCGGCTCATTTAGCCTGTCCTGGTTGACTGACACAAAAGACACTATTGTATACCCGTAACAGTTATTAGGGAGTTTAAGCAAAGGTGTTTTTGAGCTTCTGACGGCAACCGGAAGTGACCCAAATTGTATTGCCAAGTGTGTTTACTCTCATAGGGACGATATGTCCGAAAAATTTGGGCAAAACCACTGCCCAAGAACACAAAAAACCTAGTTCCGGCTGTAGTCCGTCGCAAAAAAAACGGCATTTGGTTAAGCTCCCTACTCTCCCTGCATAACCCAAGTACGAGAGACTATCGGAGTTCTCCTCTTTTCCAACACCTCTGATTGTGTGCTGGTTCTTAACGACGCATTGATAACATCAGCAGATGAAGGAGTCAAGGCGAACGGCTCAAGGTCACCACCAAATGACAAGCTCAATGCTGTTTGAGCTTTTGTCGACAAACTTAGTTTGACTCCTCATAGACCAAATTTTGAGATTTTGACACCATTGACATTTTACGTAAACTAAGACTAGACCTTAACTACAGCCATCCTGATCTAACCAGTTTTTGTAAGAGCCTGGTTGGTGGCTTGGGTGGGGTTTGAACCTTCGACCTTCCCTGAATCGGGCCCCCGGGAGTCTTCTAAACTAAAGGCGGCTATTTCTGGTTCAAAAAGTTAGTAGTGGAGTGATTCTTTGAGCGAAGCTTCTCAGAAGGAAACCCAATGGTAACGGTGTTGCCAAGAGCTCATCTAAGGTTGACGCCCGTTAGAATAAGCCCGTAACTGACTTGCCTCGCGAGCTTCGGTAACATTTTGAACTAAAGTTATCTTAAAATAATGTCTAGTGTAATGCTTTCTTGTTCCAGTCAGCTTTAAATGTAAGAATTTGGCGTCTCTAGAGCCTCCTGGTTACAATCTCTTGCATGCTTGTACTACTAATGTTAATGGGTGGATAAGAAATTTCCCGGCTACGCTAAATCGGCCTAAAATGCTGTTACCGAGTATAAATGGATTTAAGAAACTAAAAAGTATTGTAGTGGAGTATACAAAATGTCCCTTAGTCCCTTACAAACTTGATTTGCGGAAAAAGAAAAAGAAAACGTTCTCGAAGGAGAAAACTCTGCGATAGAAGGATAAGATGCACCACGACAATCAATAAATATTCATCGTTTATCTAGGAAGTAAACTCCCACGAAATAATGATACTGAGGGGATTAGAGTGGAGGAGGGGTAGAGTAGAGTGCGCACGCGAAGAGCACAGGCTACTGTTCAAACGTTTTTGCATCGAATTTCAATTTGCAAGTGTTGGTCTTGATTTTCGCAGCAACAGAAGTAAAACCTTTTCAGTGGAGACAAGTTCTCGTGACAAAGACAAGATCTACCAAAAAAACTCAATCATCATTCGTCGTTTACTCTAAGATGTAACTCCCCTGTTGATAGGAATTCCGGGTGACTGCACCCAGTTTCGGAGAATAAGCCGGTATCTTACGGATAAATAGGGGAATGTGAACAATCGAACACGAGCAAGACTTAGGTGACCTTCTCCGCTTTAAGAGTCCAACTTCCTATTATTTCGATTTCTATACCGCTGCTAAAAAAACCTTCGTACGCTGCGAGAGCTCAAAATACATAAAAGGTCAAACTTAATTGACCACACCTCATTACTGGTCCCAGAGAGATAGCCCGGGGGGTTCTTCCTAGTAGTAGGCTAATGGTGTGTAACAATGGGTGGGGTCGCACTTTCACGACTGGGTTGACTATTATAGGGTTGCATTTTTATCAGCGTTATCAGAATGGGGTCGCACATTTTCAGGATTTTGGGAGTCAGAAAATTCAGGTATGTAGGGATTTAAACAACGTTAAGTTTAACAAATGTGTCAGCTCATCTCAGGTTGTCCAGGTTAAAAGGCTTTATAAGGTAGATGCATAAACAGAAAGTGACTAAGTTGGGGTTGTGAAAATTACTTTTTCCCAAAGGAATTAAGATGGGGTCTATAATGTGGCCACAGAATAGACTATAATGGGGTAGGGGTTCTGAGAGGCCAACGGCAAATATCCAGCAAAGATCAAACTAAGTAAACCCCTCCCCGCGGGCAGATAAGTAGAACTTCGAGCAGGCATGTGTATTAAACAATACTGCGACAAAAGTTTCAGAAAACAGTTTATCCTGAACAGAACCTTGAACCCCTTAGAGTCAAAATTTCATTTCCCCACTTGGTAAAACTGCTTGATCAGACATTGAGGCCTTGAGAAAAGAAGGATATCATCAATAAATAAATAAAATAATCCAGACTGTTAAACAAACTCTCCTCCTCAGTACCATGGGTAATTTATGGAGAACGTGGGTAATTTATGGAGAACGAAGTGCAGAATACGATTAGTGATGTTAGGGTTGAAAGGTTACCGTAAATCCTCTATTAACCCCAACCGGGGGGCTTATTTCTTTCAGACACGTTGGACGGGGGATGGGGGTGAGGGGTAAAAGAGACGGGGGGCTTATTTAATTTAGCGAAGATGGTGTTATTGCTTCTCCATGGAGACCTAGAATGCAAAGTGGAAAAGCTCAAGTACTAGAAGTTGGAGGTCATGCAGCCGAGGTTCAAAGAACAATTCCGACCTTTTCACGCGTGCCCTCCAACTGTGACTCAAAAGAAAAATATGAGACTGCCGCTCGCAGTCTAAAAATCCCGGATCAGTCCAAATGAAGATTTTCAGTCGGGATTTATTAATACAGTCTACCATTTATAAGTAAAGCATAATAAGAAGGAGAGGAAGGGGGCTTATTAACTTTCTTGCCCTTAAAGGTGGGGGGAGTATTTGAGAGAGAGCGCTTAATAAAAGATTCACGGTAATTCAAACATCGTTTGATATCTGAGCCTCCTATTCCTCCCCCTTCGCATCTCCGTCCTCCGATTAAAAAAGGAGGAAAAAGGAGAAAAACCTGGGACTCTGTCTATAGGAAAAAAATCGGCACAAGGAAGATAAATCAATGGACCTTTATAGAAACAGCGTAATCTATCTTCTCACTAGGAGAAAAACGTAAAAGAACCTGCTTTTACATAGCGCATGCGCTTAAGTTATTTGTCTCGTCTGTAAATTTTGCAAAATGGTTTATACTAAACTCGACTCATAAAGGCTTGAGTTGCTTAAAATATCACTCATGCGGTTTCCATTTATCTTCGCTTTACTCAACACAACTTGCTTTTTCATGTTGAAGTCCACGTTCGTGGACCGCGCAGGCGTCGTTTTCGAGTCTCGCGCACCATCTGCTGACTCCGAGACTTCAGTTTCACTTTCGTCAATTGGATTCAAAATGTCGACTCTTGTGTTACTGGGATGTCCAGTCACGCTTTCTCGGCGCTCTTTAGCACCATCTCCATCTAACTCCAGTGAATGGGTCATGGAGGTTGTGCTGCTGTTCACACTATCAATTCCCGAATCGCCAACAAACATCGCACGAGCCCGCTGACGGTTAGAAACAGGCAGAGCAGTATGCCTGTTTGAGCTATCCCTTTGCTGTAGAAACTCATGCCCGTTGCACAACACTTGCCTGTCTGTTCGTTCAGGTCGTGTTGAAAACGCGTTCTTGCCGCGACCGTTTTCGAATCCCTCGGGATGGCCGTTTTCTCGTCCGTACGAGGAAGGTCGATCTTGAGCCGATTCATTTCCGATTTGTCCTGTTGAATGCACCGAAAAATCACTTTGAGAAGATGTCCTTGCTTGGGGATCCTGACCGCTGAAAGACGTAGTACCGAGGTTTTTTACAAAGGCACGTTGGTCGTTGACTTTAGACTCTTCAACTGTTCTGTTTTTAGAAAAGTTGTCCGGCGGTTGAGACCAGCTATCGGACAGAGTTGAATGAAGCCTGTCAGATGTGAGTGAGCCATTCACGGAATGCAAATCTGGACTAGAAATGGACTCGTTCCTATAAAAATAAAGCGGTGAAAGGACTTGTTCACTGGTTGTACCTAAGGACCGCGACTTCTCTTTGCGTGAAACTTCGGGGAATCTGTCACGGTCATTTAGCAACACGGGATTACCAGTGTCAGAAACGGTTTGCGGTACGTGAACATAAAGCACCTGTCCTGGACGCCTTTGGCTCAAGCCGTCGTTTACGTCCACCTCGCTAAGAGCTCTTTGTTCTTCAAATGAACTGAACGTATTCCGCCTCACAGGTTGCCCCAGATAATTAGTGCGGGTTACTTCGGGGGAAATGTACTGAGGAATACTTAGGGGTTGTTGAATGCTCCCCAGCGAGGCGCTGGAGAGTCGTTCAATGTTTGACGGAAAAGAATATGCCCCTCTGTGGTTCATGTACACGGAATCACTGTACGGGCGATGCACCACGACCGGTCGAACAAAATCCCCACTCCAGCTCGGCAGGGAATTGGGGCGCGGGAGTACTGGTGGTGCTTGAAGTCGACCTGCCCCCCTTGCGAGTTGTTTGGTGCCAACATGGTGGTCCTCACTCACGGCCGGTAAATCCAAGTCGGAAGTCGACGTCAGTTCTATATGAGGCGGCGCCGGGTACTGTCCAAACGATTTAGCTTCTGTGTAGTAGGGTGAGCCTTGACTAGAGAACACAGCTGATGAATAAGAATCTCCTCCTAAAGCAAGATGCACTGGATAAGTATCACTTCGTCTCCTGGACGACTCTGGATTAATAAGCATCGTATTGTAATTCCCTGTAACGCTGTTCACGCTTGGAGATAAACGTCTTTCACTGGCCATTTTGTCTTCTTCGTCATGGTGATAGGAGCCGTTGATGTATCCATTTGATGTCATTCCCTGAGATTTGCTTTTCTTGCCAGAAATTTTAAACTCTGTTGCTATTGCAGGAATACACGACTTCCTTCGCGTTTCCATCTGCTTCCTCGACAGTGATATCTCGTTTTCGGCACCCATTTCGTTTGATTGTTCAATAAGCGGCGACAGGGAAAATCCGCTATCCTCGTAAGATCGTCCCACAGATGTACCACGTTTTGCAGCAAAATTGGCGTAGCCCCCAGCACACGGGTCTACCTGTACAAGTTTATCAGACATATCAAAAGTAAATACGGCCTTTTGTCGGACCAAAGGAGAGGAACCACGGCGCTGTCGATGGTGGTCGTTTACTGTTAGGGAGTCGTCTGACATTCTTGAACTGGAGTCGTTGCTTTCTATGGATACAGATGTTAGGTTCGTTTTAGCGTTTCGATAAGCATCTCGCATCTTACCAGAGTTAATTGGTGAAGTTCGTAAGCGCGTTTTATCGTTTACGCGGCTTAGATTACCTCCCCTCGTCTGGGTACTTGTATCATGACGTTCACTGATGACACTTCCGTTGCTGTTTCCTTGAACGGAAGTCAAGGCACCCTCATTCTGACCATCTTTTGTTATTTCTGCTCTTGGCAAATCTGTTTGTGGTGAGTCCAAACGAGATACTTTTTCAGAAAGAGAAACATCGGGGTCAGTGCCGATACTACTGACTTGTTTCCGGGTTCCATTTGTAACAACGCTGCATGCGGTAGAACCCCTTCTGTCAGTTGCAGGAACTGCAGAGGCCCTCCGTGAGGCCGGATCAGTCTGGGCCGTCTTGTTCTTTTTTAATGCCTTGTTCTGCCAGTGTTTTGCTGTAAATCCAACTACATACAAGCTGCCGCGGCGTCCCATTCTTCCCTTCAATTTGGGTGAGCCTTGTGATGAGTCAACTGACACTGACTTGGCAGACGATGTACTTCTCTGTCTGCTTTCAGGCATGCTTTTAGCTTCTGAAGTGGCATTGTCAGGATCGCTCCTTTTCGGGCTCAGTAGTGCTTTTGCAGAAGATGTTTCACATGTTTGAGAAGAACCTTTGCTCCCCGAGGGCGAAGGCTGCTGGGACTCTTTCTCCGTAACTGAAGAAGGCAATCCAGCTCTCTCGATTTCCACTGTGTATGAAGGTCTTCGCGATTCCATTTCAATTTCGATTCTTCCGTCCTCTGGTACTGCCAGCAAACTGGGACGACTCACAGCCAACTGTGGGGTGAAAAGCGAACTTCTTGGAGAGGGAGGGCTGATTACTGTACTTGGACTCTGAAGCTTTCGTCTTCCCATGGGACTCCCCCTTGGGGTTGAACGGAAACTCGGGTGAGGAGAGGGCCGCGTTCTGCTCTCACGGCGCTGGTCTTCTGTGTCGAAATTATTTTGACCTTCACCTTCGACTTGATCCACAACCTCTTTGGACAAGTTTGGACTACTTTGCGTAACAAATGACTGAGCAACCTTCAGAGCATTTGCTGCACCAATGATAAGTGGTCTCTTTCTCTTTGGAAGTTTTAGCCTCGCTTTTGCGTGGGAGTAATACAGCGAAAAGTTGCTGACGATCACCGGAACTGGAAGTGCAATCATAAGGACACCGCTGATTGCGCAAAACGAGCCCACGATCTTTCCTTCCCATGTCTCTGGTGTCATGTCACCATAGCCCAAAGTTGTCATGGTAACGACGGCCCACCAAAACGAGGCGGGAATTGTTGTGAATTTAGTAGAGGGTCTATCTTTTTCGGCGTAATATATGATACTTGAGAAAATGACTACACCTATACTAAGGAAGAATGCAAGAAGGAACAGCTCACTAAAGCTGGACTTCAGAGTGTGCCCCAGGATTTGAAGCCCGTAGGAATGACGCGACAGTTTGAAAATACGGAAAATGCGAATGAGTCTGACAACTCGTAGGACCACCATAGTCTTGATATCCGACTGGCTGATAAAAAGGTTAAGATAGAATGGTACAATGGCGCCGAAGTCTATCCAGTTCATAGGCTTTTTGAAAAACTGGAGTTTCTTTGGGCAGAAAATCAACCGAATAACAAACTCCAGGGTAAACCAAGCTACACAGATGATATCAGCATAGTAAAGGGCTTTGTACTGAGATGAAGACTGGTCTTGAAAGTAAGGAACACTCTCCAAGCAAAATGTAATCACGGATATTAGTATTAGGATCAAAGTCGTGAAGGCAATAATCTAAAAAAAGAAAAGAAAAGAAACCTATTATGAATTTTAAAAACAAAAGAAAATCTCTTCAAAGAGATGGAGGATTTTATGAACTTTATAACTGATGATTTTATGACTTAGTGACCTGACTGGAGAATCTAATAATCCTTTTAGCAGCAAATCCTTATACTGTCGTCACCGTCAAACACAGTTTTGAAGGAACGAATAAATGAATTAACGAACGAACGAATGAAATGAACGGATGAATAACTTTATTACACGGATCAGCTTGTATTAAGTGGCCTTATGTCCCTAATTCGTTTCACTTAGTTGTCGTGCAGAACTGGGCGCGTTGGGTCTCTTACTAATCTCAGATACTAGGATAAGATCAGTGCGCTGGTTTGGTTAAGTAAATAAAAACGACCTAGTCAAATTCAGTTAAAAAGCAAGATTGCGACGAGAACCGAAAGGAATTGTAAATTCTATAAATAATAGAGGAAGATAAAGAAAAGAAGGATTTTAAAGCAAAGAAGGGATTTTTAAAAATGCAAAAAAACGCTACGAAATTTAATTAAAACGCGAATGAAAGTTGTTGATGGTACGATTACAGCCTAAATTTGCAAATCCTATTGTTAATACAAAAAGAAACACAGAAAAAAGAACTAAAACCAAGAAGGGATTTTCGGGAATCAGCTGCTGGACAGCTGTTAAAACACTCCTCTTATCGCCTCTCAAGGTGTCTGCTGGCAGCGTCAAAGAAAACAATTTTTCTATAGTCTAACACAGGACAGCAGAAAACGTTCTTAGTGCCCAAAAACGCAGATTTCGGGGTCAGAAAATTTACCACTTCAAACAGAGGAAGCTGAATAAAAAAAGCTAAGTACGTGCGAATTGCAATGAGACTCCAAGAGATCAAAGTTTGTTAAACCAGTTGACGAAATCAGGATACATTTGTACCCGATAGATGACTGATTGCGTAATATGTTTTTGTATGTTTTCTATAGGTTAACACCTCGACTCGTGTTCATTTTATAAAATTTGGCTCCGACTATGTATTATTTTCATTTAAACCTTTTGCTCCAATTTGGCACGATAATTTAATTCAAGGAAAAAATTCCCTATTTTATCTTCGTAAATAAGTGAAAAATAAATTTTAAAAACAATATTACCGGGAAAAGGTACAGCTTCGAAACAAGGTTTTTTATTATAATGGTCGCATTGTGAAACTTCCTCCACAGACTCGAAAGTAAGAACAATTTTCTGTGATGCTGATTTAGAGTTGCAAAATTAGTCGCAGAAAATACCAAAATAGCCGCCGGCAAAGAATTACGTGTCATTTAAAAGTGCAATTTACAGAGAGGAATTGACCATTAGTTCGCCCCAAATGGTTCGTACTTAAAAAAGTCAGACGAGATTTGACGCGGTTACGATGGTTGGGTTTTGCTAGTTTTGAAACGTTTACCCAAACCACTGCGACAAGGTAGCAACAAGGTGAAAATGCTGCCAATGAAGAAATCGAGCGACTTAACTGTTCTAATAATAAGATGTTTTGGCGCATACAGAAAATAATATTAAGACAAATATATTTTATTAATGGTTTCTGTCATGAGATGAGTTTGTCAGAATTTGTAGTATTCAGTACGACATTTTTTGTTATATTTGTCAGAACGAAAGAAACTTAAAAATAAAACGTGATTTGCTTCCGTCATCTCGTTAGAAGAGTCAAATAAGGCATAAACCAAAACTTGTGCAATCTATAAAGATAAGTTTAAAGAAAAATAATAAACAATGTCAATATATAAATTTACAAGTTCAATATAAGTTCGAATTTCTCGCTAATTCTACATTTCGGCTTTTACATGGAGTTAAAAAAGCGTAGGCAGACATACAAGGTGCCAGTTTTGTTCATTTTTTAAGTGCTTCCCGCACTAAACAGTGCTCGATGAGACATGTTAATTCTTTGTTTTTAATAATCGCGGAGACAGAACTAGAGTTGAATTTCAGTGGAGGTTGGCCGGTTGATAAGCACGCATGCGTGTCCTAGGGATCTTATTTCGTGCTAAAAAACGATAATTGATTTTAAGATAGATCGAAATATATATCTTAACTATCGGTCATTTTGCGGCCAGTTTGGTAAACGTCGGAAACTCTTTATTCCAAAATAATAAAATTACTGAAAATTTTCAGAAGCAATAAAATAAGAAGCGATCGACCGCCGGTTAATGAAGCGGTCGATTTAAGGCAAGGTTTATCTATAACATGGAGCATTCTCTATTGTGCAAGACATCAACAATTTAACATCAATTTCCATTAAGTTTGAATGAAACACGGGTAAGGCCATGAACTACGCATATCTGTTTGATTCAGGAAAATTGAGATAAAACATGCTAATCCTCAATGCGAAATTAATTTTCTTTTGGCGTGCATGGCTACGTTAAAATCACCTGCTGCGAAGTTTCGAAGATCGAGGTTTTACTTTGCCCTATGTGGTCGCAAAATGATATGGGCTGTTACTATGGCTTTTTTTACTACGCTCGCCTTAATTTTTGAGTAGCTGCACAAAGAAAAAGAAAACTGAGAGGCGAAGGGGTCTTTGGACAGAGCAAATTGATCTGAAATAAACAGTGTGTACGTATAGGATTACTTGTTTGCTCGTGATTAACATTAAACAGCAATCTCAAATTTGCGCTTTCTTCGCTGATAAAGTAAAAACAAAAAACAAAACAAAAAAAATCGACGCTAACGTTGACAGGGATGACAGAGACTGAATTTAACTTACATATTCAGACAATTAACGGGAACGTAAGCTGAGAAAATTGTACCAAGAACAAAAAGATCAGCTGGTCGGTTTTAATACGAAGCTGCGAGTTGCACTTAAATATCGTGTAAAGCAAGCGATCATCAAGCGCTTCTCTAAAACGTTTACCGCGTTAATGTCTCCTAGAAACCAAAACAAAGACTGACCTTGCCTGCGAAAACTGATTCCTTGTATAGTTAAAACCCTTTCTGCTGCGCCAAATTTAATTTTTCTATGAGTAAAATGGCCCAATAACGGAATTGAAAAATGCGCGTCGAAGTGGGGTTTCTATTTTGTATATGATTTAAGGACTCGTGTAAAAATTAAGCAATATTAACAATAGTTATTCAAAATCGGAATCACATTTTGCAATCTTGTATAAACAAAGCACAAACCTGAGCAAGAATAGACGAGTAAGGTTCCTCAAACGTGGTCCAAACTTTAGGTTGGTATTTCTTCCAAAAAGAACGATTCCTGTTCCTTATGCTATTCGCGACAAGTCCGTAGACTGTCATATCCATGTCTGACAGCGAGTCCCTGTCTGAATCATGCCCTCGGTCTAGGGTATCCAAATTTGCTTGCGCTTCGCGATGTTTCTTGTAATTCAACCAACAACACGACTCGACTTGAAGCTCGTCGATGCCCCAGAAAGCCAGTTCTTCTTCGAAAAGCGGGCCACAGACGTCGTTTGGACAGTGCAGCTTACCAGTTCGGTAGAAATTCAGAATCTGCGTAAACACGGTTGGATGACGATCAAAGAAATACTCGTTCGCGTTAGGGTCATACTCCGGTAGCTGTGTCTTGTTTTCTGTAATCCAGTACAATCTGGTGTCAGGAATATTTTTCAGTGTTCCCGTGTAGGTCTCGTGCCTTATCCCTCCAACGTTGATCACCACCTTCTCGTTTACGCGCGGATCGTCCGATAAAGACAAGCGTGTATCCTTCAGCGACATGACCTGGTTTTTACCCCCAGAAAACTCAAGACCCTGCTCCATTCATCGTAACCACTCTAAAGTTTCATGGAACTAGGTCCTCCTCGGTTTATCTAATATCCCACTCGACGGCGGAAAAATATGAAACCGAATTGTTCGGCACAAAGAGCTATTTAGACATAACTATTTAGCGTTGAACATGATTGTGTCATTGAGGTAGCGTAGTGCACCATTTTAATGATCGGACAACCCGATCTCGTGTGCTTGAAGTTCGATGTGGGCTGTCAATACCTCACACTTTTAAATTCAGAGCGGTTGGCAAAGACGCGAGAGTTGCACTTCTAAGCGCTACGATCCACCGCAAATGTTGCTCGTCTGTTAAAAGCTGAAACGTAGTGAAATATTACACGAAAACAAGGCAAAATTGTCACGTACTGCGATCTGAATGTCTCAAAGCTGGCGAAAACATCGCCGTTTGCAAAATTGCACACAGGCAGAGAAGGTTTCCCCCTGCGGTTTCATAGAATTATTTTGTCCTCATCTAAAATCTGTAAAATGTTATAAACAAAGTGCGATAGTATTGTGCATGCGCGCCGGCCAGCCACCTGTCCTCTAAGAACAGGAAACTGTTTGTATGCACTTTTCTACTATTTTGCATCATGAATAAAAATACACACCGAGGCACATTTCGTATTAACGTTTATTTTCATGACAACGTAGTGCACGGAGCTAATCAAACAAAGCTCACATCACGAAAAATCCACGTCAAAATACGTGGAGGAAGGCAGAGACCAGAGGCAATTTCTCTTCACCTTATCGACAAACCCCATGGGCGAAATGATGTCGGCGAAAGTTGGAGATAATTAGACGCTCTTTGTAAGAGCAATGGTTCTTACAAACGTTGACAGCCACGTACATCAATTAGGCAACACTTCCGAAAGTGAGATGACGCACATGCGTGCAGGCAGTTAGCTGTCATTTGCGCATGATCAATACGCCCGTAACACAATGTCGAAGGTCTGGCCTAAAATTTCTGATAAGCGACGCTCGAAGGCGATTATTTTTTTGTTACGAGTGCAAATCTCAATGAAGAAGAGACGTATTTACTAAATAATGTTAACCGCAGTTTGATGGTGACAAAAGGTAGACGCAGCTCAGTCTCTTGGACTGCGAGAAGATTCAAACAAACGAGTAATTATGAAATTAAATTGTCGCGTTTCTAATTAAGCCGGCGTCCGACGGGTGATCAAAATTGAAAATTAAATTGAACGCAAATATTCTTTTCTTCCAAGATTAAAATAAAGAAAAAAAAAATGGTTGAACGAAAAACTGAATTGCCGGATAAAGAGGACAAAACTGAAACTAAATTTATTTGTTTTTTTTTTTTTTAATTTAAGCGTGAAATATATGCAAGAATATTATGAAAACGAAACAAAAGCCGTGACAACAAACTGTGATCAGAATCATCAGATAATTGATCGACCATTGAGTTCTTTGACGTCACAGTTTACTTGCATTTATGAAGACTTTTTCAATGTTCATTTTTCGCTCAAGTTGGCGTCCACAATGTTTTAAGATGTTGAACAATCGCCCCCATTAAGAGATTAAATAAGATGAGCTCGGCATAACGATCAGTACCTCGTTAATATATGAAGTGAGTTTTGGCTATAAACTGGTCTACTTAACAGTATTCTGGCGAGGGTTAAAAAACAGGCAAAAATAATAACAGTTCTGTTCGTTTTGAAACTTGGCTATTTCAATAACAAGTGAGCTACTTTTCCATGGGGCTGACGGAAACTTACATTGAGAACAGGTATTTAATTACAAAACGCCTCAAATGCCACTTTTAGACAAACTTATGATCGAACGTTCGTCAAGTAGACGTATAAAATCTGCTCGATTACTCAGCAAGCCGGCTCCATTTAGCCATGAGGTTAACCACGCCGCTTAACATGAAATACATCAATTTGCACTGACAATCAGCTCTTAGGTTACTCTAATGAACGTTAATGATGAAACGACATCACGTACGCGTACATAACTGGAACTTTAGTCGAACTAATCGACAACATTAAAGTTATCAGAAAGATTTTCTTTTGACCTTGAAAAATGGTTCCCACAAGTGTTCGCTACTAGTTTTTTCAGCCAATAGTTACAAACATAAAATGAAGGACACATCGTAAAGAAAACCCAAACATCACGGATAGGGATCAAAAAAGCGTCGTTTTCCAGATTTCAGGTACAGTCAACCCCGTTAATATGGACACTGAGGGGGCCGTAAAAGTGTCCGTATTAACAGGGTTTCCGCTCTCTCCTCCGCAGAGGGGAGGGGAGGCTGGGGAGAAAGGAAAAGAGAGCGCGCGCCCATCGTACCCCGCGCGCTTTCTATTTTTTCGATTATTGCTATTTTTATAAAGGGATACCCAGCGGGAGCCTCTGCGGAGGAGGGAGGGGTTTCCGTATTAAGCGAATTAAATTTAGAGGAAATGTAATGGCTTTCTTTCCCTCAGAGACAAAGCAAACTGTCCGTCATTATGAGGTGTCCGTGTCATACGGATGTCCGTAAAGCGGTCTTTGACGGCTGTATTTGCTTGAGTCAATCTAATTTTGAAGTTATTTTAGGTTCTGTGGAACGGTAACTTCTGGGGCTCAGGGCGTTAAGTAACGATATTAGAGACTTAAAGATCCAACGACTCGGCGGCGACAAGAACGTTGCTTAAAAAGTGAATCTGCGTTCTTTCAGTCTTTATAACGATTATTCCTACCCATTTATTTTGTCAACTGTAGACGAACCCTCCTGAAGCTGAATTTCAAGGGTCCATATTCAAGCTCAGAAAGAGAAATAAAATTTCGTCGTTGCTTGGTTACGTCCTCCATAAAACGCGAAATTAGGCATTTTCACGTCGCAGTCGTGCAAAAACGGGAAAGAAATGTACAAAAAAGTGTGATGCACGTGAGAAGGTGTCGTTTTGCTAATTAAACCTTTTTTTGACGTTCTCGTTGTCGTCCGCGTCGTTGGATCTTTATATATTAAGTGCCAATATCCACATAAAAATTGTCTCAACCGATCTCTATACATTTCCAAGCAGAATTAGTCGAGAGAAGTTGGTAAAAGATCAAAACATTTCCCCAGGGTGCCCTGTGGTGATCGTTTCTCATAACCGTTCTTCTCCATTATGCATTGGTATGGTTAGGAGAAAATTGATGTTGGTCACTCTGTGACTTTAAGAGTTAACTAGTCTCCTGAGGGAGACTACCTGTACAAATTTATGAAAGGGAGCAGCCGGCATTTGTAGGAAACATTGCAATGTTACCCTCTGGCGCCGTAGACTTTGCAAAGTTTTTCGCTCCTAAACGTTTGGCGGGAAACTGGTGTATTGTTAGATGTCATATCACGTCGAGGTAACAAACATAAGCACAGCCGTACGTTGATGGAAAAAAAATTTCCACCTATGAAACATAATAGCACTTATTCTTGGTAATACAGCTGTAATTCTATGCCATATAGACCCGTAGGTGGGTACCTAAGGCCAAATGTTTTTATTTCAATTCTTGTCAAAATTCGAACAGCCCTTTAACACCTGCTTAGCAGGCGCTTGGAATTGGAAGTAATGGGCGCAAGAAAAAACGGAGCGCGCGAGGGAGTCCGTCTCGCGCCCCCTTCTCTCTCACGTATTACTTCCAAGCAGACATTTTTACACTTGACCTGAAATGCTCCCATGCTACCTACCCGTTTCCTTCCAGACTTTCAGCGCCTTCCCCCTTCCCCCACCTTCCTTGCATCTTCTTAACAGGAAATTATTGCGAACTATTTAGATTACAAAACAGTCGGTTTTGTCTCAAAATCTGTTTCGTAAGGCGTGAAGCCGGCGTGATATTTTCGCGCGAAGCTTGTGGGCCTAAGACGCGTCTCTCCGCACACCAGACCTTTCTTTTGACCGGTTGCGCGAACGCGCTCTTAACCTTGGTAAAAATATGGGCTGTTTTGCAGTCTATGCGAAATTCTGCACATTGCTCAAATTTGAGACGGAAAAGATTGAGTATAATAAAATCAGTAAATATATATAAAAAGAACTCATGCGGTTCGAGATCAAAACGGGCCCCAGGAATAACAATTTGGGTTTTCATACAGTACCAGGAGCCCATGATCATAGGTTCCTGACGGTACCCTTTAAAGTGTTTCCAAGCGATGAGGGGAAGCGAGGTTATGATGGCAACCGGTTTTTCCACATCTTCTGTTGCTCCTGTTTGCTTTGCTAACATGTACGCGTTTCCCTTTACACAAATTGCAAGTTCTGCAAGCGCGTTGTCTTGTTTAGACAGCGCGACTTTTCCCCTAAGAGGCCCTCTCTTATTGGCTACTATGAGGTCACATGTTTCCCGCCAAAAGTGTAAAAGCGGGCCAAAAAGGATCAGAAGATAAAAGTTTTATAGAAACATTTTAGAACTACTAATGTCCTATATAGCATAACACTTTGAGTTGGTTACTAAAAACATTACTATGATATCAAAAGGCTAGCGTATTTCATCGATAGTAATAAACGAAACAGAAGCCAAAGCATAGTCATGTATACGGAAGAATATCTGCTGCTCATTCGCCACTTTAGAAACGAGAGGGTAACTGGGACCGAAATGCGCTCGCAATTGTTTCTGAGATCGTTACAGGGCACGCGCAGGTCGGTCCCCAGTAACAGTCCCAGAAGTCTTTGCGAAAAACACTCGGCCCAGTTTCCTTCTCGTTTCTAAAGTGGCGCATGTCATGTGCGGTCGAAAAAAGTGCAGCCGTTCCCAAATGGCAGCAAAGCCGTGTAACGTGGGATACATGTCACGGTTGTACTGTTGTCAAGGAGAGGCATTGCTTTTCTGCTAGGAACAGGCCGCCACAAGAAAAAAAGCACGAAAGAAAATACCCGATTGTTTTACATCGACGCGTAGTCCATATTAAGATAAAATACGGTCTCACATACTCCTTTTAGTCGGGTCAATCGTTTGTACACATTCGCTTTGACAAGTCCAAAGGTCAAGAGCTCGTAGAGGAGCCTTTAAGTTTGGCCACTATCCATTTTCACGTTGTTACACTGAAGCGTGATTTCCACAGCATTGAAGAATTCGTAATAGGAACATTAAATCTAAGTTGTGGCACCTATCTTCGATGGGCCAGAGTCCTATTCAAGTCCAAGAGGAGCGGCAATATCCTCTCAAATCCATTAAGCCAAGAGAGAGAAACGTTAAGCTTGACGTCAATAGATACAGTGTAGCATACAACTTGTTAAAATCGACATCTGATTAAAGAAGGGTCATTTCCGCTTTAGGTCATTTCTCAATCGTTGCTAGACAACATTTCCAGTTCTAATGGCACAGTTCACATAACGACATATGACACCTCTCAGTGCCGAGCGCGCATGCTTCCAGCAAACCATCTGCCATGCACGTTCACAAAGATAGATACAGTGAAGCACAAAACAAGGGTCATTTCCGCGTTAGGTCATTTCTCAATCGTTGCCAGACAGCAATTCCAGTTCTAATAGCACCGCTCGCATAACAACATACGACACTCTCAGTGCCTAGCGCGCATACGCCAGCTGGCCATCCGCTGTGCACGTTGATCAGTACGGCTGAGCCTGAATTACGCAAGATTCCAACAGGTCAGAAGTCTAGCAGGCTTTTTGTGGACTGACACGAGAGGGATCCAGGCTTCCCACGCACTGAGTCTTCCTGCGACCTACTGACAGTTTCTGAGAGGTCTGGGGGAAGGTGAAGTTTCTATGGAAACATGCCAAATCACCGCGTTAATATAGCTCTTAAAACTTAAGACTTGATGGTCTAACTACCATGTATTCGTCCTGCTGATAATAGCTCCCTAAACCACTGTTCTTATTCATTTTTGACGCCAGAGATCTCCATAGTTGGGATTAATGATCCGGGCAAAAATAGCCCTTAAAAGGACTGTCGTTGGTGACTAATATTTGAAGTATCAGTAGAGTTTTTACTACGATTCTATGGGCGTGAATAGTCCCCAAAAGGACTGTTAACGGTGACTTATGATTGATACAAAAAGTATCAGTGGTTTTCCTAGTGTCATTTAGCAGTTGTACAAAGCTCTCGGAGATAAGCCTAAGGGTATCGGTAGTTTGCCCAGTTTGATCATCAAGGCATTAACAGCCCTTAAAAGGACTACTGTCGGTGACTGATCAGTGTTTGGTACCGGAAGGATCAGTTAGAGAGTCTGTCTAGTTCATCTAGCAGTTGTGTAATAGTCCTTAAAAGGACTGTTGTCGGTGACTGATCAGTGTTTGGTACCGGAAGGATCATTTAGAGAGTCTGTCTAGCTCATCTAGCAGTGTGTAATGGTCCTTAAAAACTGACTGTTGTTTGGTACCGGAAGGATGACTGTCTATTCATCTAGTGTTTGGTCCTTAAAAGGACTGTTGTCAGAATCAGGTTTGGTACATTTTAGAGTTTCTGTCCTCATCTCATCTAAAAGGACTGTTGTCGGTGACTGATCAGTGTTTGGTACCGGAAGGATCAGTTAGAGAGTCTGTCTAGTTCATCTAGCAGTTGTTTGATAGTCCTTAAAAGGACTGTTGTCAGTGACTGATCAGTGTTTGGTACCGGAAGGATCATTTAGAGAGTTTGTCTCATTCATCTAGCAGTTGTGTAATAGTCCTTAAAAGGACTGTTGTCAGTGACTGATCAGTTTGTGGTACCGTAAGGATCAGTTAGAGAGTTTGTCTAGTTTTAGCTAGCAGTTGTATCATACTCCCTACGAGGACAGTCTGTGATGGCTGAAGGTTGTTACCATAAGTATCAGTAGTTACTTGTCTTGTAGTAGTTTGATGATACCTGACGTTTGGTACCAGATCTTTCAGTAGTTTGTTTCGTATGATCTTTCGATCGCGAGTAGCCGTTCCGCAAATGAAAGTTGCGAGGGATTGATGATAACAAGGCCAATTGACTGGTAGCACTAAGGGTTGATACTGTCTTTAGAAAGTAATGCAATGTTTCTCCACCATCCGAAGGAATCTCTACCTTTGATTGGGTCTTTAAAACGCATTTGAAGGCTCATTTCTGCGAGGTTCTACTAAAGAGGCACAGAATTCACCCAGAAGTTACTCCTCGCCAGCCCTCGAGTGAGGTAATTTAGCTCAAAGTACGTAAACATGGTCAAAGAGAGGACGCGGTTTACAGATCAAGCCCTTATTCCATTTATGTACATTCTTGATCGTCAACATCTTTTTCGTATCACGATTCGCATAGAGACAAAAACACTTAATTTCAAGACTACTAAACCAGTTTTATAACTTGAGCGATAGGTTTGGGACTAAGCGATTGCAGATTTTATACTAACTGTAGATATATCATGCTATCGCGTGCCCTTCACTTTTAGTCGCTATTTAAGCGGCCAGTATAATGAATGCCACAAATGATTGGAAAATAAAAACCCTAACTTTACCTCAATGCTCATCTTCTTCCTCCTCAGTTTGAAGGCGAGGTCGAATGAATCTGGCACGTGACTCACCAGAGAGTTTAACCGAGGAAGCCGAATGATGTGGAAAAGACCTAGCACCAAAATAAAAACAGTGGAGCTATAAACAACTCATCCCGTTACCGTTCTGCAAAACTGCAACATCTAAAACCTTAAGATAAACCGTTTCCGTTTACAGGTAAATTACCTGCCCCACCAGTTCTAGTAAATACGGGTACATTGCCTCTTACCACTGAGAAGCGGCAGCTATGCCACCCGGTTGAACGATGATGCCATTGCGGCATCTGGGAAAAAGAGCGTTTTCACATGACGTCACGGCGGCCATATTGGTGTTCCAAACCAATCCTGTGGGAGTTGAACTCTTTTCTTATGTAAACGCTTTCTTTTGTTCTAATAAATTTGCATAGATGCTGGACACGTGGGTGAAAACGCTCTATTGCTCTCTCCTTTCATACAAATGCATGGCTTAACCGCCCGTGGGCAAAAACGGTGTGTCTTAAGGTCCCTAATGTGATGTAATAAAATGTACACACTCACCATGGTAATCTTTGTAAACTGCGTTTGTTTCGTTTTCAGAGCCAACAAACGATTCCAACTTCAAGACAGTGTCGCACAGCCTCTCAACACGACGAGTCAGTGCTGTATCCTACAATACAAAACAGTGTATTGGAATGAATTTACACATCCAGACTTCTCCTACACTTAAGTTAATGTCCCGAAAACCGAAGGTTTTATTCACACGACACCATCGGTGGTTCTCAAGGCAAAGTTACATCTACTACGAGATTACTTTGCTTTCCCCTCGAAATTATGACGTCTGAGGAATGAGCATAGCAATTCCATACTGACGACTTGTCAATACGCAGGTCTGGATAGTGCTTCTGATTGGTTGAGGTCAGATTCCCACGCGGCACAACCAATCAGAAGTACTGCCCAGATCCGCTTAGTGAACGTCATCAGAATGGAATTTCTGCGCTCGTTCCTCAGACTTGATTTCGAGGGAAAACCAGTGGAGGCGTCGCGATATGTTGTCCGTTTTCTTTGGCTAGTATAATATTCATCCCTGGGCATTGTTATTCATGACATCATAGTAAGGTATGGGGAATCAATCTGACCTTGAACAAGCCCAAGACAGACTGAATTGAATATACTAGGTAATCCGGAACCCGACTTACTCGCTTGGGAGGGCGGGTGGGTCGCCAATCACCTTCGTGTCGGACAAAGTTACCCCAGGGATGATATTTACAATTCAGATGGAACGTGAATAGATGAAAACCAATCTAACACGAAACAATATTACTTGAGAAAGGCTATCGTCATCATCATCATCAATCATCATCTTTATCATCTTCATCACTCGTTGTATCAGTAGGGAGCTTAACCAACCACGACGGCAACAGCAACGGCAGGAAGACGTCACTTAGAAAGCGAGTTCGCGCTTTTTCAAATTAGTGACGACGCGGACGGCAACAAGAACGTCAAAAAAAAAAAAAGGTTTTATAAGCAAAACAACAACTTTGCACGTGCATCTCGCTTTTTTGTGTATTTCTTTACCCGTTTTTGCACGACTACGACATGAAAATGCCTAATTTCGAGTTTTATGGAGTACGTAAACAAGCAACAACGAAATTTTATCTCTTTCTGAACTTTGATATGGTCCCTAGGAATCAACTCCAGGAGGGTTCGCCTACATTTGAATGAATGAAAGAATGCAAATTCACTTTTCAAGCAACGTTCTCGTTGCAATCGCGTCGTTGGATCGTAAAGTCCATACTTTATTACTCTTGTTCCGTTTTATAAAATTTGTTTCATGTTGGGAAATTCTTCTGGAGTTGATTCCGAAGGACGGTAGGCACTAAAGGCTGTAACATTCTTAGCCTTTGTGGCCAAAAGGAAACTTGAAAGACTGCTAAGTAGGCTATAACATTCTCCCTTCAGACTTCTCTCTTTGGCTACTGTTCTCTCAATGCCAGTGAACGGTTTTATCGATAGATACCGGTACCTTTAGATTCGAGGAAAAGGACGACTGCCAGAACGGGATTTGAACTAATAAAAAAGGTTTCTTCACGTATTCTCAAAAAATGGACGCCCTGGACAGCTTCACTTTGCTTACTTTCTTTCATGGGCGGTTTAGCACCTCTTCCAATTGCAAAATGAAAGACACGTCTGATATTTGACCATTGGTTTCCGCCATTACGACATTATCGCTACAACTCTTCCGACGATTTTTCCCGCCAAAATGAAAGGTTCACGCACGTCTTATGATATTTTAGACCATTGGTTTCGAAAACCAAAACCAAATTAATCACAACGGCCAATCAGAGTAAAGGAAATTATCAGAAGAATGACGACCTGTAGCGGGAAAACGCGAGTGACCACATTTTTTAGTTTACATCTGAAAATGCCTCTGGCCAATCAAACAGCACAGTAAAGCAAAGCCAATTCAATCCTGGATTACTTTCAACACTCAATTGAAAATTGCTCTAAGTATTGAGTAGATAATTTCGCCCACAGGGTCGTCTTCTTCAATAAGTCCTCTAATACTAAATTACCTGAAACAAGTGGGTCGGAACTGTAATGAAACAAACAGCCAAAGATGAGCGCATCACTGCACGAAGCTGGAAAAGGAATCTGGTCAAATAAGGACCATGTTGGTCTTCACCCCACAGTGCTGAACCAACTCCTTGGAGAACTACTCTCAGGATTGATCTGTTTTCAAGCTAAAAAAAGCAAAGTATTAGCCTATTTACTCTGAAAACAACAATACCTCTAGATGCAAGCCAGTCAAAACACAGGTAATCTTTATGCGTTAGTTTTAGTGCTAGTTATTTTTTCTTTTATCTTGGGTCTTTACATTCTAGTTTTTGTATTCTACATGGTTCGTACAACCTTGAAAAGGTCTTGAATTTAAGTAGTCGTCTTTAAAAGTCCTTGAATTCGGTTAAGGTCCTTATTTCAATAAAAACCCTTGAAAAGCAATTGAATCAGATTCACCGTTCAAGCGATTCAATCAATCAATCAAGCTTTATTTTAATACGGTATTACTTCATGCTCTTCCAGTGACCCGTTTACACAACAAAATTTTCAGAGAAACTACACTAACGCTAAAAAATATCTATAAATTAAGAAAATTTATCGTAGAATTAATTACAAAAAAATCAATCAACCTTTAATGTACATTATATAAGTAAAATAAGTTCTATTTCAACTCCCTCAAAGCAATCCCTGGTTCAAGACAAAGACAGGGCAGGCTTGAAAGAGTTGAGATTTATCTCGTCTTTAAGCACATTTTCTAGGCCATTCCACATGACTGCTCCCCTATAGCTAAAAGCCCGCTTAGCAGCTTCAGTACAGGGCCTTGGTACAAAAACATTGTTCGAGGCACCTCGTACGTCGTAGGAATGAACCACGGAGGTTGGTTTAAACACATTCTTTAAACTCTCAGAGTAAATATAAGGTTATTTAGAGATTTAAAAACACTTCTTGCGAGCTGTTAAGAGCGTCTTTGGTCAAGGGTATCCCATCCCAAGTCCTGGAGGATACCCGTTGATCTTGTATCATAATCACTAGATGTTATGATCTAGCGATCCATCGATCTACCGATCTACCGTCCCACAGATCAAGTGATCTAACGATCTAAAGATCTATCGATCCACCGATGTAGCAATCGACAGATCCACTGATCTAGCGATCTACAGATCCACCGTTCTAGCACTCTATCGATCCATCGACCTACTGATCTACCGCTCCACAGATCTACAGATCCATAGATTTAGTAGACTGCAAAACAGTCCGTATTTTTGCGTATTCAAGTACGCGCGAGCAGTCAAACAAAAGGTGTGGAACGAGGCTGAAAACAGAGAGCGAGACTGGGGAGAGACTCACACTCCGTACGGGCGTGTGACGCTCGCGCGGTTCGCACGCATAAGACTCTTACGCCACGCGTTACCGATTTCTTTACTGATTTTGAGGAAAAAACCGACTGTTTTGAGTCTATAGATTTAGCGATCTACCGATCCATCGATCTACCGAACCACCAATCTAGGTATCTACAGATCCACTGATCCAGCGATCTACCGATCCATCGATCTAGCGATCTACAGATCCATCGATCTAGCGATCTACAGATCTACTGTTCTAGCGATCCATCGATCTACCGATCCTCCCATCTAGCGAGCTGCCTGGTTACCGATCTAGCGACCTAGAAATCTATCGACCCACCGATCTAACGATCTACAGATCACAGATCTAGCGATCTAGCGCTGCATTGATCCATCGATCTAGTCATCTACCGATCCACAAATCTACAGCTCTAGCGATCTGCCCGTCCACCGATCTAGCGATCTACAGATCTATCAACCCACCGATCTAAAGATCTACCGACCTAGCGATCTACCGATCCATCGATCTACCGATCCACAGATCTAGCGATCTGCCTGCAACCACCGTTCTAGCAACCTACAGATCTATCAACCCACTGATCTAGCGATCTACAGATCCACGGATCTAGCGATCCATCGATCTAGCGATCTACAGATCCACAGTTCGAGCGCTCTATCGATCCACCGATCTAGAGATCCATCGATCCAGTGATCTACCGATCCACAGATCTACAGATCCATAGATCTAGCGATCTACCGATCCAACGATCTACCAATCCACCGATCTTGCTATATACAGATCCATCCATCTAGCAATCCACTGGTCCACTGATCTAGCGATCTACAGATCCACCGTTCTTACATGTAGAATAATTATTTCAAGCTACATACCCCTTTATCTGATGTTGTGAATCCTCCACTCCTGATAATAGACTTTACTTTGGAGATTAGAGTGCTGTATATACCGGCCTGAAGACTTGATCTAATAAATCAGAAGACCAATGGTTCATTCTTAGTCAAAAGAACAAATTACCAATTTAATGAAAACAACATTACTGACATTCACGAAGTTGAACAACGTTTAAACATTCAAGTGGCAGCATCCTTTCCTTCTTTATATTTTTACTCCTGATCGTCTTAATACAAAAATGTACTATTTTGCCAAAAAACAAATTCAGAACGTCCTCTATACATTCATAGAAATTCATAAATTTAAAAATAGTTACTGTAGACAACATTTCCGACAAACTTTCTGTCCTTAGTTACAGTGCAAAATCTGTTTAAATTTCCACACGCCCTCCCGCCCCTTGCCAAGTGGGATTAACTATGGCTGTAGACCCTCTTGCTGACAAACGTTCCATGTATCTCTCGACTTCAAGCCAAGAGGTATTATGGGATGCTAACCGTGAGTTAGTTTTATTTGCCACACTAATTACAAAAAATATAGGTAAACCCGAAACTATAGGTTAACTAACCGGTCCTCTAAACGCGAAGATGGAAAGATTTATAAACTTTTTCGAACAACGCAAAAAGGGCGAGAACTTTGACCCCCTGGGAAGTTAACAACCTGTGGTGAAGAAATTTAACCTCAGTTCGGGATAACAAGGCCGGAGATTAGTTTTATAGGTCGAACAACCCAAACGATATTGCAGTAGTAAAAATAAGGATAAATTAAGGAATAGTAGAGCATTAAAGACGATTTAGGAAGAAAAGAAGCTGCATCTAGATATTATACCGATTGACTTCGCAACTTTCCTTGCAACGTGAGATATTTCCGACTTCCAATTTAGGTTTTCATCCAAAATTACGCCTAGAAAATTTGTCTCCTTTACTTTAACAATATTTTGATTATCTATACTTATTTGAATATTACAAATTGAACGCTTTTGTCTTGGTTTGAAGACCATAAATTTAGTCTTTTTAGGATTTAGAGAAAGCTTGTTTGCTTTAAACCAGATTGACAGTTTGTCCATCTCCAAGTTTAACATATCTGAGAGATAGTTCAGATCTTTATGTGACATGAATACATTGGTATCGTCAGCGAACAATATCAGATTTAATAGATTAGAAGCATTGTTGATGTCGTTAATGTACAGTAAGAAAAATGAGATTTCATTTCTTAACGAACGGTGGCCATTATATTCAACATATTGCTTTCTGTTTGAAAAGTAACTTCTTATCCAGTCCAGCGCTAAGCCACGAATACCGTAATGTTCGAGTTTATCAAAAAGAATGATATGATTTACAGTGTCAAAGGCTTTTGAGAGGTCAAGAAAAATACCTACGGAAAATTCGCCTCGGTCAAAGGCAGTAGAGATCTTATCATGCAAGTCGATTACCTGAAGCCGTATTGGTTACTACAGAGGATGTTGAAGTTCATCAGATATTGCATTAAACGATTGTAGATAACTCTTTCAAAGAATTTTGAAAAACTGGGAAGCACCGAGATAGGTCGGTAGTTGGTGAAAAGCGACTGATCATCAGATTTAAAAATAGGTATCACGCGAGCGATTTTCATTTCATCGGGAACAATACCATGCTGGATTGACAAGTTTATGATATGGGTGAGTGGTTCAGAAACAAGTAGTATGGACTCCTTAATGACTGTCATTGGAATCTGGTCGTAGCCAGCTGCTTTGCCTGGAAGAAAAGTTTTCGCAATCTCAGTGATCTCATCTTGAGTTGTAGGGTTGAAGAATATTGACTGTGTAAAGGAACCATTAAGAAAACAACGGTGTGAAGCTGACGACTGTATACCCCTTGCTAAATTAGGACCGATGCTTGAAAAATAACTACAAAACTTGTTGGCAATTTCGACAGGATCAGTAACTTCACGATCATCAGCTTTAAATGTTGAGCATCTATTGGAATTTCTTTTGCTTCTGTTTAGAATTTCATTTAAAACTTTCCAAGTAGCACGAGTATTAGATTGAACGTTAAAAAGTTACTTGCCCAACAAGAGAATCTACTTGCTCCGGATGACCGGACGGGACTGTTTTCGAACCCTATTAACCCATTCGCCCCTGAGCCGCCCGTAACCGCTCATGTGGATCCACGTCCCTTCTACCACTTGTGATGTCATGAGTTTTTTTAATGGTGCAGAGTGAAGAAATCTTTCAAACCATACCAGAATGAGAACAATTCAGTCAAGGACACCAGAGAAAAAGGCAGAGAACCACGTAACGTTGACCTGAAAACTTCCATGAAAATCTTGTTCCACTAGTCACCTACCCTTCCTTTCACCTCATCCTAATATCTTAAAAGCTTTCCTTAAAACTTTTCCCACCAAAATGAAGCCTACTCAGTGCCCAGCACAAGAAAAAAAAATGAGGCAAGAAAAGTGAAAAAAGAGAGGAGGAGAGAAAGCAGAAAGTAAAAGTCAAGACTGCTTGTCACTCTTAAACCCAAAAACTATCTCGAAATTTTGTTTTTTGCGCATGCCCGAACTTCACAAGCTAATATTTTGCATCTGGATCAGATGACAGCAAAGGGTATGACCTCTAAATGGCTTTGTGTAAGTTTTAGCTCTTTATAGCACAACAGTGACCAGAAAACCGCTGGACTAGCTTCAAAACACATTTTTGGGCAAAATTAGCTGTTCAATTCCTCACCTACTAACTGCATTATACATTGCACCATGAAATTTTAATGAGAGCCCTTGGTACAACAGTTCTGAGAATAATAATAAAATCAACAAGAAATTGTTGACATACCTTTTTTCTGCTGCAGAACATTCAAGACACTTTGACATCTCACTGCTTACACTGAATGTGTGAATAGGAACAGAGGAAACCTTCTGATCATCCATGGTTCTTGTCAAATCAAAGTAGTGCCCAAATTTCACAGGAGATGGTGAAGACTATTGCGACATAATTATATATTAAAAGAGTATTATTGAGGATAAAAATATAAATCTGTAAGCCCAAGTACAGGTAGCTGGCAAGGAGCAACAACTAGAATAAGCCTTTTTAAAAAACACTGGGATATTCTGTATACAAAAACTAAAAAATAAATTCTTAGCCTTTTCTTTCCTGATAGTAACAAAAACCAAAAGTCAAGAAAAATCTCAAAAAATGGTGAATAATAATTTATTATTAAGTTTAATACAGGAAGTAAAACCAATTTTTTGGTATTATATCATGCCACCAGGAGGAAATACATGTACTGCTGAAAGAATTAAATGTAATCATTACATTTATGAATCCTATGGTCTGACCATTCCTTTTGAATGGTGGCAGTACATGATTTCAATCACATAAAAATTTAGAACTGTTACCATAGTCTTCATAATGAATATTGTACAAACAGGTTGGCCTAACTATCATTCAGTTAACAAGTTATTTCTACAGCCAAACTCACTTCAAATTTGGGCTGATTTTGATATCTCCATGCAATCTTCATTGATTGATCTGTTGATAGTATCCTTTGTCCCTGTTCACTACTGACTGTTGTTTTGGTGTCTGCCTCATCTGTCTGTTGTGGAAGATCCTATTTTAAATGTAAATAAAGAAAACCATACATAATTGTAATTAAGAATCCCTTGAAATGTTTGAGCAAAATACCTGCAGTTTCCTACATGAACTTTAACCAAAATATTGACAACCAGAAAGAAAGACTGTATCCATACAATTTAAAATGCATGTGTTAAAGAAGATCTGATGCTATCCACTTGTGAGAGGTACAAAAATATTAATAAGGTATGGCTGCAGGGACAATGATTTTGAGGAAATGTGTGTTAGTGTAAATGGTTTATTGGAGTATTTTAACTCTGGGAATTGAGCCACCCAGGGGTGGTGGTGGTTGAGGGAGGAAAGTGTTGGATACTCTATTTATCATGTTTTAACATGGGTGGGGAACTGTTACCCTATACCACACCATGTTCAGCTGCAATTGCACAATCCTATCAAGATTAGGTACTTACCAAAAAACATCCCAGAGATAGAGAGTAGAAAATAATATTTTTCTTTATCCCACCAAAGATTTTCTTATAAATGATACCCTATTTTAAACCAAAATCCTCTGATTTCTGTACCCTATTCCAGACAAAACTAACCTTGAAAGCTCTACAATTCACAGCAGTGCATACCTCTATTAGTCCACATATAGCAGTGCTCCCTACCTCTTCCTCCCCCCCCACCCTTCACAACTGCCTTGGTTGAGGCTCTACCTGAGGTGATTACATGTAACCTACTGGGGAGTAATTTTAACATGTTGAAGCCTTGGGAAAGATGTCCTTAGAGGCACATAAGATTTATTAGACGTTAACAATAATATTGCTTACATGCTATGGATTTACCTTCAAAATATTGCTTGGTTCTGGCTCAGCAGATGCAAGGAATAAGGCATGGCTGCATACAACTCCTTCAGCCAGAAAATACTTAGAAAGTTGCCATGCATAAGAACTGTAGGTATCTTCCTCTAAACAAGAAAACAGAAACTCATATAATACATATAAAATTAAACTAGGCTGAAAATGATTGACGGAGCAATAATGACATTGACTGGTGTTTAGGACACCTGGCAAATAGGGCGGTTTGAGACAGTGAATGACATTTTAGCAACCTGCCAAGTAGCCAAGTGTACACCTATTATTGTAAGTTGAATCTATAATAAGGTAATATTGTGACCTCTCAACGCAAAAATGTTCCTTATGGCATGGTAAGGTTTCTTTAATAAGGGGTTTATAGGAAGGGCTGTTGCTAAGATTTCAAGCTGAAAAACAGGTAGAGACAATAAAACTGTCACTAGTAATATGGGCAGGGAATTGAACAGCTAGCAAGTTCAGCTAGTCATTTGTAGCCTATGAAAGTGAAAAGGAAATCCCCAGTCCCAGGCTCTTCATGACAGCACTGGGTTCAGGAATTCTAGGCTTGATAAGAAAAAATTGGGGTACCATAGAGGCGTTTTCTAAGGTGATTTTGGGCACAGAAATATTTAAAATGTAAGCTTTAAGTATAAAAAAGGCACCTACCAACCATGAAAATGGTTCCAATGGCAATCCCACCTCCTACAGAGGAATTTTAAAAATTTTCTAGTTAGCGCTTGTATTAGCCTGCAAAAACAGTCATTTCTCCTTGCTCCTCGCCGCTGGGGACATTTCCTGAGGAGGAACGTCTTTGACTCAGCGACAGAAATTACATACTAATGACGTAAAATCTTTCCGAAATCCAGTCATAAGCGCTGATTGGACGACGGAATAGTTACATTGTTTTAGCTATTGTTTACAAATGACAGACAAAAGACAAAAGGCTGCAAAGGTCAAATGTAAACTAGGAGTATGCTAGTTTTAAAAATTGCCTTATTTTCTGCCATTTAATGACCTGTGCCTCATTTTTACCAAAACCTGCGTGAGTAGTGTTTGTCTTAAACAGAGTCAGTGTTTAAAAACCTCAGCAGCACACCTCTAACCCTGACCTCTACCCAAACTTCCCTTGAGTGCCACCCGGGGGAGCTCCCCTTGTGGATTAATGAATTACCATAAAATTCTGAAAATAAGCCCTGGGGCTTATATTTTTCAAAGGCCCTTTTTGAGGGGCTTATCTTTGGAGGGGCTTCTCTATGGAGGGAAATTTGGGTTTCAAAATCGATTGGGCTAGCCTTGTAGTTGGATGGAAATTGACTGTTTTTGCTTTGTTTTACTTTGTATTTGAGGGCAATTTCAAAGTACAAGCCCCCAAGGGACTTATATCTGAAGGGGCGATTTAACGGAGGGTTTTATGCTTACGAGTTTGGGGGAATATTTGGAGGGGCTCATACATGGAGGGGCTTATTTTCGGAATTTTACAGTATGACACCAAAGGTCTGCACCAGGAGTGGGGTATTTGTTGTAATCGAATTCAGGTTTTCTTCTTTATACTCTTAAAGAAGGAAACGGATTGGAATGAGAGGAAGACACATAAACAAACCAAACCAATGTTAAGTCTAATATGCAAGACCATTGTTGAACATTTGAGAGGGAGGTCCAAAAATTGTGGGATGGGCATGTGCAATGGATGACTTCGGAAAGCACTGCTATAAAATCTAAAGATAAATTGTCACTGGTTTTAAGGTAAAGGTAAAGGTGCACACGAGCCAAAGGCCCAAATGGCCGGAGTTTATCCCGGTTTCATATGAAGCACCTAGGAGTACTGCTACTCCCCCCTAGATGGGATTCTAGTCCACAACAGGGTTACCCCCCAGCAGTATGTCGCCAGTGCCCATTTATACACCTGCGTGAAGAGAGACAAAGTGGAGTAAAGTTCCTTGTCTAAGGAAACAATGAGATGTGTGAGGCTTGAACGCATGCCAGGACCTCCAGATCCGGAGTTCGAGAATCACACCACTCTGCCACACAAGCCTCCACTCAGTTGCCCAGAATGTTCCAAAATTGGCAGCAAAGCGTCAATAAACGTTCGTTTTCTCATGGAACAGTCTGTACTAATAAGTTCAAACAACTTTTGGGGGACCCCCTTTCTTGAAAACTCAAAAAGGGCCTCCTAATAATTTGACCCTCATTGGCCAATTTCTAGAATACACCCTGGTAAACTGCCTATAATGTACAAATTCCAAGAAGTACGAGGACTATTCCGCTAAAAAGTATCACGAATGAGTAAAGAGGGACTTTTTTATATCTTCTTGATGTTAATTTTTAGCGCAGCTAGTGAGTTGAAAAGAGGTCAAGAAGACACGAGTATACTTTTCAAGCATTTTCAAAACGAATAAACTCACCAACCACATTATCCATGGAAGGTACTCCAGAAGATATCAACAGCTGACTATTATGCAGTGACGGCCTTGTTCCAGGAGGATAAACAGCGCGACCACGTGACCCCTTCTTCTTGAAACTGGTCGCCATCTTGATTTTTTTTTTTGCAAAGGATCGTGTTCATTATATGACGTACTCTATTCTTCAGAGAACACCGCGGACCCAACCGCGGACCACTTAAGAGAGAACAACGCATCGGGGGGAGGGACGGGGGAACAGTGCAAGGGACAATTTTATTTGCTTGTTTGTAAAATAAGCCGCAAAAATACCGGCCGAGGTTTGCCTACTTCTTACCTTAATCTCAGATAATTCCTGACAAAATGTCAGTTTAAAGAAAAGTTCCAAAATAACTATTCTCTCTATCTGTTTTCAATGACACTCCTGCCTGAGAAATTGTATGACGTAATGAACATTTCCCGCCAAACTATTTAACAGCAACAACCAATACTAGTAGTTGTTAGAAATCATTGCGAAAGAACTGGTCTTCGCGTCAGCCAATAGTTGTGCTCGTAAGATTCTAACATTTTACAGACGGGTGAGCTGGGGTCTAGGTAACACTTCGCCGTGGTCACGTCTGTTTGTGCGGAAAGAACTTGGTCCATTTTTGCCTAAGTTGTAAAGTTTTTCCTCTTTGACTTGGTATTTTATGAAGCCAAGACTATGAGTGCTAATGGAGCACCATATTCATACTCCAACCATACTCTCGAGAAAGTGGCGAAAGCCAAAGCGACGCTTGAAAGCTTCTACGCCAACCTCATCACACAGCACCAAGAAAGAAAAAACAGGTTTGCACTTCCAAAACAACATTAACAGTTCCTGTTCTAATCTCCTCGTTTTTGGTGTTACCTTCGAGAAGAGATATGTTTTGGTTGCTCAGATATAGAAGTCATTTTTACGAGAGACGTGTAGAATGTTGCTCACTTGAAGGTTTAACCTTAATTGCATGCACGATATTTTCGTTACAGATGGAAAGTTTTGGAGATGAATATGCAACAACAAGGTTTAACGGAAGAAGAGGTTTGTACGTGCTTCCTCAGCTACTCTTTCAAAATTTATCCACTGATACTTTTTTCATACTTTTTTAAAGCTTACAAACTGCTTTAAACTTGAGGCTTTTTAAGCTTTTATCCGAAGACATCGTGAATATAATAATCAGACTCAAGAGCATCAATTCAATGTTGTCTTTTATACTTGAAAATCGTTACCTTAAAAAAACCCTGTTTTCTGGCGAATAATTGCTTAATTAAATCCCGTTGACGGGACAGTACATTTTCTTAATCAACAATGAATTCAACCCCTTAAAATCCAAGTATTTAATATAAAATGTCCTTAAATGGTTTTCGAACTAAACATGTTGAAAGCTTTAAGTGGTTTTCGAATATAAAATTTTGCTATATTCCACTTATCATTGTAAATTCAGAATTTAATGTTGTCATGTGTTTACATTTTTGTTACGTTAATTCAGCCCCGTTACAAATATCTCCTAGTTTTAAAGACGATTAAAGATATTGTAGCATTCATCTTGGAATAACATTTCAAGCGTATAAATAATGTCCCACTATTTTTCCAATAGCAGAGAACTATTCTCAACATTTTACATAACAACCTTTCTTGTCAAAGTTATTTTCCATAACAATTAAATGACACAGCATGAATGGTCTTAGCTGGTGGAAAAATGAAGCAGTTTTCACTCTAAAAAAACAAGTTGTTTTGTGACTAATTTGTCAGTTTGCCGTACAAACTCTTGAAATGTAGACTTGTCACAACAATATTTTTTTGTTTCAGATAATTTATGTTTAAAACTCCTATGTTTCCCTACCACTTTTCTAAAATAATATTATTCAGACAAATGTTAATAAGCATGCTGTATTGTAAAACAAAAGAAGTTTGAATTTTTTTTCTTGTTGTTACATTGTCCCAACATCATGATGCAAATAAGTGAATTTTGTAAGAAGATTAATGAGGATCATTTTCACTAAGTAGATTTTACATTTGTTGTCCCGTAAAAAAATCATTGTTTCTTTCTAATTAATTGATCCCTATTAATAAATAAGTTTAGGTTGATGAAGCTCATTCTGAATAGATCCCAAGTGTGACACTAAACCACATATGGAACAAAAAACAATAGGAAGAAAGCTGAAGTTTTATTTGAAGGTTTCTAACCCTCTTCTGATATTATCAGACTGCAGAAGAATCAGTACACAGCAAGGGTCCCTGGAACAGCTGATGATAAATCTTTAATTAAAATATCTCCTTACTTGCAAAATGTTAGTGATTGCACCTTCTTTGGTCTCAGAGCCTTATATTTTGAGCAGTTTCCTTCACTGTCAATTTGATGTTGTCATAAAATATTTCTTGAAGTATTGGCCATGATTTTTCTACTTCACCCTTTTATAGCCCTAATATCAACATGAAATTCTCTGCACTGTTCTCTGCACATTTTCTGAATTTGGTACAGTTGTACAAATCATACATTCTTGTCAAAAATCAAGAACCCCTTTATTCTTCTTACCATCATTTTCAATGAAGCAATGATGTTATCAGTATTATCTTCTCTCCATATCCCTATTTTTCTCTCTAAAATTGTCCAATTCAAGACTCTGTTGTTCTTCTTGTTACTGACATTGACTGACGTTTCGACAACATGTGCAATAGTCATCTTCAGAGTCAAAGAAAATGACTGTGACTCTGAAGATTGACCACGTACCACACGGGTTGTCAAAATGTCCGACATTGTCAACAACAGTCCTATTCAGGACTACGTTTTATACCCAGATGATCATGCTCAACCTACTTAAGAAAATAATGAATCCTAGGTTGAAACCTTTCACAGAGATAGGTACTGATAACTGCTAGTGCCTTAAAAATTTCAAATACAGAATGTCTCACTCCTCTGAAGAAATATGCTGCATGGCCTCACAAGATTTTCTTGCTGGGAAAGTAACTTTTTAAGCTTGCTTGTCCAAAGGATAAGAATCTACGCAAGTTGTCCTGTAACTAAATCATTAACTAACACAAGCAAGCAATGGCTTAGGGCAAGCAAAATGTGAGAGTTACTTGTCTAAAGAACATAGGCTGGAATTCCAGATTTTTTCAAGCCATGCTCTCTTTCTAGCCCTCCTCTCTTTTTCTCTCTCTTTCTTGTTCTGCCCATGCTCTCGGATTCTTTTATCATCATTTTTTCAGGGGGTGGATCAGGAAAGGCAGAATATGAAATAAGGAAACACAAGAGCAAGAGAAAAACCTTTAAAACAAAAAGAACAGAGAAAAAACACCATCTAAGTTCTATTTTTGTTGTCTTATGCAATCGCACTCAGTACCCTAAAATTGTCGTGTCTTTGCTTACTCTTATTGATCATGGAATAAACACATGTAGATACCTGTTATTAACAGACAAAGATGTATTTTCTTGTTCATAGAAAAAAGAGTCGAGAAGCCACCTTGCAAAGAAAGAAACAGAATTTCTAAGACTTAGACGTTCCAGGATTGGGAAGGAAGATTTTGATTCTTTGAAAGTTGTAGGAAGAGGAGCTTTTGGTGAGGTAAGTAAGTGGGCTGTATGTACAAAAAAATTCTGGGAAAAAAATTAAAACACTTTAGTTCACATTTATAACGGATAAAAGAAATTTGCCATTCACTCTTTCTCATAACAAAAAAACCTTTAGCTTTTCTTTAAGGAGAGGCTGGGTTATCCATTAATTTGGGACCAAAGTCCGCCAACACTCTTGAGACCCAAATATTTTTTAAAAGATATGTGGGTCCTAGGATCCACGTTGAAAATTGTAAGTAATAATTGTCATCAGTAATAATTCAAACCAAAGTTTTTTACCCTCATTTCAGTATCTATTTTGTGAGGTTTGTGTTGCAACTAATAAAATACAAGAGGGCACAAGACATGTTGATACAATGAGAAGTTGTTTTGTCTTAGAGTAGATAATGTTTTAGATGGCAAATAATGGCAGGAAAGCCTCAACAGCTGTGGGCCAAAGTTATGATGATCACCAAATAACCGTCATGATTAAGATCACAAATCATTTGCTCCTTCTCTTTTCAGTGAGCCTGCTAGATGTGAATGCAGCAGCTATAACTGTAACCCGTAGCAGCATAATGTTATCTATGGTGCGCTTCAGTTCAAAAAGGCCGGCTATATTATAATAGGGTTGTCAGCCACTGTGTATTTAATTTTGGGTCTTTGTTTTGAATCCTTTTATGTTGCCAATTGCAACTTCGAGCACCAGGGATACAGCTCTTGTTGCAAGGCTTTTCTGGAATAGACTGATTGAATATACATTGTTTAATATTAAATTTCATTTTAGGTGCGTCTAGTTCAAAAACACGACACAGGCCATGTCTATGCTATGAAGATCCTGAGAAAAGCAGACATGCTGGAAAAGGAGCAGGTGAAATAACTGAAAATATTCATTTATTTATTTAACATCTTTTTGTCTGGTGCATATATTCACGGCATTACGGAATCGCGCCTGTAGATACGCGTCGCTAGTAAATGCAAATTTTTCTGTCAATCAAATTTGTCCTATTATTTGTAGGTTGAAATTGGTAAAACATTGTTATTGTTTTGGAGACAATAGAAGAACAAAAGATAACAGAAAGATCAAGTTATGCGGTCTTAAAGCGTGTTGCGTGACTTAAATCAATTGGAGCATTTCTCCTAGCTTTCCCGCATTAAAACGTTGGAATGAAAAGTCTGAAGCTTAGCTTTTAAAATTTTGATAGCCAAAATAAAAGGGGTGCCCCAAAAGGGAAGCATTTGGGAATTCAAAATCGATATTTTTGTCTCCAGCAAAATGCGGCGGATGAGCAGTAATTTGCATATAAGCGTAAGTGATGCGAAATAGATACAAATTGCCGCGGTTGTAAACACAACGTTTCCTTGAAGTTTTTTTCCTTTTGAAAGCGTAAATTTGCATGAAAGAGCTCAGCTTGCACAAAATAATATAAAATGAAACGAATCAAATCGAAAAGTGGTAAAAAAAAGTCAGGATATTTCAATTGGATGGAAAGTAAGTGATTGGGTAGGTGATTTGCATACTGATAAAAATAACTTCTAGCGCAGTTCAAAACCGTTCGGCTTCCTGAATTGTTTTCCTGGAATTCTAAACATTCTGCTGGCCTAAATCGTTAAAATATGTTATGAAGTCAAAATATTTATCAAGTTGAGCGTTTGCATTTCAGTGCTCGAACTTAACGGTCGTCCACTCGTCAAAAACGAGTAAAAAATTCCGAAAACGAGTAGTTTTCTTTCCCACTTGTCCCCTGGGCGAGTAGGGTTACCACTCTCTGAGGTTATTATTGTACCAAAAAGTGCTAAAAGCCTTGAAACAAACGTTTCAAAAACGAACAGGCAAAAAGCGCTAGTCATTAAAGTCTACTATGGTTGCGTTTATTTGATTGCAATAATTATTTCATGTATTAACTTTCAGACACAAATTCACGGCATACATCCAAAAAAAATTGAAAATGATAAGAGTGATTAGTAGTTTTGCTGATGGACCAGTAAATTTTCATTCTACTGGTCCTGCGGAAGACCAGATCCAAAAGTTAATTTCGAGCACTGCATTTCCTTATAAAACAGACAGTAGCGCGAAAGCTTCGATCTATAGATTTTCTTAAGTTAAATTACCTTTGTATCGTGGAAACAATACCCTAACACTTGAGTCTTGAATCAAAGGACGCGACATGCGTCGGCTCCCTTTGTGAGTGCGCAAATAGTCATGGGACCCGCGATTTTGCGGGCGACACGGATCTACAGGCACCGTTCCGTAATGGATTCTTTGTTTTTGTTGGTTGGGAACCTAAGGGCTAGACTGGCACCCAACAACAGTACTTTTCTCTGTAAACTATGCTAGAGGAAGCAAATACATGTATTGCCTAGAAATTTATGTAATAATTAAGAAAGCTAGGCTTAAAATTTCAATATGCAGGTTCTCACTCTGTCTTGGTTTTCAGAGTTCTTCTAGTAATGTCATATAAGTTTTTGAAGTTGTTCTTTTTTTTGCATTTTACTCCCTAGGGCCCCCATGTTTTCACTTAAATTTATTACATTTGTAGGTAAACTAGTTGAAACACTTGGGGGAAATTAGTTGGTATGTTCGTGTTTTTTTAATTTTATTTTTCTCTGCACAGGTTGCCCATGCTCGTGCTGAGCGAGATATTCTAGCTGAAGCAGAAAATCCGTGGGTGGTGAAGATGTACTACTCCTTTCAGGATGGGCACTATCTTTATTTAGTCATGGAGTTTCTTCCTGGTGGTAAGTTATATTAGCTAGTTTACACTATATAAAACAACACTACAGAATTAAACAAAAAAATTGTTATTCAGGGGAATAATAATCATGGTGGAAAAAGTGAATAATAAAACTGACAGATTATAAGACAGCAAAAAATTGAAACTGAATTTAAATTACAGGTGATCTTATGACAATGCTTATGAAGAAGGACACATTCACAGAAGACGAGACACGGTTTTACATTGCTGAATCAGTTCTTGCAATTGACTCCATCCACCAAGTTGGATTTATTCATAGGTGGGATATTGATTTGTAATTTTATAGGTAGCTTAAGCAAAGGTTTTTGCTTTTTTGAGGAACGCATGTAAACTGGGAGTTAGCCCTTTCTGCCTTTAATATACCTTAATGCTACCAAATTCTTTGCTTTGCTATGTTTCCTTACACTTATAGAGACAATCTGCCCAAAAATGGGTCAAAACCATTACCCAACAATGAAATTTTGTTCTTCCGTCCTTGGGTGACTAATTGTACTGGTAATGTTGCATGTGTCGTGAGCCTATGTTATTCTATGGATTTAGTTTTAGAAAAGACTCTTTATTTCTCTACAGGGATATCAAGCCAGATAATTTACTTCTGGATAGTAAAGTATGTGGTTAAGTTTTTTTGTTTTGTTTTGTTTTGTTGTTTTTTTATGTGCTTTGGTGAATAACATAGATTAATATTGATTTGAAATGAATGAATTATTGATAAATACCTAAAACCAAATTTAACCCATATTATTTCAACCTACCTTCGGTCCCCAGCTGTCTTGTAACTTGTTGTTGTTGTTGTTGTCATTGTTGTTGTTGTTTTGGCTTCTGAAGAACTTCCTCTTGGGTGAAGATGATGTAGTTGATAGTCATGCATGATTAAAGCCTTTACACATGTACAGCTAAAATTTGTTGGTCGTCTCTGTGACTGTGACAGGGATTTGATTTTGAGACCAGCACTCCTCTTAATTAATTTTCATGTTAATTAAGTTTGTTTTTGCTTGTTGGCCCTTCTCTAGGTCCTTTTTCAAACTCCATTATTAGATAAGGGATGTGTAAGATGTGTCACTTGGACCTATTACTGCTATTAAAATAATCACTATTTTTTACATCATATGTGTTTAATTCTCAATGATGTTGAAAAATAATATTGTAATAATAAAAGTAATAATACAAATGATGATGATGATGATGATGATGATGGTGATAATTATAACAGTAATAATTATTTTAAATTTATTATAAATATTGATTTCTATTGTTCCTCTTTTTTAGGGTCACATCAAATTAGCAGATTTCGGTCTTTGCACAGGCCTCAAGAAAGCACACAGAACAGAATTTTACAGAGAAATATCACCTAGTGATATGAAGGATTTCAGTAAGAAAAATACATTCTTGAGAGAATTCCAGGCAGAAGTGACATGGTGATTGGCGCAGTCAGGGTTTCACACGACACTGCTTGACCAGGAATCGTGCACTTCTGTATTGTGGAAGTAAATTTTAGTCAGATACTTTAGTAATAATATTGAGGAAACAGTAAAGAAATAAATAATACAAATGTATTAATGTTAGTTTGACTGTCTCTATTAAGAGTAATGATGCACTTCCCTTAATTATGAGCCTTAAAAGACCTTTGATACAGTTCTACTTTATGGAAGTCAATAAGTTAAATCAGACACTAATAATATGAGGAAACAGTATACAGGAAGTAATAATACTGTATGTTAATTTGACTGTATTTCTCTATTCTTTCCCTCTCAGCATCTGCTCAACCATTAGATACAAAAGGGAGAGCAGCAACGTGGAAAAAGAACAGACGACAGTTGGTAAGTTAAAAGAAGACTAGGGCTGACTCATGCTGGTAATTTATATCTGAAGTGTGTTTACCATCATTGGTTTGCAAATTTTCAGATTTATTCATGACCATTCATAGTGACTGTTGCTTTTCTTGTCTCACCGTAGGCCTACTCCACTGTGGGAACACCAGACTATATCGCTCCAGAAGTGTTTCACCAAACTGGCTATAATAAGAGCTGTGACTGGTGGTCACTGGGAGTTATCATGTATGAAATGCTTATAGGTAGGCAACAGCAAGGCCATGGAATATTCACTTACAGCCTACCTATTAATTGTGGAACTCTGTTAGGGTAAAATTCTGACTTGCGACATGGCCTTGAGTCAGATATGAAATGGCAACAATTAACATAAGGTCTCCATTATCTGAGCAGTTTTCAGTGGATGATCTAAAGTAATTCTCTAATACAGTGGACCCTTCAGTAACCAACATGCAAAGACATAAGTGGACTAAGGATTTAATCCTGAGTGAACATTATTGGTGTATGGACATTGGTCTCGCATGAGTGCAAGCTTTGGCAGGATCTTTACTATTTAGTATTATACCTATTTGTCTTTGCTTTGCCAGAAATATAATACACTTATTACATATTATTCTTTGACACTCAGCTGAGAGCTGTTCTGTGAATGTGTGTTTTCTGAATTCTTTAGTCCCATAGTACTTATATAGTGTCTACATCAATAAGAAGTATGAGAAGTGATCACCTCTAATTTTTTTTTTCTTTTCCAGGTTATCCACCATTTTGCTCAGAAAGTCCTCAAGGTGATTTCACAGAGAACTTATAGTATTTTTTAGAGTGTTCGCCACTTTAAAGCCCCTGTAATCCAAGAAATATTTGCTATAATTGGATTTTAGTTAAAACAATTACCTTTCCCTCATGCCATATGTTTGTTTTGTTTTCCAGAAACATACAAAAAAATAATGAACTGGAGAGAAACATTAATCTTTCCTCCTGAGATGCCAATTTCGGATATTGCAAGAGACCTAATTCAGAGGTGAAGGAAATAACTCATTACATACAAATCCTTAGTAATGGTAATAGGACTGAGTGGAGTCCAATCAGTCTGTAATCTTACGGGTGATTTAACAAAATCAGATGACCTTGTAGTGGGAGTCCAATTTGTATGGTCCAGACCGAATTGGACGACACGAAGTTCTGTTACTAATTAATCATAACTATTACAAAATTTGTGAGATTTCAGGTTTTTTTAAAAATTAAAACTCAGGAAATTCCACGAGTTTTTGCCAGTGAAAAAACAAAAGCCTTTCAAGTGTTCATACTGTCCAGTTACTAATAGGCATGATGTGTACTGTCGTATTAGTACTGAAATCAGGACAGTTACAGTCAAACCAGGTCAAGCGTACCCCCCAAGAACCCATTAACGAATTTATTATTCAAAAGTTGAATCCGTTGCTAGTTGTAGATTTCAGATTGATCTCTGCATTCTTGTATGCGTAATGAGCCGTGAATTCACACGCGAGGCAGTTATGAAATTTCTACCAGCTCCATTTTCCTGAAATTGATGTAAATGTCTTCTAAGAAGCTTAATCCATTCAAAGATTTACAATCTGACCAAATACAGAGAAGTTCTCGTAAAATATTCACTGCTCATTACGCATGCAGAAATGCTGCTTTGAATTTGACACCAGTTACGGGAACGACTAACGGATTCATTTTTCAAATAATCAATTCACTGATAGAATCTTGGGGGGTACGCTTGACTTGGTTTGACTGTAATAGCTAATCAGTTTTGAGAATTTTGTTATAGTTATGATTAATTGATTGATCATAACTATAACAAAATCCTCAAATCTGATTGGCTATCAACTGTCCTGATTTCAGCACTAATAGGTCAGTGTAATACTGGACAGTATGCGGCACTGCAAGCGCGCCCTTGAATAGTTTTTTTTTTTTTCTACTGCTAGCAAAAAAACTCTTGGAATTTCTTGTGTTTTAAGTTTAAAGAAAGTCTAAAATATTACAATTTTTGTTGTAGTTATGATTAATATTAATTTTGTAACAGAACTTTGTGTCATCCAATTCGGTCTGTAAAAATCATACTCGTGATTAAACAAATCAGACTCCCGCTATGCAGTCTATTTTGATAATCACTTGTATGATTACGGACCGAATTGGACTCCACTCAATCCTATTACCATTATTAATATTCATGAATGTCAATACACCATTCATTACTATTAATAATTATTATGAATCAAATTTTTCATCTCAGTCAAATATGTTTTAAGTTTTCACAGTCTTAATAAATACTATAAATTAATTATGTGAGTACCTATTCATTTCCAGTCATTGGAGAAATTAAAGGCTTGTGTCTTAGTCAATTAAGCAACAGGGTGTGCTATATGTGATAGAGGTGCTGCCTTTATTAGCTGTCCCAACATTTAAAGACATTTAGTTCTTTAAACCATGATTAGGACCTTTGTTTTGACTTCATTGGTACCTTGAAATAACATTGGTGATCGTTTTCAAATAATTTCATCTTTTAGATGGTGCTGTGATGCAGATAAAAGACTTAATAGCATTGATGAAATCAAGGCTCATCCATTCTTCAATGGTGTGGATTGGCAAAACATAAGGTATAAAAGATCAGTATTTTTATTTTCTTTCTCTATTCCAAATTCATTTTCATAGAGTTATGTCAATGTTTTACTCCCATTTTCTTTTTGTCCAACAACGATGTTTCCTTTCAATGAATAGTTAGGACCATCAGCAGATACTGAAAACCTTGTGTAGCCCATAGTCTCAATCTTGTAGGCTGTCTGTCGAGTGGATAGTTTTGACGATTTGACACTCCTAGAGCTCTTAGTGATCAACAGTGGTTGATTGATTTATTTTTTTTTACAAATACTAGAAAATAAATTATAATACCATGCACAAGTTGAATTCACAATTAATATCCAGCCAGCAGCTAGATCCTGAATTCAAGTCCCACTCTGACCTGAGTAATTGTCTGTCTTTTCAACTCCTTGGTTGGTCGGGTTTCAATGAACACCAACGACCGACGAAACATGTCTGTTGCTTTGCTCAAAGAACTTGGCTACTTTTTCCCCGAAAGAAGAAGTAGCTAGTATTAATATCTCAACAATGTTGTAAAAAGTATATCATAAAATCTGAATAAAAACATTAAAGCCCAGTGATTATTTGTTATTCTTTAGTTATGCAAATGCTGTGTTTCAGTCTGACTCAATTTTTCACACGTTTCTTTATAGGTTTAAGCAGAATTTGTTCACATGCAAATGTACATGATTTTGATTACCGTCATTTGTTTGGCATCACTCACAAGAGTTGATTGTGTGGCTGATAAATCAAAACTAATGAATGAAAGCTACATTTTTTCTATGAAAGAGCCTCTTGTTTGTACTCTTTTTTGTCCTCAGAACACTGGAGAACGCATTTTAGGGCTTTGAAAGTTCAAATTTTTTTTGAGGGAGCGTGCCCCCAGACCCCACTAGAAGAAGGGGACTAACAGTCCCTTGTTGATACAGTCATTTTCTCTATTCAAATCTGGTGGTTACTTCAATTAATATTGAAACCCCGGGTTGGTCAGGCTTGGAAATGGCCAAGTGGTTTGTCTCCTGCTAGCTGGGATTCTTTTGATTGTTATTGTTTTATTAAAATTAGCTGCCCAATGGTGTCTTAATTCCAGCTGGGTAACGAGAAATATCAAATCTATGCAATCTTCAGTTGCTAATTATAAACAGATCATACCTACACTGTCTTTTTCTTCATTTTTAGGGAAAGACCTGCTGCCATTCCAATTCATGTCAAATCCATTGATGACACTTCAAATTTTGATGACTTTCCAGAATCAGAATTTGAATCGAGTAAGTTCTAATAGAAAATAACATATTATAGATAAGACTGGACCTTGGCCAACAGCAAGTTCCAACAAGGCATTGCATTCTGACTGCTGTTCCTCTATACTGAGGGTACTTGTGGTCATGTGCACAGGAACACCACTGATGCAAGGGTATGATTAAGGACTGGGTTGAGTTGAGAGCGGTGGGGGTGGTTTTGGTTGAGAATGGTAGGGGAAGGTACTGCAAAAAAGGCATTCCTCATGCAGAGGTTGACATCTGTGTTGTTTTGCTTGATGTAGAGAGGAAAGTTGTTTACGTCGCTTTGCCTTGCTAGCAAAATTCCTGGATCTCAATAAACCGTGGTCCTGCAAATATGGTAGAAAAAAATGAAAAAATTGACATGTATGACATTCCTGTGCCTGATTGCACTCAGAAACAAAACAGTAGCCCATCGTAGCCGATACAGTCTGTACCTTTCTTGCATCATTTGACGATGTAAATGCTGTCTCTGTCAAGAAAGATTGTTGTGATCCAGAAATCTTGCTACCATGTTATACCTGACATCACATTTCTCCTCTCTATTATTGTACACACATCACAAGAAGTATTGTAACTTGTAACAAGGAAATAATTTTTATGTCCAGTAGACCTTTTTACCAATACGGCGGCCATATTGAGTTTATTCGATTTAAGGAGTATCATGGGATTGCCAGGGGGCACTCGCTCAGTATTTACGCAGGCTTTTTGGGCAAAATGAGAACTTCAATGATTGTTTATCGGCAAAAAGGTGATCTTTATTACATCCAAACACAGCACAACGATATTTTTTTCCCATTTTACAATCTTTTTCTAGGAAAACTTAAAGGAAAATTGGCCCGAAAAGCGCATAAATACTGATGCGAGTATATTGGATCATGCTCATGCCCCCTGGGCATCCCATAATACTCCTTAAATCCAAGTAATTCAATATGGCCGCCTTATTGGTAAAAAGGTCTATTACTTAGCAACTTAACATTTTCTTTTTTGTTTTCTTTTAGATTGGTTTAGGGACCCAAAATCTGACACAGCTGGAGGAAAAGATTGGGTTTTTCTGAATTACACATTTAAACGTTTTGAAGGACTCACACAACGAGGGGTTAAAGTTCCACTCCTTTAAACCAGTCAATTCAAAGAAATATTTTCCTATCATTTTTACGTGTTAGCTGCAAGCAGACCCTTCATCTTCCTCATTTTTGAGTAGGAGAGTGAAGGAAAGGTGTGTAAATATTGTTCAACTCTGATTTTTTTGTCAGACAACAAACCTGCTCTTATAAAAAAGGAAATTTATGTTGTAAGAGATGAACTTTGTACTAAGAAATTGAAGATGTTATTATACATGATACCTTGTTACACAAAATTTTGGTGACATGCTAACATGGCAATTTTTAGAATTCCAATGTAACAGTTTAGCAGCACTTCAAGCTATTTTTCAACACAGTTCCATTAACATTTGTAACTTCACAAACTTAAAAACGCTTTAATACACAAAATAACTTCTCTGTGGTGAGTTACAAATGTGTTAACCATGCTGCATTTAGCCCTATATGTGCTATGAACCATTAGACTAAAATTTAACAATTAATTCTTCATAAACAGAAATGAAAAAATTTAGTGTTAGTCTTGACAGAATTCACGTCAAGCTTGATAGCTGTACAGTATAGATGTAATGTTGAACAGTTCGATTACACATGGACAGAATGATTTACTTTGAAGTTTTTTATGGGCTCCACAGGAACCTATACAGTAATAATTATTTGAATAGAGTACATTATTGGGTTAGTATGTTAGAATAATTAATATAATACTAAGCGATGAGTATTAATTTTTTTCGAAAAATCACTGAATTTGCTGTCTATGCCGGTGTTGCCAAAATTGTGTGTAATGAGGCAGTTTAAAGGCCAAATACCCAAGTTAGCTTTTCCGTTTTGAGAAGTTAACACATGTATGCACTTGAGGATTCAAAGTTTTTCATAAATATATCCCAGGGTTTTGTCATCATGGGGTATTTTTGTCTTGTGAGGTGTACTCAAAAATTATGTCATTCATTAAGTTTAGGGGGATACAGTGTAACTGTGACAGGGTGATTTTAGCATTAATTTTTCTATCTGAAGTCATTGAATAATGGTTGTGTATTTTGTAATTATTTAAATAAGTACAGTAAATATTGTTACTGTTAAGTCTGCTGGTAAATCTGTTTTAATAAGTTTTGCAAACAGGCTCAAGATTTGTAATGTTCATATTGGATCAAAGAAACTAAGACTGACTGTAAAGTAGAAGTAAGATTTAATATTTCCTGAAGTAAACACAAGTCATACTGTATTTCCATTATAATATGTTTGAAAATGACACATTCAGCTAAGGTTAAGACAGAGAACTTTACACATAAACTAAATGCAAAAAAAGTGTCATAGATTATTTTACACCAAAGAACAGGGATTTATACTGAAAAAGAATTTTCACATTACTGTTGGGTAAGATTTTCTGTGTATTGTTTGTAACAACTTAATAATCAATAGCTGTAGCTGCTGCATTATTGAAAATTATCTTTGTATTATTGTAGTCCGAATAATTCATAGTTTTGCATTCATACTGGGACTGGCACACAGGGATTACAGTGACAAGGAGAGTAGTGCAACTCCTATGTAGCATTCTTTGTGTCAAGGGGAGTTTTCAAAAAACACAACGAATTGCTGCATGGGAGGTAGAAGGGGAGCTGCAAAGAATGTTTTCAGTTTTGAGATTTACGATCCAATGATTTAACTTTATTAGGGGTGACCTTACTTAACACACCTCAACGCAATTATGCAAAATACACCCTTTCCTAGATGGGTGTTCATCATGCTTTATTCATCCAGTTGTACATAATGGGAAATACGTTACATTATTTTTTACATATAGAATTACAGGTACCACAATCATTTTGTAAATAGACAACAACATTACTAAGCAACATTCATCTATTTCAGTAGTCTGAATTGTCAGCCGTCTCCACCCCTCCCCCATGCCCCCCACAGGATAGGGGGTGGAGACGGCTGACATTTCAGACTATCATTTCAGCAGCTCTGTAGATCCTAATCACAGACACAGTACATTTCTGTGAAATGCTATTACCGGTAACCCTTGATTGAACCTAGCAAACCCTAGAAGACTACGCACTTTCACAGCTTTTATTCCCTTAAAACTCTGTTTTTAACTCACATGTTCTCTACACAATCATCCTCCATACAGTTTTAATGGTGTCATACTGAGGAAAATTTGTTTGTACAAGGAATGTAAGACATTCGTAACTTAATCTGCTTTAACTCATGAGCTTTGCAGCTGATTTATTAGTGATATTGCTGGAAGGAAAAATAGATGCTGGTCATTGTTAAGGGTTTACAGGATTAGCAAAGGACTCTTGGCAAATTAATGGGGTAGGGGTGAAACATTTTGAAATAATGAGTGATAGAGATCGCCATTAAATGCCTTTGATTCTACATTGTTAGTTGATCAAGAAGTGCTAATTGACAATACAGTTTGTGAAATTGACATTACTTTTTGTGCTGAATTCATGAGAGAGTAGGGCAGACTACAGTTACCTCTTGAATAGCAGTAGAGTTTCATTAAAATAAACCCTGCTCTTTAATGCAAGTTGATCATCACCAGGATGTTTTTATAACAATAATAATAATACTGTATTAATAGTTTAAAATAGATCAACTTTTAGCCCTGACAATTTTGTTGTGTGGCCTATAAATCAATAAAGCTGAAGGAATGTAATAGTCTACAATTCGACGTTGCTGTCATCTCCCCCAAATCACCACTAAATTACTTCCTTTGTACTCCACAAAGAATTGAAAAGTGAGAGTTATCATTAAGTTTTTAACACTTTCTAAAATGTTTGAAGGAAAATGAGGCCTTTGCCCTCTCTTAACCATCCTGCAAAGCCTGTTTCTCATGCTGCCGACCTACTTCTGCTACTTACTAAGACAGTACTATTCCAACTTAAGGGTACAAGTGCCACTGGCAAAAAGAGCCATGGCTGCAGGTACAGCATGCCTGCAAAGTTAGACTCAAAGAACTTTGCCGGCATGCCAGCTGTAAACACATGAATATAATGGTCTCTGTTGATGGCAACTTCTGTTCTCATTTGGGAACAGTATTCCGGGCAGTACCAGATTGTATGCGGCAGACAGGTTGGGGGCAACCAGGCTTAATTAATGCTGTAATAGTATTAAATCTATAATAACATCATGGCTAAAAAAATGTTAGCTCTTGGTCTTCCCTTGTCTGTCAAAAAAAAAAGGAAATTTGACAATGTAAGTAAAGGAAAAAAAATGTGGTTAACATAAGATGTTAAACCCAAAATAAATGTAGTAGCGCTTTATTAACCCATTCATCCTAGACAATTTGCCGAAAAACGCTGGCCTGTAGGACTATTAATGGTTATTGTTTAAAAGATATCTCCCCCACCCTCTGCACAGAAGTTGAGACAAAGTTGTGGGGTTGTCTTTGTTGAAGTTTATCACATGGTGGTACAGGGGATGTGCTTTTGGGCACCACATAAAGTAATTTCCGATGCAGAGGCCTCCATCTTTTCAGGTGGCCATAGGAAGAAAAGAAAACAATGAAAATAGGCCTCTGCATGAAGGGAATTCCCAGGCTCTTCAGTATGCAGAAAAGAAATTTAAAACTTGGAATCTAACCTTGCATTGCACAGAAGAATGAGGTTCTGTACAGCTGATAGTGTTGATGTGTCATTTTGTCCTGTTATGAGATGTCTGTCAATAATGACATGCATACCATCAGGTTCAGTGGCTGAAAAAAAAGGACAAAAAAATTACTGAAAAGGTCATAATCATGAAATTGTCATTATACACCACCAGTTAGGTTTGCCACCATAAGTAATATTTAAACGTTATATTTAAACCTAACGTTAGGTCAATAGGTTCAAGTTCTTCAAATACAGTGAGGACGTTATAATATTATGTTCCTCTGACTGAGATGAGCTTTGAGAAGTTCTAGGAATTAAGTTTGGATTTCCCCTTGGAAAAGGTTTGTTGTACATGGATGAGCCTTATGCCTTGATTCCTAATGTTTTACTCAGTTTTTTCCAACAGCATATGTTCTCACTGGTTACTTCAAGGTCACATGGTTTTAGTTATGACGAAAAAACCCTCACCGCTGTAGGTGCCTCCATTATCTTTGATCCAGTCTTCAACGATTAATGGGAGACTTGAAAAATCAGCAGAGCGAGCTGATTCAAATACTGAGGGCTGAACATAACAAGACGTCAGTCCAAAAATGGTCTATTGTGAACAGTTTTACTGCAGTGAATTATTGGATAAATTTAGGTTACTTTCTGGGAAACTACCTACCTACCCCTCCCTTAAGCCATGATTTTGCCCTAAGTAAGAAGTACGTGTCAAATTATGTTGGCTTAGGGGAGGGGTAGGTGGGCAGTTCCCCAGAAACCAAGTAATAGTATTAATGATCCTATTTATTTAATAGTAAATATGTGTGGTTATTATGAGCATTATAATAATTGACATACAGTTAAAACTTACATAAATTAAACATAGAATACTTAGAAGGTTACCCCTGTCAAACTATAGCTCTTGAAACTCCAAGATTTTCTGTCTTCTCTTCTTGCTGAACAAAGCCCTGCAACACCATGTCCAACAGCACAGATGGGTTCTAAATAATAATAATAAAAAAAACATTGTAGCAGCCAGCAGACAATCCACATTACAGCTCAAGGAATATGGACAGAATCCTATCAATGACTGGAAATGTCTGGAATCCAAGTTCCACTGACCAAGAATCTGGAATTCAGTGCCTGGAATCAGGAATCCAGAATCCAAGACTGTCTTTGATTCCCTCAAGCATGTCGTGAGAAATAGACTAGTAACTGCATGCACTCACTTTTTTCCTGGACAAATGTATTAAGAAGCTTTGCCAACTCATTGTCTTGAGCCAAGTCATAGAGTGCTCCTGGAGCACTTGGTATTAATACTGCCCCATACCTGGAAGCTACAGCAGAAAAAAATTATTTTTTTAACAGTGTTAACAAAGAAAAAGTCAGTCATTTACATGAGATTATTAATAACAATACAATCATAACATATTACCACATCCTTAAAGACAGGGTTCATACTAAAAATTGCAACCATTTCTTAAGAACTTTTCAAGGGCCACATTTGATTTTCGAGGACCACCTAGCAGGAATATAATTTCACAGTACAAAAATGCACATTCCCAGTCCAAGCAAACAGGACTTTAAAGGCTTAAACTGCTTGAGCTACCAACTTCTCTACATTTTTCAGTTCTCTTGTCTTCAATTGACAGTTAATTCTTGCATATAAACAAAAAACTCTTTATGTGAATCACCTCTACATTCTCTGAGCTATGATTTATATTATACCTTGGACAACCAAAAAGCATTTAAAAAACACTTTCCAGGCCACTACATTCAAAGTTGAAGAAAATTCAAGGACCTTTCAAGGATTCCACCTTAAATTCAAGGACTTTTCAAGACTGTGCAAACCCCTTAAAGAAAAAAAATTTCATTATCTCTCATCCAACAGACAGATAGTTCCAGCCAGAAACAATCCTTTAGGGGTTTCCATTACTCCTACACTGAAACATTCTGTAAATCATCTAAAAACTTTTTACCATCAACATCTTCAAGTTTTCCTGGAACTGAGAATGGTTTTGTTCTAAACTCATTTAACCATTTCCTGCTGTTTTCATCAGACTTCACAAAGTCTATTTGCTGGCCCTAGGATTCCAATAAACAAACAATACTAAATACCTGAATTTTTTATCTTATTTATTGCTGCATTACAAAAGGCTAGCCTTAAGGATCAGGAACCACACTGACTATACTGGACACTGTAAAGGCCTGTGACAAATTAAATGTTACACAATCTAAACTATCAGATCACTAGTTGCTCGTTTAGAGGTTTTTTCACACACATGTGCAAGCACCTAAGTTACAAAGAAACATTTTCTGAATAACAACTTTGTAACAGACTAGCATCTATCCTGAAAGACCATCTACAGGAACTCACAGACACTCATTATTATAATTATTGTAAATGTTCAAAGCATGAGCCAGCTCTTTTTTTGGCATGTAATGGTCATTCAATTTCTGAGGGGTATAAGCATTACTCACTTTTAAATAGGGAGGGGTGGGATAGGCATTTGCACACTGGTAACACCGCTGCATTGACTCCTCTAAAGTCCTCAATAAATACGCTTAACATGATCTTATCTACATGAAATCATAGTTAGTAGTCCCCACTACTAACTATGATGTACTGTATTATATATCACACCTTCCCTATGCTTATCTATTTTGGGAAATTGCTTCAAGTTTAATCTAAACTGAGGATTGGATGGATTTGAAAGCTTGATTTTCCTACCTTAGGTGTTGCAATCTGTACATTGAACACAGAATGTGTCAGTGTAAATGCGTGAATGAAAGATTGAGCAGAGACGCCTAAGGGGTATAAAAATATGCAAAAAATTAAGCTTATTAAACAAAGGAAACATCCTTATTTGACAGATAAAAACCTTGTGATATTTTATTTACACTCTCCAACTTGGGGTTCATATCCTGGTGTAAATGAAAACAAAAACAAAGACCAAACAATGTATAGATTATACAGTTATGATATCTTAAACAAATTAAGATATTAATGCCATGGAAAATTATGTTTTCTGACAGTACCAATATACCAGAACCAAGTTTCAGGACTGTCCTTTAGCAAGTATAAGCTATTGAAGACCAAAAGAATTATACTTATTAGATTCTTTAAATTTTATTACCTGACGAGTCAGGAATAAACAATATCCCTACCTTGAGTTGCAGAGCTGCAAACTATCAAACAATTCGGTTTGGCCGCCATATTGGATTCGTTACCTCGTCCCAGACTTCTGGCTACAGAAAAAATGTAACTTTCACGCATGCGTTCATTTGAAAATGTCACAAGTCCGCGAAGAAAGCACTACTTCATTGACATGCTTTCTACTGAGGTTTTTTGCTGTAGTTTAACTTATTTATGCAATCGCAAGTAATTTTGGGCAACCGTAGCTGCATGAGGTTCCTATTGTTGAACGGTATATAATGTTTAAACATGAATTTCAGGTAAGTGAACTGCTTTATCAATTTGATCGCCTTCGGCGACAAACTGGTACCTGTGGTTACAATTATTCTTGAGCTTTATTTACTGTAACTTAACTTACATGTTTATCGTTTGTGGTGACAGGGAGGGCCCTGTGTGGAAGTCTTCAGCGCCCAAAGCCGCGATCCTGTAGGGAAATGGAGGCTAAGCGGGAGTGCGTCCGTCAAAAACAAGGTTTACGATAAGGACGTCAAGAGCTTTGTTTACAATTTGGAGGGTGAGACAACGACCACAAAGATGAGCCTACCCAAGGATGAGAAACAATCGCTGGGGCTTTTACAGCGTTTTCTGATACTTCAGCTCTATGTGCCGCTTGGACATTCGTTTTCGCTGGAGTTTGGGATCACTGACTCTGGAAATAATAAACGCCGCATTTTGCTGTCTTCAAACCACCGTGAAGTTACAATTACCCACCTTCACGCGCGATTTCCGTTAAATATTCTTCGTCTTGGTGTTTGGTTAAATTTATGCATGGATTTGCAATCATTAGTCAGTGAAACCTTCAAGGGACAGTCTTTTAAAGCTCTGGAAAATTTAACAATTTCAGCGAGTTGCCGTTTGCGTAAAATATTTACTATGAGAGTGCAACCGTTTGATACCACGGACGATGATGAAATTTATGGTTGTCAGAACACAAATAATGGCGAAATCGACAATATTCCGAAAGCACATCAGATCTCCACCTCACCAGATGTGCAGTATCATACTCAGGTCTGTTTTCATCTCTATTTTTAATTGTCTTGACGTGCAGTACACAAATAAACCAACTAATTAACGTTTTTGCAATTTTACAATGCACCTGTTCATACTCGTTACTTACTTTGCTAAACAGATAATTTCAAACAGTGGTCAGACGGCATAATTAAGAAAAAATAAACGCACAGCATGAACCCATCGGGTTATTGATGCTCAAAGGAGGCTATCAAGAATGAAAGAGTTGCTCAAGGGGTAATTGGGGGCAACTTCGGCTTCTTGAGGGCTTGACAAACCTCCCAAGTACATCCCTAACTTTTATTACATATCAATTTGCTTACAGATAGTAGAAGAATTGCCGAAGAAAACAGCCACCATTTTGTAATACCACCACTCGTTTCCCCACAAAATAATGTTGGAAGAACCAGTGCAGAAATTCCATACCAAGGACACATCACTGCCCAGATCTGGTTCTGATTGGTTGAAATGCCCAGATCTGGGCAGTGATGTGCCATCAGAATGGAAATTTGGTGTTGGTTCCTCAGACATCATTTTGTGGGGAAACTAGTGGTGGCATTATGAAATGTTGTCTGTGTTCTCAGGCTACATGTTGTAGGGGAATGGCAATTCTTTTGTCATGAGTGCATGCCATTGTATGAACAAATCCAAGTTCTTAATTGCAAAGATCACATTACATAAATGTTTTGCTGAGCAAGTAGTTTCCTTTCTCAGTGTGGATTGTAAAGCCTTTTTTCGTTATCCCGATTGATTTTTGGGTACTTGGTCGAAATAAAGCCTTACCAAAGGATTCCATAAAAACAAATTACTTGTATGATCACATATTGACATAATTACATAACAAACTGATGCATTCTTCTTTGAGCATGCTCTAGCTTTTGTCTGCATTCATCAATGTGCAAATAGTAAATCAATGGGAAATTGGCCCATTAGAGTGCATGCTTTATAACTACACTTTTGTTATCTTATAAAAGGACCCTTTTTATGCACAACTTTTTTGAGTATTCTGATGTATAGTATTCTAATCTTACTATTATTATTGTTGTTCCTTTAAGGTCATCAACATGGCCAAACTCTGGCAGGCAGAAATAAAAGCTAAGGAGAAAGCTGGTCTTCCTCCACCTTCAACACCTATTTTTGCTGATTCAGACACAGGGATCAAACAGGAAGAGGAACCTACACATATTGCTTTTGGTTCTAAAATTGTTATTCCCAAACATGCTCGAAAAACTTCTCGCGAAGGGGGTGCGTCTTCAGCGGGTGCCAGATCATCATCTGGGATGAATCGTAGTGGTTCAATACCACAGTTAAGGACTTCTTCTGCCGCAGAAGAGCCTGAGAGCGGCAGAGAAAGTAGTCGACAAACTCACAGACTGGCATACCAAAGGTCATTCTCTGATGCTACTAATTTGCACTCTAAGGAGTCATCTAATTCTCAACTTGAGGTAGAAGCAACACAATCAATGATGCAACCTCGTCCTCCACGAACTGGGTCAGGTGGAAAGGCTCGTCGAAGGCCCTTTAAAGTCAAGCATCCAGGAAGTGGAACAACAAAATCAAGCAATGTTAACGATAAGTATGCCACCAATAATCCTGTTAAGAGTGAGGTGAATGGCTCGTCTAATTCAAAAGACATTGTTCCTGAGGAAAAAGATATGGACAGTAATCAGGAGTCAATTTCTAGATCACAGAGTGAAAGTTCTCTAAAAATGTCTGGTAATGATAGTAGCTTATCAGAAAGTTTTAACAAGTTACACATCCAAATTCCTAACAAGGAACAAAATGGTATCCAAAATCATGAAATGAGTGGCTCAAATGAGCCCTTGCCAACAACAACTCCAGACCTTGGATCTCCACCAGTTTTTACCTTTTCATCAAGACCTCGGTCTGCGCCAAGATCACCAAGAAGTCGAAGGCCAAAGCAGCAAGATTCTGGTGTAACCCATTTAGAGGAAAAACCAGCTATTCAAATTTCGTTGCAGCGACCTGCTGATGTCAAAGACTCTAAGCTTCGGTCCAGAAAAGATAGTAACAGATCTGAATATGATTCAGACTTTTACAAACCTTCAGGGGAAAGTTCAGCCGAGGAAGATGAACTGCAAAACTTTTTGAAGTCAAGTGGACATTCCCGGTGTAGTTCACGAGGCTCTAAACTGAGCCCATTCCCCAGTCCTCAGCCAAGCCCAGAACCTGATGCATTATCTAATTCACAGGTTTTACGAATGAGCATCAAAAGCAGTCTGCTGAAGGAGGTAAGCGGACAACATACACATATTATTTGGACAGTATCATATGTATTTTAGGGGCCAGATTCACAAAGCCTTACTACAGGGCTGTCACAATGAAGTTGCCAGACACATATTTTATTATGAGGTGGGTCCTACTTTCCTTCTGTTTCCAGTGAATTTAGCTGGTAGTCATGTTCATACATGTAGTAGGCGGGGAAAATCCCTGGCCCTTAGTTTTTCTAAGTTACTGACTATGCATGTATTATGGTACTGTTGACATAGGGCTGTCATTAAGGGCCGCAGGGCAGAGAATTTTCCTCCTGGCTACTACAAACATGATCCCCGGGCACTGTCATAGGAAAATCGAGGAAAACTAGGACCAAAAGAAATCAATAGCTATTTGATTCCCGCCTACTCCTTGTATTCGGCCGGCAACTTGAAACTTAGTGACAGCCCTGGTTTGACAACATTAAACTCAGAATTTCTCAACATGTTACCTATCCCACAGAGCTGAAGTTATGGAAATCAAGATCAACACTTCAAAGTCAATTGAAACCCCTTGAAACTAATCTTGAGAGGCCCACACAAGAAACCACTATCGGAGCTGTAGCAATGACAATATTAATGGCAGTAAAAATATCACTCATGAAATGAATTCACATTTTTACACACTTCATTCTGTTATTCCAACTCCCATCAAATTTAGGTGATTTTTCCTGGAGTTGAATTCTCAGGGACAGAATTTAAGTGTTGCCTTTGGAGATAAGACCAATATCACAGCCTGGTCTTCACCTTGACCCCAGTTCCCAAGGTCAGGGTCACTTTGTGATCTTGGCCTTGTCCCTAAAGGCTATGGTGACTCCTTCAACAAAGAAAACTGGTTAACTGTTGAAAATTTGAGAAACACTTTTTCAATTTTCCATTGCTGTTCTTACAAAGACCTTTGCTATAGTTTGATATTCAAATTTCAAGCAGTTTCTTGTTGTTATGTGTGAAATGTTTTATATAGGATTGAAAACATCCTTGTCGTTGTTTGTGTTCAGCAGTAATTTTAAATACAAAATCAAATACCAATAGTCCAGTTTTGAACCAAGGGTAAAATTTAACCACAACGTAAACAACAACATGTCTCTTTTCTTTCTTACTTCCATTTACACTTGTTAATTGACAGATTCCTTCACCTCGTAAGAACAATACTAAACCCTATGATGCCAATGACTATCAATCAGATGCAAGTTCTTGGCGGAACTTTCAATCAACTGCTAGCTCATGGCGTTTTGACACATCTGTCATGAGTGGCAGCATGCTGGACAAGTCCCTTGATAAATCATTCAACAGTTCATTTGGTCAAGAACACATAATCAGTGAAGAGACATCAGAATCAGAGGAGGGAATTATTATAAACGATGATGGAGGGGATTCCCTCAGTGGTGATAGTGATGATACCAGCTATTCTACTTGGAAACGACCCCCTCCCCCTGATAAAAGAGTCCATCGTTATTTAGATGAAATGAGGGTAAGTGGGGATGTATGTAAGGAATATTACATTGTAAATTTGAGTAAGAAAGGGTGCACCTGTCAATAAATTTTTATTTTAATCTGACAGTCAGACGGGTACTGAAGAAGAAAACCGTAAGAAACTTTAATTTTCACAGAAAAGTTATTATATTGATAATAAATTGTAACCATAGTTAGTAGGGCTGAATGGTTATGAAGCCATTCAGACTGCTTTGTTATATTTTTTGGACTTGACAGTGCACAAAGGTCAATACCATTGCTATCATTTTCATCTTACTGACCAATAAAAATGTCACATTTTTTAGTTTGCCACAATTTGTGAACAAAAAGCAAAGAATTGTGCATTGTTGGGTAGCTTCCAAAATAAACTGCGTCACTGTTGTTTTTATCTTTGATGTTTGCTATCCCTCTTAACCAGTCTCATTTGCTGTATGTAGCTGTGTTGTAATATCATATCCCCTCCCCACAGAACATTATTTAACCCAGGAATATTAATGGGTACTGGTGACACAGTATTGGGGGTACCATTAGGGGTGGGGGAGGGTGGTGAGGGGAGTAGCAGTACTTCTACATGAAGGTGCTTCATACTACAAAAACTAGGTTAAGCTTCAGCCATGTGGGCCTCGTGGCTCATGTTCCCCCAGGGGGGTACTCTGGATTTCAGGTGACAAAGAAAGGAATTTTTGGTTTGAAATTTTCAATTTCAGCATTTTTTTGGGTAGGAAAATTTTGGCAAGTATTTTTTTGGGTAGCTTAATTTAAGTAGGGATTTTTTTGAGAGTATTTAAAACAATCTGAAGATTTGTGATAGTTCCCATGTATCCCAGCTGCATAGTTTCTCTGGAAATTTTTATGGCTCGGAAATTCAGCATCAGATTTTTGGGGGTTTTGCTTGAAGCCCTATAGGGATCTTTTTGGCTTGTTCACCTTGCCTTTACCATAGGTGCTTTCATAATGTAATAAACTCTTTCATTGTACAGCACCCTGGACCAGAGCCAGACTTAACAGCCACCCTACCACTTGACCCAAGAGAGTACACTGATGTGTTCAGTCCACCTATTGTATTGCCTAGTCAGAAGATCAGCTCAGGTGGGGACAATCATTTTCATGTCTTGTGCATTTTCACATGAATGATAATCAACACACCCTTTGCACTCTACACCAGCAGATTAACTGTGTTTGTTCTACTTAATTCATGTTTCGATTAGTCCCTCTGGAAACCACTTCATTTGTTTCCATTGGTAGTTCATTTTCCCTCTAATCTACCTTGGGAAATGAAATACTAATTATATCCTCAGAGATCAAAACTGTTTCATTAGTGACCAGTGTGTAACAAACAGACAGAGCCATAGTTATTTCGTCCCTTATTCAGCTCCCTGCATTCTTTACCTTTACATTAAAGTCTATTCTAAATGACAACAAAAATAACACAATGTGTCTTATTTCCAGCTGGACAAAACCATGTCCTCTCAGCAGCCCTGTCGCCACCCAGAAGTCGTAACCCAAGTAACAGTGTGGAGCATGATATGGGAGCAAATGAAGAAGAGCTTGATTTGTTATATGATCCATGCTTGAACTGTTACTTTGATCCCAGATCTCATAAATACTATGAGCTGGCATAAGTGAAAGTCTCCAGTTAGATTCACAGGCATACCAATCTCAGTGTTGTGGACTGTGCTTTATATGAATGGTCATTAATTTCAGTTACGAAGTGGAAGCATAGGTAGCCAAGAAGTTTTAACAATTGCTAGGTTTCATATTGTGGAGGACTGAGTACGAGTTTGTGGTGTATTATGTATTCATCAACACAAGACCCACACATCAAGAAAAAGGACACCAAGTTTTTCAAAATCCTCAAATTTGGTGTTTATCAGGCTGTCAGAGATACAGCCATTCAAAAGCTCAAAAATTTAAAAGTAAATGACATCCAAGACAATCCATATAAAACTAAAACTCAATACAAGACTGATTAACACCAAACTTGAGTATTGTAATGCTCAGTATGCTCTTTCTTATTAATTTTTTGTGGGTCTTTATGTTGATACTCGAGGAAGGGGGGTGGGGGCACTGCAATGGACTAGAATCCTGTCCAGGGGTGAGTGGCAATACTCCTAGTTGCTTAATGGTCCATATAAAGCGCACTACACCAACACCAAAATGATGGTAAGCTGGTGGTGTGATGATTGTACATCATGTAGAACGGTCTTAACCTGAGAAAACAGCCAAAATTTTGGGACACCACCAATGGTTCCCTGTGCAAAATGACGTCTGAGGAACAACTGCAGGAATTTCGTGCTCCTGATGACATGTCAGTATTACTCAGATATGGGTAGTACGTCTGATTGGTTTTGCCATTAGGAAAATTTACTTCAACTAATCAGAAGCCCTATCCAGACTCATGTCATCAGTTGTGAATTTCTGTGCTCGTTCCCCAGGCTTTTTCTCAGGCTATAATGGTCATAATTTATTATTTAATTTTATGGAAGTGTGGTATTCCGTGCACACAATATCGACAAGTAGAGCTTGTGACTAGTTGTGGTTAAAACATGTTCATAGTGTTATTTATTTTGGCACAAAGTGAGTGAATGTGTTTATGCACTCCTCTAGTGCTATTCAATAGTTCATGCTCGTGTGACTTTCAAAATCGCGGGTACAAAGATAAACAATCCACCTGGTTATAAAAGAATAAAATTACGGAAATGTTTGAGTAAAACAATCACTCTTCCGTTTTATAGACAACTGAAGCCAAAAATCTTTGCTTTATTTATTTCTCTAGTGGAAAGCACTTCCCATCAAGTCTGCGACACCTCCCTCAGCTGACCAAAATGTGAAATAAAAACTAAATGAGTGCCCCTTTGACTCTACTTAAAAACCATCCAAGGGGCTTGTTCTAGAGTCAACGGTATTTTAAATAATCAACGCAATTTAGCGTATTTCCTCGAATAATAGCCGGGGACAATTCTCCTTTTTTTTTTCGCACAAAAAGGGGGCGATTATTCAAGGGAGGTAATTATTTTAAATATTGCTCACTGGAAGTCATGCCCCAAATATTGTTTTATTATCCCATTAAATCAAAAAAGGATCACATCAAATAAACTGAACATGAGCTTTTTGTCAGAGCTTCAATCGTCACTGATCAGATGCCACTTCAACTTACGGGGACCGGAGAGGGTAAAGAAAGAGATCAGAAGTAGGTGAGAGGGGTGGGGTGGGGGCGATTATTTTAAATATTTCTGTCTAAGGGAGGCGATTAATTGAGGGATGGCTATTATTCAAGGAAATACGGTATTAAATTTTGTGTTGTATGTCATTTGTTTGGATAAGAACTTGTTGCCAAGAACTCGATTGAAAGTGTCCATGCATTCCAGTTCAGAATAAAATTTGGAAGTGTCGGTTTTTGTAAACATTAGGGAGCTTAAGCAAAGACGTTTTTGAGCCACGCACGTCAACCGGAAGTGAGGCTTTCTAAATTTTTATATGCTATAATGCTAACAAATTTGTGTTTGCTAAGTTTCTTTTCTCTTATAAAGGCAATTTTCCCTAGAGTTTCAACCAAACCAGTGCCTAATGATAACAGCTGTCCACTTCCAGTTAGGGTAGGGGAACACATATCACTAGGGATCTGTGTTCCCCTACCTAGGAAGCACATATCCCTAGTGACATGTGTTTCCCAGGTAAGGGAACACATATCACTAAGGATATGTGTTTCCTGCATAGGTGAACACTTATCACTAGGGATATGTGTTTCCCAGACAGGGAAACACATATCCCTAGGGATCTGTGTTCTCCTTCCTAGGAAACACATATCCCTAGTGATATGTGTTCCCCTACCCAGGAAACATATATCCCTGATAACATGTGTTTCCCAGGTAGGGGAACACACACCACTAGGGATATGTGTTTCCCAGACAGGGAAACACATATCCCTAGGGATCTGTGTTCTCCTTCCTAGGAAACACATATCCCTAGTGATATGTGTTCCCCTACCCAGGAAACATATATCCCTGATAACATGTGTTTCCCAGGTAGGGGAACACACACCACTAGGGATATGTGTTTCACACGGAAGGGAACACATATCACTAGGGATATGTGTTTCTCGGCCAAGTAGTAGGGGAACATATATCACTAGGGATATGTGTTTGCCAGGTAGGGGAACACATATCACTAGGGATATGTGTTTCCGAGGTAGGGGAACTCATATCACTAGGGATATGTGTTTCCCGAGTAGGGGAACATACGTCACTAGGGATATGTGTTTCCCAGGTAGGGGAACATATATCACTAGGGATATGTGTTTCCCACGTAAGGGAACACATATCATTAGGGATATGTGTTTCCGAGGTAGGGGAACTCATATCACTAGGGATATGTGTTTCCCGAGTAGGGGAACATACGTCACTAGGGATATGTGTTTCCCAGGTAGGGGAACATATATCACTAGGGATATGTGTTTCCCAGGTAGGGGAACACATGTCACTAGGGATATGTGTTTCCCGGGTAGGGGAACACATATCACTAGGGATATGTGTTTCCCAGGTAGGGGAACACGTATCACTAGGGATATGTGTTTCCCGAGTAGGGGAACATATATCACTAGGGATAAGTGTTTCCCGGGTAGGAGAACACATATTGCTAGGAATATGTGTTTCCCGGGTAGGGGAACACATATCACTAGGGATATGTGTTTCCCAGGTAGGGAACACATATCACCAGGGTAATGTCTTTCCTGGGTCACATGTCACTATGGATGTGTGTTTCCCAGGTAGGGAAACACATATCACTAAAGATATGTCTTTCCGGGCTAGGGGAACACATATCACAAGCGATATGTCTTTCCCAGGTAAGGAAACACATATCACTAAGGATATGTGTTCGGGGGAACACATATCACGTGGAAACACATATTACTGTGACATCACTTTGATATGACTTCCCCCTTCGACCTGAGACAAGAAGTAGGAAATAAAAAGAATTAATTATACCCCAGAATAGAGATAACGTTTGTTTTTTTTATCAGTTTGTTCAGATTCAGATAACACATATTTCATAACAAACTCTTTTTATTGAAGTAATCTCCGTGAAAGCACAGGTAGCCCAAGCTTTATAAGTCAATGTTAATTTGAGACTCGCCATAACATTGCATCATAGTGAAGATATAAGGATTTTTATAGGGGGGGGGGGAATAAACAATATTTCTTGGAAAAAATATAGATGTGTTCGACTGTATTAGTTATGATTATCTTGCAATACTTTTTATTGTAGTTTTTACTAGTTTCTCACGCTTTAGTCACCTTTAACATAAATTTGATATAACAATATTGTAAAGCGCAACAGAATATATTCATATGGAGGTTTGCGCTATATAAATGTAAATTATTAATTATTAGTCTCGGTTCTAAAACATTTACTTTGGGAAAATACTGCAATTATTCGCTGACCACAACGCAGGGTGACCCCTTTGCAAGTTGTGAGAACATCGTTTCTCTGTCCCAGACCTCGTCTCTTCCCCCCCTTCCCACCTCCCACCCCGCCACCGTGATCCAGACTCTGTTGATTCGCTGGCCACTAAAGATTATTCGAGTGTTATAATTTAGAAATGCGGCTATTTATCGCCGTCCTCGTGTAAAAATGCTTTAGCTAGTTCTGGGTTTTCTGCAACCCATTTTTCTGCAGTGTTCTCTTTTAACCAATCACTGTCCTTTATCTGCCGGTTCAACGTGTGAATTAAGTTCTCAAGTGTCTCATCTGAAGAAGTAACATTATCTTGGCTGTGACTGGGCGGGGCTTTTACTCTCCCATCCGGCTGTTTTGCAGCTAACTCAGTTCGGACGTTCTTGACAGTATTCTGTATTCTTGAGAGCCCTAAAACAAGAGTATGCAGAGGAGGCCGACCGTTACTCTTCTACCCGGGGGGGGGGGGCACTGCCATATATGGGCTATAAAGGTATGTGCCGCTGTGAAGGGCATGGTTTTCAAGCAGTTTACTCTAGGATAGGGTATATAAATCAGAGCGTTTGGGTCTAGAATAGGATATCATTTTTTAGGAAACTGATCGGTTGGTTGAAGATTTTATCTAGACTAGGGATTGTGGTATAAGGTTTTGTTTTGGCTAGACTGTGCTAGTGACCTCAGTAGTTTCTGGAAAACAGCTACTCTAGGATAGGGGGGATTTGAGGAGTTTTCTCTAGTATAGGGTAGCAAAATTCAGCTGAACTAGCTCTGGTATAGGTTAAGGGTTCCAGGGTCCCAGCGGCACATTCCCACCTAGAAATCCCTAAAGTACCCCCCCCCCGGGCTCTTCTAGCTGAAAATGGCGCATGTAAGCTTTCCGAACGGCTTCGAACGTTTACCTAAGCGTTTAGTATACGCTCAGGTAAACGTCCAACGCAGAACGTTTCAAATCGCTAAAATTAGCCGCTCTCAGCTACAGAATGACAGTACAATACCTTTCAGGCGAAAAAAAAGGGTGAATTGATGTCACATGTCAATATTCATCGCAGTTTAATACTAAAAAAAGAACTTTTCTTCTAAGTTCTCACATTCGAACGGTCAGACAGTTTATGTGGGATCCCTGTGACGTCACCTCTTTTAAAAATCTCAACGAAAGGCTGGGATAAAAGGACCTTCCGCTACAAATCAAGACTGAACAAAGTACTTTTTCTTTATCGTTGAACGTACAGTGAATCACTGCAAATACAGTCTTTGATCAGTGACTCACTCAACGTCGGATCAAAAAATATAGCGAGAAGGTAAAATAAAGGGGAGCATAGTAGTCGTTTCCCATAATTGTTTACTCGTTCGTGACTGTTTTGAAGACTTCTGACGAGAAAGAATTGACAATTCAAGTCTTTAGATACCTTCGATACTTCCGAACAGCACCTCTGGGTTCTTGAAGAAATTCATCAGGCTAGTGAAGTTAAACAGTCGATTGAAATGTTCTTAAAACATAGCCAGTCTTAACGTCTTCTCGTCTTCTCGTCAGGGACGAGGGAGCCTATCAGCTTTCTCCCATATGGACACAAGTGATCTCCACCCCCAAACCACGGGGGGTAGGGGGCGTCTACAGAGTGACTTTGCGCGTTTATCGCAATAATTAACACCTTCAGAAGCCTATTTAAGGCTTCTGACACTTTTCATGTTTTTCAAGTTTTGATAAAGATGGCTGACAGTCATCGAAACTGTCGGCATCAATAAGACGTTAAGACTGGCTATGTTTTAAGAACATTTCAATCGAAAGCACCTCTGTGTATTCTCCTCCTTACACTTCTTCAATAGGTATCTGGTCACCTCGCCACCAAGAATAGAACTTAGCTTAGCATTGGTTTGAACCTTCATGAATGGAAATTTCTTAAACCGTTACTTTGTGTTCATATTTCGAAGACATGTCTAGTGGTTGTGAAACGTTTCTGCCAGTTTTTTAATCCCTCACGATCGAATGTCAAAGTTTACATTCACAGAACCTAAACATGTATTATTAGTATTTGAAAATATATATCAACAGCATAAGACGTTCGACGCAAGGATCGTCAATATGGGATCTACAGATTTGTATTTGGATCGACTTTGAATACGGATACGCTTGACCAGAATCTTAGGTAAGTAAATCTAGGTATTAAACTGTTTCAGTTATTTCAGAGTTATTCGCGTCGGTGGCGAGTAGACTTCTTGGTGGCGATTTAGTTGGTAGTGAGATGACTGTAAACCCTTTAATACCACCGCCCCCTCCCCTCCCCTCCCGCGGCCCCACCTTCTTTTGTTTCATGATTCGAACACAATCATAACTCACCGAGTTGAAGAACTTCTGTGTCCATGGCGAAAATGATTCTAAACCATCCGGGTTCAGGACAAAGAAAGTAGGCTCCAGGATAAATAGACACGCCATTTGCTACCATTCGCTCAAACAGTTGATACTCTTCTTCAAATGACGATGTTGGGACAAGCTAATAATAAGAGAAAACCCACGATACTTTAGCTTGCTAACTCTGTACTGCAGTTATACTGATTGTCGAAACCGTTAATACGAGCAGGGTGACTATCGAATTCCAGTGTAAATCTCTTAATAATATCGCATATTTTCCTTCCTTTCCGAATACTTCTTGTATGAAATCCCTTTTCGTATAGCCTGCGTAGCAGGCGCTTGGAAGTAGTGGGCGCAAGAAAGAACGAGCGCGCGCCCGTTCTTTCTTGGGCCTGCTACGCAGGCTACTTTTCGGAAAACGCGTGGCACATTATTTTTGCGGGTTCCAATTTATGCGATTATTGCCGGTTTTTTGTTGTTGTTGTTTTTTGCTTTTTTTTTCTCCAAAAAGATCCAGCAAATATAAACTACCGCAAAAATTAAACCCACAAACATAATAGACTCTACGGTCAACATTAGTATGGTTTCACAAACATCGCCATTTACTAGAAATGTCAATTGGTTTGGTTATAAGGATGAATCAGACCTGTATTACAGCAATCGATGGCTAGATATTGGCCAAGTTCTTATTTTGGACCAATTTAGGTTTCTGGGAAACTGCCCACCTACCCTTCCCTTAAGCCAACATTAACACTTACTTCTCATTTAGGGCAAAATGTTGACGTGTGGGAGGGTTAGGTGGGCAGTTTCCCAGAAACCTAAATTGATTTTTTTCTTTTTTATGGACAGAGGCGAATTCGAGGTCGATGAAAACACACACATTAAATACGAGTCCAATATCCAGCTATCTCAACCGAACAATCTTGGTCAATAAAGGATTTATTATATGCCCAAGAAAACGTTTTCACGAGGGACAAGAGCGGGAAATCCCGATCGGCAAAGATGGGCCCACCTTTCCCCTCGGGTAGTAATCAGAACACAGGGATCGCTTCACTTTGACCGCTCGCGGAACCAGTCAAATAATAAACAGGATTTAAGACTTGCATGCGTACCAAAGTATATTCAAATGACTTTGAAAGCGACAGGTAATATCTAGCCACTAATCCATAAATCAACCCTGGAGCCTCAATAGGTCAATAATACTACTCGATAATAATACTACAATATTACTGGCCGAGCTGTAGCCAAGTTCCACGTTTTTTGCGTGATTATTTGCAGATTCATCATCATCGAAATTGTGACTTTTCAAAATGCTGTAATCAGCACACAAGAGCGTTCATGAGCTCCTTCCTCAACCGTACCCCCCCCCCCCCAATCCCCTCTCTCCCCTACACATACACACACCCCACCAAAGGGAAGACTGAATGGCATACAGAATGCATCTTACCTCTCTAAAATCCACCCAAACAAAAAGGCCACCTTCTCCCTGGATGAATGGAATGTTAACCTCATGAAGAGCATTACAAGTGATATTATATGCTTTCCGTAGTCGCTCTTGGTTTGTTGGTATAAAAGTCTTATCTAACCAATCTGCAAAACGAGACATTATAAAGATTTAGAGTTGCTGTCACTTCCCAATTGACTAACCTATTTGATCTACAACTCTATAAGCTACCCTGTTCCAAGAAGTACTGAAAGGACAATATATGGACTCAATAAATTTAAGTCTCAGTTAAACACACCGTGGGAAAAGCAATTTCCCAAGATATTTCTCTCGCGGCATGTATGCTGTGGTAAAAGCGGTCAAATCAAGTTTTCTTTTTTTTTCAGCGGTATTGCCGCATGCAGTGCGTGTTTTTACGCGGGAATTTCATAGCCACCCCAATGATTGTTTCTTTTTTATTGTGAGACAAACATCTCGGTCGTTGTCATGGTCACCTCCTTTGAAATTCCTGACGTATGTATGATTACGCTTCACGGCAAATTTACCACCGGAAGAACGGGTCACACGGGTGTATTTTTTTTCGTTAGAAAAGGACGCATCCCGGGGAAAACGCCTTGTATAACCACAAATAAAAAGTAGATAGAAGTGTGGCCAGTGGAGTAACGAGCAAATGCTAGCAACTTGTTCCCAAAAAGCTCTTCTCTCCTCGGTTAACAGTTCGTGAAAGACCCTGTCTTAGGGGATTAAGAAAAAAAGTTTAAAAGGTTCCAAATGGTTCAAATCCACATAAAGCCTAAAACAAATTAACATGACATTCAAGTTATTGTTCGATTTTTTTTGTCCAATTTCTTGTCCGATTGCTTGTCTGATTTTTGTCCGATTTTTCGACCGAATTTTCGTCCTATTTTTGTTGTCCGATATCTTGTCCGATATATTTTTTTTTCCGCTTTCTTGTCCGATTTCCTATCCGATTTTTTGTCCGATTTCCTATCCGAGTTTTTGTCCGATTTTTCTTGTCCAATTTGTCCAATTTTTTGTCCCATTTTTTTTGTCTGATTTTTTGTCCGATTTTTTTTGTTCGACTTTTTGACCGATTTTTGGTCCCATTTTTGTCCCATTTTTTTTGGCTTATTTTGCGTCCGATTTCTCGTCCGATTTTCCTTGTCCGATTTTTGACCGACCTCTTGTTCGATTTCTTACCAGACTTTTCTTGCCCGGTTTTTGGTCCGATTTTTTGTTCCATATCATGTCTGATTTCTTGTTTGATTTTATGTAATATATCAAGCATTAGACGCAATGGAAGAGAGTTCAACATACGACGCGCAAGGGATTATTTTTTACGATTTCCGAGGAAAGAAATCGGACAAAAAACGGACAAGAAATCGGACGAAAAATCGGACAAAAAAATCGGGCAAGAAATGAGAAAAAAAAATACATCGGACAAATAAAAATCGGAGGAACAAATCGGACAAGAAATGGGACAAAAAAATCGGACATCGGACATCGGACATCGGACATCGGACATCGAAAATCGGACATTCGACATCAGACACCGGACATCAGACATCGCAGATTAGACATCAGACATCGAACATCTGACATAAGACATCCGAAATCGTACATCAGACAAATCGGACATTGGGTATCAGACATCGGAGATCAGACATAAGACATCCGACAGTCGGACAAACAACTGGACAAAAAAATTGGACGAAAAGACGGACAAAAAATCGGACAAGAAATTGAGCAAAAATAAAATCAGACAAAAAACGGACAAGAAGAGGCCAAAGAGAATATAACTAACCTCGATCCTTTATAAGGTTTCTCAACATAACCTGCATAAAAGAGTGGAATTGGTAAGGTCAGTAAAATCAGTTAATAAACTCCATTGTCTGCCAACATGTCGAGCGTGGGGCTAAAGGCGCAAACGTCCTTCTTACTTTCATCTTAACGTAAAAATCTGCCATGTAAACATCGTTATTTAATGAAACAGCGCGCAAGAAACCCGCTAAAATATTTCATTTTTATTGCAGTTTCACGTTAATTTGGTGTCTGATGAGGAATACTGATTGGTTCTTGTGCCTTGGGTATCGAACACCTCAGCTATTTACCACGTTAAATGTCATGAGCGGTTTCTTTCTTCTTTTTGACGTATCCATGGATATTTCCGATGGTAAATTTATCTCGAGGGAGTCCGGTCACACGCACTTCACCAATTTCCCAGGGTAAAAGTGTCCCGTGTAACCGCACCTAGTAGCGACACTTACAAATTACACGTGTAAAAGTTTTATTAAATTGACCCCTGGTTGCCTCACCAATGAAAATGTTTGTGGCGGCACTAGCCTAGCAATGAATAGTAAAGAAACTTACAAAATTCAGAGAAAGTGCAAAGTTTTGCACGTGGAGAGTTTTGAGTTTTCATCAACTTTTCATTGCACGCGCAGAAAATTGTTGGTAGTTGTCTACGCGAATTTTCCGACGTCCTCAATGTTGCTGCCTCTTCGTTAAGCGTCGTGCTGCTTTAAGGTAAGTACAACAAAGCGTTTTTCTAATGGTACAGTAAAAGAAATGAATGTTCAGTTCCTTTCCACTCTCAAGGAACAAATTTCAGTTCTTACTTTCGCGAAAACGAACACTGAGAATTAAAATTGTATAATCTTAGACAATTTTGTATCAAGAAAAACCGTCTTTTGGGAAGGTAAAATACGACAAATGTCACCGCACCAAGCAATACAGTTTTCCACTGGAATGGCAAACGTTTTGGAATTGCTCATTACGGGCTTCGCACTACGTGACGTTTTTCTTCCAATTTATATGAACAGTACATGCGGCGGTCTTCCTGAAAGCGAAACTACTATCATTTCAACAGGACCATGTCTTTAAGCATGAACTACTATCCTTTTCTGCTTTTTGAGGGTTGGAATGTACTGTGAAGTGTCAAGCTGGATCTTGAGGAATTGGGGTGAGCCACTCCCCAAGTTAGAAAGCCAACTTCATTAATCCTTCGCATTATTCAACCGTTATTTTTAACCGTATTTTTTCCCGTTACTTATAAAAACTTAGTATTAACGTATTGGCTTAAAACATCGGACCCTAGTTGTTTGAAGGCCAATAAGCGCGAACCCGGGGTTGAATTTTAATCCAGGTTTCTTTTTTCAAAAGCATTTTCTCGGATAATTTTCCCTGTTCTTTTTAGAGCAACCAATCACCAAATTGCAGACCAGAAGAATTTCACTAAATTTGATTTTTAAGCTTTTATATCAGAATTCAAATTTCACACAAACTCTGGGTTATCTTAGGGCCTTTTCAAATGGAGGTGGGGGACCTCAAGTAGGTGAGGTAACATTTGGCGGGTAACCCCACCTATCATGTAAACGTGACCAAATTGAAATGGGGTAACCCGCCTGTCCATATAATCTCTCACCTAAGCGGGTTACCTCACCTACCTGGGGTCCCCCACCTCCATGTAAACAGGCCCTTAATCCCACTTTGAACAACCAAGCCCTGCAGTACTTTAAAATCATTAAGCGACACAAATTGTGTTACATACCTGAGTTGGAGCAGCTAAATCTTGGAAGCGCGTGTAACCCTGGGCCATAGCGCGATAAACTTCTTTGTTTCTTGTGTGAAAAATTCCGCAACGAAAACCGGACACACCAAAATCCTACAAACATTTTTCATGAACATGCGAGAAAAGAAAACACCATTAGTTACCGCTAATTCGCAGGGGATGAGGAGCTGAAACTGTACATGGATACAGATAACGTTTAAATACCTTGCTGAAACCCCAAAGCACATGAAGCCTTTCCTTGTCTGGGATACTGAAAACAAACCAAAAGGAAAAGTCCGTTCACATACATGCACTGGCAAATAAATAACTAACGTAAAAAAAAAGGGCAACGGCGGAAGAAAAAATGTTGTAAGGAATTAAAGAAGCCTACTTGAACAAAATCACGTTTAACGAAAAACAAGGCATTTATGTATCATTCCAGCTAGACAGGTTTCGCTCACAACGATGACACTTTATTCCAAGACTGAAAAATCGGTGCACCAACGTCCCCAGTCCAAAGAAGATTTCCGCTGCAAATTTCTTACATATCACACGTACATGCCGTACAGTCCCCTTGATAAACGTAAACCTGACAGGTCTCCATCAAGCAGTCGTGGTCACCTATTTCTACACGTAGCTCTCAGTGTTCTCGTCGAGTTTAATTTTTGTTTGTTTTCACCTCTACTAAATGGTCACTTTACTTTTAGGTGCTCTATCGGTTCGTGACGTTCATTAGCCTACAGAACACGCGCTACTTTTTCGCGTTTTTTAAGGCGACCAAAGACAAGCGCAGAACGGGCGTGGAGCGCGAGACAGGCGCGATGGGGAACGCACGCGTGTCTCGCGTTCCACACCCGCTTCGTGCTCGCCAGAAAAACATGAGAAAATAGTACCTGTTTAGCAGGATAAACTACATTTGTGTACGACCTCGCTCTTACGGTGGCTTGTTTCATTCCTTTTGTCACAAGAAAAGGTATAAAACCCTTAAAGGGTTAAGTCCTCACGTGACTTATAACTTCTCCTGTATTCTTCTCTTGATCTATTTTGAAAAACTGTTAATTTGTCGAACGCTTAGAACTGCTTAGGTTGCCATTCCCTTAAGGTAGCTTATTAATACAGGTGACACTGAATGAAGACAGTGACTCACTCACTTTTTTAAACTTAACACATTCGTCATAGAGCAGCCTTCCTTGAAAAGAGACAGCATGTAAATTTCATCCATGATAACATGCAAAGAGTGCCTGCAAATGTAACCAGTGTTTTTCAGTTAGAGAAACACACAACAAAGATTTTGAGAATATATAAACAGGGACTACTTGTTTTGAACTATAACCATCCACACACCAATTCACTCTCTACCGTCACCACTGTGGACAAAGCAATTAGTTCTCTCCTTCTTCTCCCGACTACAAGTTTGGTACCAAGAAATGGCAGCATTTTAAATGCATTATTTGTCTTCAAATAAAATTTTATGCGACAATTTAGCCTTACGTGGTTTACGAGTTCAGTAACGTGGAAAGAGGCTAGGAACAAGAAATCGAGGGTACTGATTTGAATTTTGAATTCAAGATGGCGTCTTAAGGTGATGTCGTATTTATTGATCGTCATATAATGGATGTCGTGTTCTTGATCTCGTTGACAGACAAAAATTTTTTCATCATGTTGTTAGTATTGCCTTTTCCAACAGAGCACAGCACATATTTCATTCTGATTAAGATTTGCCATTTTGTGGGTAGATTGAAGCATAAAATTTTTTTTCTTCATTCCAATACTGACATAAGGATGACCCATTAAATTGCAACAAATTTATTAATTACTACAGAGGAGTGCTGGAAAAAAAAATATCAAGTGCAAAAACAATCGTCATGATAACCAGTCCTCATCTAAAAATTTAATTAAGAAATCATAAATGCCTGCTCACCTTGCAGCAAACTGTAGACAGCCTTGCAAAAGTTCTTCAGAATAGATAACTCCAAGGGGGTTGTTGGGGTTACACAACAAAACCCCCCGGATTTTTACACCCTGAAAAATAAAAACCAAATTAACAACTTTAGGGCCTGTTTACAAGGAGAGAGGGTTACCCTTGAGGTAGGGTTAACCTAGCAAGTGGGTTAAAGATAGGCCAGGTTTACAAGCAAAATTTCACAGGTACACATAGGGTTATCCTTTCACCCCGTCAACTTTACCAGCTTTACTTATGTGTTTCGTCACGTGTGACCACATAAGACTAAAATAAACATTCTTTGTGATGTTCAAGATTTGAAAGAAAACTTTAAGTTCTCTAATGGAAGACAAGTTGAATTCATGAAAAAACCGAAAAATATTATCATCATATACAGAAAATACCGTACATTGTTCAGATGTTTATACCGTAATTTAGCTCAGAAATTGGATACCTTTGTTCAAATTGTCAAGATTACTGGTCATGCATGACAAAGGAAGGTTGTCCCAGGTAGGCAAGTTATCACTAGCAGAGCATTTACAAGGCAGATAGGTAACCCTCGCACTAGGGTAACCCTAGCACTCGGGTAGGCTTATCCTAGTTCCAGGGTAACCCTATAGATCTGCCTTGTAAGCATGTTGCATAAAAAAAGAAATGTGCGAGTGTTAGGGTAACCCTATCTGCCTTGTAACCACGTTGCATAAAAAAAAAAATGTGCGGGTGCTAGGGTAACCCTCTTGCCTGGGTAAACCTAACACTCAGGTAGGGTTTCCCTAGCTCCAGGGTAACCTTATCTGCCTTTGAAACATGTTGCATAAAGAAAGAAGAAATGTGCAAGTGCTATGGTATTTCTCTTGCTGGCATAACCCTAGCACCAGGGTTACCCCCCCCCCCCCTCCTAGGGACAGGGAAAAAAATTGGCCAATAGCTGACCAGCACGTCCCCAGTAACAATCCCAGAACCAACTGCAGCTCACATTTCAGCTCCAGTTCCCTTCTCGTTTCTAAAGTGTTAATACTCTAAATACACTGTTAAAAAACTGATTTCTCAATTATCCACAGTTGATTTGATCCAAGGAAAGTACCTGCTCCTGTGCTTTCTGTAATGCTGATTCCAGTCTTTTAACAGTAAGTTCAAATGGCTGACTCTCGCCTGGACCAATCTGAAAGACAACAGATGATTGCTTCAGCAAAAGCTCTGTGAGACACTAAGACACTAAGACACTAAGACATACTGTTTTACTGACTTGCGTTGTTGTACATTATACAGTTTAAAAACAGCTTTCCCACCTTGCTGGAAAGTTCAACTGGAAAAGGTATCACTCTTGAACGCGACTGTAGGTCCAATAAAAATGACCCATAATATGGTGCAGGAATTAACATACCCTCTATAATGGAGATAATAAATGAAACCAAAAATAATAATAATAATAAATGAGTATACTGAAAAAAAAAAAAAGAAATGAGTAAAAACTAACCCTACATGGCTTCCAAAAAACAAAGAATAAAATTCTGATGACTGTGAATTAGAGTTAAGAGGCTGTAATCAATAGATTGTGTCTAGTCCATGATTGTGCGATGCAGAAAATAACAGAACCTCAGTAGATCTTCTTGCCAGATTGATCTGATTATGTAGTTTTTACAGTTTCCCTCATATAATTATTTAATAAAAGTAACTTTACTTTACTACAGTACATTGAAAACTCATATAATTCTGCTGGATATAGTTCTGCTGTCCTTAATTTTGGCACCCTTCAAAAAGGCAAACACACTAATATTAAATTTACTCATCAGACTAGGACATGACTTACAATATAGAGCTTTTTGCTACTACTACTGAGCCTTGATGACCATGCATGATAACAACTGTAACCCCTATATAACTGGGCATGCTATATATTACATGTAAGTACGTACCTCCTTCATCTGCTAAAGTATATGCAATAGCATCCACTAATGGTGTTGCTCCATTAGATACTATGAGCTGTACATAAACCAAAACAAAGTAAGTCTCTGAACCAAAAGGAAATTGCAGTAGTTGTGGTAATTAATACTGTTCATTCTTTCAATCAGGACTGAAGCAAAAAATTTAATATTCATACATGTATCTGTAACATAACAGGGAGAACTTTTGTCTTGATGAAATACGTACTTCCTCTGAAGATATGGGCTCTGCTGGCTTCATATAATGATTCAGGAAATCAGCAATAGTTTGTCTAAAACTAAAATAAAGAACAAAAATAGTGATGATGATGATGATGATGATGTGTCGATGTGTGGTGCTACTAATATTGGCAACATTGGCGCAGTAACTATGACTGTGTGACTGTGAGAGCTAGTTCTATGTTTACATAAAAAATTAATTGGATCAAATAGACTGTTGGCAACAGCAGTGGTGCAAAGGCAGTGGTGGTGCTGGTACAGTGTAGTTATGGCAATGGCAACAGTGGTATGACAGTATGGACAAAGCATTCAACACCAGTATTAGAAAATTACAGTAGTAATTGCTGATCTAGCTGTTGCTCTAATAATTTATTAGCAATTATTATTGGATGAGGCTGACTATAATGTAAAGAGTCATCCAGGGATAGCAACCCATGAGATCTACATAATTCTTCATGTTACATAAAACCCAAATCCGGTAATCAACGCTTGGCCAAAACAGCTGAGCTACCAACCTTCTGCTGTCCTTAATTCTGTTGATATCTGTACAACAGTACTGACATCAATTATACTGATATCAGTAATTGCCTTCTAGATTTGGTCAGCGGTAGCTGCTTATAAAGAATTAGGCAAGAAACCTGAGCCAGTCAGAAATGGAGAAATGTTTTGAACGAAATCATAAAAAAAGATAAATAATATCGGAAACAATCCACATACAACATCACAGGACTAAAAACCCCAACTGGCAGAAGGCAACCAGCTGGCAATTTACAGGCATGGCTGAGTATTTGAACTCGTAACAACGAATAACAAATCCAGTTAGTGGCCTGGCCAGCGCAGGACTCGACAAACCCTGGACCGCAACATTGCAAGTCTGATGTGCTGACCACTCGGCCATGCTGTCTCCTTAATGAAAAGCAGTTACTTAAGTCTAACTTGCATATAAAGAACTGTACACATTTGTAACAGTAAAAAATGACAGAATACCTCATCAGCCCCTCAGCACAGAAATATTCTGTGTGCTCTTGAAGTAAGGTATGAGATTCTTTTTCCTCAAACTATAAAAATACAATTAATTTTAAAATGATCAGACATATACATGTAATATATTTATGATACTACATCACTTTGTTTCTCTCAAACTAATGAGATGACAGAGACAGATACAACAACAAATACATATAATAGTTTAATTTTATCATATTCTAGTTAAATCTAAATAAGGATGCTCCTTTTTTCCCTAAATTGCTTGCAAAAGATAATACTAACATAATTACCTTCTTTTTAAGCAAGTCAAATAATAACTTATTTTCACTTGTTCCCATGTTGATGACGCCCTAATAAAGACAATGTGCATAAATAATAAAGAAAACTTGATAATATATATAATGGTGATAAAACCTGAGCTAATTAAACATAATACCTACACATATATTGAATCAGAGCTTTCATTAAGTGTCATAACCCACAGCACCTGTTAGGGCTGAGCTTACTTGATGTCGTGGTCATCAAAGAGGAAAGGTTTATAAGGTGACACAATAAACTTTTGCGAGGTGGCACAGGTGAATCTTTATTTGCTACGACTACTTCAAAACTTAATGACAGCCCTGAGTAAACCCGTTCAAATTGTTACTTACCAGATAAGAGCTAAACCTGTCAAATCAGGGACATTGCAGGGCTGTCACTAAGACGGGCAGGGAATCAAATAATTATGGATGTCTTTTAGTTATATTTTTCTTCTACAATTTATTTTCCCTGGAAAGTAGCTGGGTGCTATGTTAATTGTAGCGGAGGGAAGGCCATTCAATGACAGCACTAGAGGAGGGGGCTGTAGAGTACTGTTTTGCTGCAAAATGTACATGTAAAGGCACAACAACATATTCTTACCACCCTAAAAGGGGTGGTAGTCTTTATAGAAATTTTTGGAAGAAATTAAAGGCTGGTTTTCACTAGAGATGAAGTTAGATTTGGAGCCCGGGGGAGGGGGGGTACTGCCATACATGGGCTATATGGGTATGTGCCGCTATGAAGGGTATGGTTTTCAAGCAGTTTACTCTAGGATAGGGTATATAAATCAGAGCGTTTGGGTCTAGAAGAGGGTATCATTTTTCAAGAAACTGATCAGTTGGTTGAAGATTTTATCTAGACTGGGGAAACAACTACTCTAGGATAGGGGGATTTTGGGAGTTTAGTCTAGTATAGGGTAGCAAAATTCAGCTGAACTAGCTCTGGTATAGGTCAAGGGTTCCAGGGTCCCAGCGGCACATCCCCACCCAGAAATTCCTAAAGTGCACCCCCCCGGGATTTGGAGTCATTATCAGAAGAGTAGAACTCCATTGTCAGCCTCTAAACGTATGTTGTAAAGTTTAGGACATTATAGAACTGATAAGTAGGTTGAGTATGATCATTCGGGTGAACGTAGTCCCAAATAGGACTGTTGTTGTTGACAGTGACTGACCTGTGGGGTAGTAACTGAGTTCATCCGGATGATCATAATCAACCTACTTATGAAATGGCTTCTGGTATCAAACCTTTCACAATATTATACTCTTGCTTATATAGCACTGTACCCTAAGCACCACCCCTTTAGGTTCTTCACCTTCCCGACACGGGTGGCCCTGGGTGGCCCTGTATTCTATAGTTTCCCCATACATTTTTCTTTTCAAACGCTCTGACATCAGCTTTAACTTAAACCTCATGATCATGCATCCCACATTAACTTAAATAATCATGAATAATGCATAGCAATCGATCGCACCTGTGGATTGTCGATTTTATGGAATGGATTCCCTTTGTGTTTTCCTTCAAACTTTGCTTCGTGTTTAACAAAAAGAGCCATTGCTTTAACACGGGCCGATGTGTAAGACATTTTTCTCGGTGTCAATACGAGATCGGAGCGAACAGTTTTTGGCAGAAAACAACCACGAGTCGCAGATTTTAACATCCCAATTTCGGGCACTTTTTGGTCAGCGGCCACCTAAGAAGTCTAAGTAGGAAACTCATATATGATTCCTATAGTGTGCCGGAATATAGATGCTTGTAGTGTATACTTGTATCTTTCTTGGAATTTGTATTTGACATACTTCTTTACTGCACGAGTCAAGAAGACAAAGCAACTTAGAACTGCACTAAAAAAGGTAGGATTATTTTTACTTTACATGTACATTTACACATGTTATCTTCTAAAATCTATTACAGACCTGCATAGTCGCAAGCTCCTTAACTAAAAAACTAAAGTGCTACTGCGATGAATAGAATAAAATAAAAATACAGCAAATACGAAGGGACGTACTTATAGGAGAAAAAAATAACCGATTAGTCTATTTGTTTATCCTAAGGTTTATTGCCTGGAACACTGTCAGCGTTATAGCATGGGTTGCCGGTGACTCGTTGTTCCAAAATGGCGGAGTGTTTTTTTTAAAATTGAGAGGCCCCTGGGACGAGTGGCAAAAGTATCATGTGATTTTTCCCGACTTTTTTTCCCGCCTTTTTCGGCCGTTTTCACCTTTTGCCACTCCGGCCTCCGCGCCTCCGTGTGTCGTCCGTGTGTCGTTTTAACTTGACACAGGAAGGCTGTTTATTGAAGGTTATGTTTTCACGTTCATGACAAAATGAACAGTTATTATGATAGTTTTCTTCACTTGTTTACGCTTTTTTTGTTTTGTTTTAAATCCAGGTTCGCATAATTTTATTTGAGTCTGTGGTGAAAGAAGTGGTTTAATGTGCTGGGAAAAGAAAACAAACGAACAAAAAACCGAGGATATGAAGTGAAGGTAAGACAAAACATTTTTACTGGAAAATTTAAGCTTGATAACTGTGACCACGGCAGGTTATTGGTAGGTCAACGCTTTTAGTTTTTGGTTTTGCTTTTATGATTATCATTCAACCTGTTCAAATCTTGGTGTTGTTCGCGCAGACCACATAAAAGGCGATCTCGCATTTGATTGTTGTTCGCGGGGGCGTGCGCGGGGTTGCGCGGGGTACTTTAAATCTTTGAATTACCCCCAAACTTCTCGCGGTTCCGTCGCCAAAAGGCAATAGCACTCCCCCGCTTAGCCTGCAGAACAAACGTTACTTTTTCGCGTTTTTTGAGGAAGAGAAGCGTGAAGCGAGCAAGGAGCGCGAGACACGCGTGATCGGACTGTGCTCATCAAATTGTTGATACTTTTTCCAAACAATATAGTCCGACTATCGAAGACAACTTTGTAAACACTATCTTGAAAAACATCTGAGATTTCTTTGCACTTTTGCCGTTGAGACTTGGAATTGAACAAAATTCAGGCTGGGAAATTGATTTGTTTTTGTCCTGTAAGGACCTTAGAAATGACCTCATTGAAATGACACCAGATATTGAGCATACTTTACTTTTGTTTTAACCCCTTAAGTACCAATATCGCCATTCAAATTCTCCATACGTTTCCTAAAAGAATTAGTTGAGAGAATTTAATATAACAAAGAGCTTTCATTTGGTGATTATTTTATTAATTCTCATACCTTTACGGTTAATTACGTCCTACTTAAGTAATGGCCCAGGGAACAAGTTTGCTTGCTCTTGTTACTGGCGAAATTTTCCTCTCTTTAAACGTCTTTTGTCCTAATTTATGGAGGTAATCCTCTTAACAAAGAATAAATATTGTTGAATACACTTATTCTTAAAGTAATAACTTAGCTTTTTCGTTAATTAAATAAACTGTTTTGAACAGTTTTAACATGGGCCCTATTTTCCTTTGCACTCAAATAGTACATTTTTGTAACGTTAAATAAAGGGGAATCTTAAAATTCTGAAAGAATGTTGTAGTCCATTTGCTTCTTTGCTTCGAAAATATACCGAGTTAGAAAGCGTGACACTTGCGTCGCAGTTGAACTCTCTTGTACTTAAGTGCGTGTGCGTGCTTAAAATGCCGAAGTAAAAAGGTGTCCAAAAAGGTCACCCAAGCTCGAAACATAAGCGTTGATAAAAAAAATTTAGTCTTAAATTCACTATATAGTCAACAACCACTTTTGAAGCGAGTTACTGAACTAAAACACATACAACAGATTGAAATGTTGTCTGCCTTCCTAGGGCGGGGGAAGGGGATGTCCCTATAAACAATTGATTTCAAGACCTAAGACTTTAAATTTATAAACAACAAGAATATTCTCCATTTTAGAATACTAAAGTCCAGTGGAACCTAGACGAATCTTTATGTGACGAAATCTTCGGTAAAACGAACTATATTCTTTGCCCCAGTAATATCATTTTTATATAGCGAAACCTCATTATAGCCACCTTTTTTTAGTCCCTTGTCCCTTGGTTACATCAAGGGTCCATTGTAAAGTACCGTCACTCAATTTTTATAAGTATTAAAAAGCCTATTCGCATGAAGGACGCACGTACTTCGTTTAAGCGGCACATTGGCAGTCTATAGGCAATGCAGGACATTTTGATATGTATTTAGCTTGTCTAAACCCTAACACTACTTCACAGGCGGGGTAAAGATAACCTTGATTCATCGCTCTATAACACGCCACATGCTGAGTATGACAGTGGACCACGTAGACATCTTTCTGCCTGCAGGAATCCCACTTTCTCTCCATGTGGTCAAAGCACGGGTTATTAGCGTCCCTGGCTGTTCTATTACTTGCAACGTGTTTGTTGAGAAAGTCTTTTACTATACTTGTAACTTCACTCTCTTTGTTGATACTCTTATCAGGTTGAAAGACGTTGCCTTGTGTCTGAGAACCCTGGTCACCTGACTGGGAATCCTGGTCACGTTGCCGAGATTCTTGGTCACGTGACTGAAAAACTTGGTCTCGTAACTCGTGACTGTAGATCGTCTGACCTCGAGGAATTCGTGTCTCTGAAGTAAGAGGTTTAGTGAAACATCGGGTGAAGCAGATGAAAAGTACAATTAGAGATAAAACCATCATCTGAAATAGAAATTTCAAAAAGAAAACGTAAGCTTTGCAGAATTAACCGCATACCAGTCACTCTTCCGTCGACAAATCCCTCATTATAAACGAGAGGCAAAACGTGGGGTGCGGAAAAGTGAAACAGCACTTTCATTCTGAAAGCAAACAATTTAGTGACACAAATGTAGGATTTTATTTAGTACTAACAAGAGTTGCCAGTTATTTAGTGATTCATTTGCCGGTTTGTTAAAAAGTGGAACTAGAAACGTTCTTACTAACATCTCATTTTTATGTGAGACAGAAATTAGTGATGCAATTTAGAGCAGAAATGATGCTATTTAGAATAATAAATAATGCGATTTAGAACAGATGTGATTTAGAGCAAGAAACTGACGTGATTCGAGCCAATGTGCTAAGAGCCAATCAGATTGCAAGGACCACCATTTATTTCAAAATGATGTAATTTGACAGTTAACTGTAAAATTTTTCAGACCCTCCTATTCTGGTGACTTCGTGTATCATGATAATATTTTATTAACTTATATCAGGCAAATCCATAAGAGAACAAACACCGTTTTCAAAATTGCAAATGGTTATTATAATCATAAAACTACAAATGGTTATTTGCTGTAAACGATGCATTGTATGAATTATGAAACATGACAAAAGTATGCATGTCGTTATCAAGTTAAGTAAGATATATAATATACCAACAGGCGAAGCTTTGCACTCACCTTTTCAGCAATTCGGTTGAACATGTTCGTCGTCCAGTTGGCAATCTTTTGCTTAGGTGCCTTGAACAGGGGTCGACTTTCAGTTCTGTTCTCCTTGAGGTAAAACTTCTTAGGTTGTCCACAGGGTGTTCGTTCCTGCTTTTATAAGCGATAAGGGAACGGTCGTAGGATTAGAAAACTTCCATTTCAGTTGCAAAAATATCGCTGGAGTAATCAGGATTGCACCGTATTTTTTTGTCTATGAGCACGCTGAAAGCGCGCCTTGAACCTCTCCGCAGTTATCTTCAAACCGGAAGTAAAAACATTTTGCAAATTTGAGCCAAAATGGTTCAGTTCACAAGACTGTTAATGTCAAACAAGTTGGACCCATCCTTTATAACTAAATGAAAACAGCAACACTAAAAGTGATGAATTTTTTAGTTCTTAAATTCAAGAATTTTTCTGTTGGAAAATGCAATAGTTAGAACCTCTAGTTCTATAAAAAAGGCGTGTAATGAAGTTGTGGTCTGCGTTTTGTGGGTTAACCGCATGAAAAGTAGACCTACAATGCGGCTGTATTTTTGTATTGTGTCATTTATTTAGTTATTTATGGATTTATAAATTTTCCGGAATACGTTCATCGAACGGTATTTGACGTCAGTTCAATGGAGCTGCCAGTTTCTAACACTGGCGTAGCAGCGCCAATTATTTATTTGGTTTCTAGGCCAAATTCGTGGAACCTTGCATGATACTGTAGTAGTCCCTTATATGATTTTAATACATAATCCGTGAAAGAGGTTGTAGAATACTACACTCTAGTATGCAATAATTCCACGGTCTTCCCTTGTTTACTTGTAGCTATTTTGCTCTAGTTGCTAGTATCTGTTTCACGGGTCAAGTGAAATCACTCTAACTGAGTCTAACATAAATATTCGGACATATCCCAAAAGAGAGCGACTAAATATTTTAATTATATTCAAGGCCACAACTGCAGCTCACAACTGCAGTTCAAGAAAACCCTGGCACAACCCAGATTTCTCTCCTTTTATCGGGACATCCGTATTCTTGCCCTTCTCTGACTAAAATACCCATAGTGCCCTGAATGTCGGTTCCAAAGCTAAGCCTTTTGTAGATCCGCAATCTGTTATTTTGATATCGAATTTAGTAGATTATAGATGACGATGTCATCGAGATGATGATCTTGTGCGTAATCATCAAAAGCTGGATTAATGTAATCTCGGTTTGGTAGCGTGCGTCTCAGCAGCCCTTTGAAAGCTCTTTACGAAAACTTAGACGTATCTACTTCCTTTTTAATTCCGGACGGGTGAATAAGTGGGAG